GCCACTATTCCAGGCTCGGCGCTGAAGCAAAGTTGCTCTTGCTTCGGGAGCTGGTGAACGCTGCACTAGAGGGGGACATTCTTCGGGCAGCTCTTGAAAAAAAGCTTGCAGCTATGGACGAGGTGGCCGGGCAGAAGAAAGTTTTGGCGGAGGAGGAACGGGCGTGCAGAGAGAAAGCAGCATTGCGGGAGAGAGTGAGAAAGAGGGAGAGAGAAGAGAGGGAGAAGGAGAGGGAGGAACGGGAGGAGAGGGCGAGGAAGGAAGAGGAAGAGAGAATTTGGAGGGAGGAGATGGAGAGGAGGTGGAGGTGGGGAGGGAGGCAGCAGAGATCTCGCAGTAGCATTCTTGATAAGCTTCCATGTAAAGTGGAATCTTCAGGAGGTGTCACATTGTGTATATGTGTTGATGATGCTGGTGCGGGCGGTAATGCTGGTGTAACGATCAACACCAGTGTCGACACTGGTGTCGAAACACGTGTCGACACAAGTGTCAGTCCCAGTGGCGTCTCTCCCTGCATTCAGCCTTCCCTTGAAGATTGCTGGGGCAAGGATGAGCCATCCAGTAGAGGTGCTGCTGCTGCTACTGCTGCTGCTGCTGGTGGCGGTAGTGCCGTTGCTGAGCACGCAAAGAATGAGTCTACTATTGATGAACCATCCACCAGGGATGATGGTGGGGCTGCTGCTACAGGTAGGATAGGTGGCATCACAAGTGCTACACTTGCTACAGCTGCTTCTGATCCTGCTACAGCTGCTACAGCTGCTACAGCTGCTTCTGATCCTGCTACAGCTGCTACAGCTGCTGCAGCTGCGACTGATGGAAACACAGCTGCTACACCTGTCACTGATGCTGCTACTACAGGAGATATGGACGGGATTGCAGTTGCTGCGGCTGCCACAGCTGCCACAGATGGGGATACAACTGCTACAACTGCTACAGCTGCCACTGCTGCTGCTACAGTTGCCTCATATGCTATTACTGAGGGTGCAGCTGCTACATCTGCCATTGATGGTGCTAAGACTGTTGCAGCTGCTACTGATGCTACACCTGCTGAAGCCATGGGAGCAGAATCATTATCTCTCCCCTCATTGGCTGCTGGCAGGGGCAGGAAACGAGGGCTGTCCTGGCCGGCCAGTAGCAGGAGGACACGTGGCAGTTGCAGAAGACAGTCCGTAGGAGGGACGTCTGATGTGAGGGAGGGGGAAGGGGAGGAGGGGAGGGAGGAGAGAAGGGGGGGGGGAGCGAGGAGGGGAGGGCGGAGGGGAGTGAGGAGGGGAGCAAGGAGGGCGGAGGTGGGGAAGGGATGGATAAGCAGATGAGTGGAAGGAAAAAAGGAAGGAGTAGAGGAAAGGGCAGTTTCGGAAGTGAGGGAGTGAGTGAGGATGGGGATAAGGAGGAGGGAGAAGGGGAAGAGCGAGAGAGGCGAGAGTGGGAGCGGCAGTGGGAGGAGAAGGAGAGGAGGTGGAGACGAGAGGAGGAGGAGGAGGCAGCGGAAAGGCAGCAATTGCAGAAGAAGGTATGTGTTGCAGTGCAGCAAACAGACCTTTTGACCTGCATTAGCAGCAAGCTGTTACGAATTCCCACCCGTCCCCACCATCCAGGTTGGGTGTGACCACTTAACACCTTCCCTCCACACTCTTACACGTCCTCTCCTAACACCCCCCTCCCCCTTTCCCCCCACTCGTCCCCCACCAGTCTCGAGACCTGGATAAAGAGGCAGAGAAGGGCATCGGTTCGAGCGGTGCCTGTGGGGTGTGACGAAGGGCCGGCAGTACCAGTGCCCAACCCATGATTAAGCCCCTCACTGTTCCCCTCCCTCTCCCCCCTCTGCAACCCCCACCAGTCTCGAGACCTGGATAAAGAGGCAGAGAGAGCATCGGTTCGAGCGGTGCCGGTGGGGTGTGACAGGGAGGGCAGGCAGCACTGGTGGTTTGGGCGGGAGGCGAGGTTGTTTGTGGAAGGGGAGGGGGGAAGGCGATGGGGATACTACAGCAGTGTTGACGAGGTCAGTACGGGGGTAGGAAAGTGTGCAGCACCGCAAAGCTCCGCGTAGCACCGCAGAGCACCACAATCTACCGCACAGCAGGGGGTGGCTCGTGCAGTTCCTGTGGGGTGTGGCCGGGAGGGCAGGCAGCACTCAGGTTTGGTTTGGGCGGGAGGCGAGATTGTTTGTGGAAGGGGAGGGTGGGAGGCAATGGGGATACTACAGCAGTGTTGACGAGGTGAGAGGGGGTTACTAGAGCTCCTGATGCTTTGCACAGTACCACACAGTACTGCAACAACACCGCACAGCAGCACACTGCAAATGGTGGCCTGTGCTGTGTTGGTGGGGTGTGATCGGGAGGGCAGGCAGCACTGGTGGTTTGGGCGGAGGCGAGATTGTGTGGAAGGGGAGGGGGGGAGGCGATGGGGATACTACAGCAGTGTTGACGAGGTGAGAGAGAGGGGCTTGTTAGAGCACCGCACAGCACCACATTAATGGAGGGAGGGGGAAGGCGATGGGCTTTCTACAGCACTGCCTGAACGAGTTGAGAAGCTTTTTAGAGCACCGCACAGCACCTCACAGCATTGCACATCACCTCATTCACCGCGTTGCACATTCTCTCCCCTCACCCTCTCCTTCGCCCTCCCCTCCTCCCTCCGCCCTGCTGGTCTCTCTGGACCATCGCTTTCCATGTGAAAGGCGCTTGCACAGCAGATCCTTAGATCTCCACTCCCTCCCCTCCCATTCCTGCCAACACAGTTTGACGCCCTGCTGAGCTCTCTGGAACCCCCCTTTCCAAGCGAAAGGCGCCTCCATTCCCAGCTGACCGCACAGCACCGCACAGCACCACAAAGCACATTCCCTAACCTCCACTCTCTCCCCCGCCCACCTCGCCTGTCCGTCAACAGTTCGACGCGCTGCTTAGCTCTCTGGACCATCGCCTTCCATGCGAAAGGCGCCTGCATGCCCAGCTGACCACACAGCAGGACTGCATCAGGTAGGTTGTGATTTTCCAGGTTCGGGGTGACTATAGAGTGGACTTGAATGCCACCTCGTTACAATGGCACGCCCAGCTGACTGCTCAGGAGGAAGGTAGGGAGTGAGTGTCAGCTTCGGGGTGAGTGTCGGGTATTGTAGTTAGGTATAGTGGTGAGTAATCTGTTAAAGATTGGTGAGCATCCACATTAGCTTTAACCTACCTGCATCACTCTGCCCTTTCTTCTTACCTGCCCCGCTTTCGTTCCCCCCTCCCTCCCTCTTTCATTCCCCTCCTCTCTCACACCCTCCATTACTTTGAAAATCCGCCCTGTTCTTTCATTCATGAGCTTAGACCTCTGCCTCTGCAGCTTGCAGCCCCTGCTGCTCCCCCCTCCACATTTTCCCTCCCTTCAGCTCAGCTCATCTCGACCCTCCCTCTCTCCCACCCTCTCCCTCGCTCCCCCTTTCCCTCTTTCCTTCAGATCCGCCCTCCTCTCAGGGACCAGGGCTCTGGCTCGCCAGCTGGCAGCAGCTGCTGCCTTCTCCTCCTCCCCGCCCTCCTCAGTTCCCACTGCTGGAAAGGGCGCTGCTGCAAGTGGTGCTGCTGATGGTGCTGGGGGTGGTGTTGGTGCTTCTGGTAATCTTAGGCGATCGACCCGTGTTCGTGCCATGTCATCAACTGCACCTGGTTCCACGTCAGCAGCAGCATCGTCCACGTCAGCAGGATTGGCCACGGCAGACGAATCAGGGGAGAAGGCAGGAACTGGGCGGAATGGGTCTGTGGGTGGCGGCACAATATCCCCTTCAAAGAAGCATTCACGGCTGTCTATGGAGCAACAGCAAGTCCTGTTTCCACCGCAGCTGCGTTATGTGAATACATTGGCATTGACGTGATGAAGATGTTCAGCACTCCCAGTCTTCCATGTACTATACACCTCTGCAAACTAAAAAGTTGAATGAGGGTGATCCCACAGCGTCACAAAACACAATGGCGCAATATTTCTTATACTCCCGATACACGAATACCAGGTGAAGATTCAGGAGCTGAATTCAAGAGACTAATGCTGTTGATTGTATCTACGGTAGGTCCACTTCGAGAGAAATTAGTACTTGAATCAAGTCATCTGGTAACGGAGCAACAATCTCAAGATACCCTTCATTCCTCCCCGCACTACTCTCCAGGTTAGACAGGGAAAATTCCCCTTGGGGCGCCGACTGAAGGGAAGATTCGCCTTCAAGTGCAGGCAAGGAGAGTTCAGGCAAGAGGGGGAATTCTGTTTCTGGTGCATCAACGAGGGGGGGTTTGGCTTCTCGTGCGTTAAAATCGAAGAATTCTACTTCAGGTGTGTGGACGGGAGGGGATTCAGCTTGCAGCGCGTGCAGGGGCAGCAGCAGGCGGGCTGCATGGAGGAAGAGGCGGGAGGGGGGTAGGCGGTGGTTGGTGCGGAAGTGGGCGTTGGTGCGACCCTTGCCATGCAGTGAGTCTCCTATGACCTGATGGGAGGGGGCAATCACACACAACAGGAAGGTGGGGGGAATGGGAAGGGAAAAGGAAACCACACATGAGGCGGGCAGGCGGTGGTTGGTGCGGAAGTGGGCGTTGGTGCGGCCCTTGCCATGCACTGAGTCTCTTATCGCCTGATGGGGGAGTGGAGGAGGAATCACACAGGAAGGAGGGGGGATTACGCAGGAAGACGGGCCACAGACAGTGAGTGCACATCGCAGGGGGAAGGAGAGTGGCTGATACACATGCATGCCTGTAGGTATAAGCTTTTACCTCCACCGCTCACATGGAAAGCGAGGTGGTTGAGGTGCCAGCGAATCTGGTGAGTGCGTCTTGTTAATCTTCACGCAATTGAAGAAGTGTTTTGAGACGGCTCAAAACACTTGTTCAATCACGTGTGCGTCTTGTTGGTCTTCACGCGGAGAGCAGCGGTGACATCTGAGGGCTTGCAGGGTGCAAGAAGCGCACCTAGGTGTTTCCATGCGTGGTTACACATGGTTGAAAAACATCTACGTGCATGCATCACAGGAAACCCACTTGGAAGGCGAGGTGGTTGAGGTGCCGACGTATCTGGTGTCTGCGACCCGTTGATATTCGCACAGACAGCAGCGCACATCGTTGCTGCGGAATTTCCAGGAGCTTTCTGAACTCAGAGTGAGCTGGCTTGACCGCGCCGTTATCATCTCTCAGCGGCCTGTCACACGTGAAGGCGGCTGGAGGGGAGCCTCGCACGAGCACCAGGTACCTGGGAGGGAGAGATGGGGGAGGAAAGGGGATGGGACACATATGACAGCTTGAGTGGGGAGGGAAAGGGGATGGGGGAGCCTCGCACGAGCACCAGGTAGCTGAGAGGGAGTGATGAGGGGAGGGAAGGAGGGGATGAGAAGGACGGGGAGATGGAACGCTGGTCCCATCCGCCCGCCACTCACTCCTTGACAGCAGCAGGGTGTGCCATGGCCTCTCGCACTCGCCTGCACGCCTCTGGTGTCTGCCCAAACACGAGTTCCCCACCCATCCACTTACCCACCCTCCCATCCGTCCACCCATCCACTTACCCACCCTCCCATCCATCCACCCATCCACCCACCACTCACTCCTTAACAGCAGCAGGGTGTGCCATGGCCGATCGCACTCGCCTGCACGCCTCTGGTGTCTGCCCAAACACGAGTTCCCCACCCATCCACTTACCCACCCTCCCACCCATCCACCCATCCACCCACCACTCACTCCTTGACAGCAGCAGGGTGTGCCATGGCCGATCGCACTCGCCTCCACGCCTCTGGTGTCTGCCCAAACACGAGTTCCCCACCCATCCACTTACCCACCCTCCCACCCATCCACCCATCCACCCACCACTCACTCCTTGACAGCAGCAGGGTGTGCCATGGCCGATCGCACTCGCCTGCACGCCTCTGGTGTCTGCCCAAACACGAGTTCCCCACCCATCCACTTACCCACCCTCCCACCCATCCACCCATCCACCCACCACTCACTCCTTGACAGCAGCAGGGTGTGCCATGGCCTCTCGCACTCGCCTGCACGCCTCTGGTGTCTGCCCAAACACGAGTTCCCCACCCATCCACTTACCCACCCTCCCACCCATCCACCCATCCACCCACCACTCACTCCTTGACAGCAGCAGGGTGTGCCATGGCCGATCGCACTCGCCTGCACGCCTCTGGTGTCTGCCCAAACACGAGTTCCCCACCCATCCACTTACCCACCCTCCCACCCATCCACCCATCCACCCACCACTCACTCCTTGACAGCAGCAGGGTGAGCCATGGCCTCTCGCACTCGCCTGCACGCCTCTGCTGTGCGCCCAAACACGAGCACCCCACTGGCTGGTCGGTCGATCCTATGTGCTGGGAAGAGAAGGCTGCCTGACGACGCGTTGCAGATAACAGACGAAAGGGAGGGATGGAAGAGAGGAAAGGGAGTGAGGTAGGAAGCATCAGTGCCACCTCTACTGTCCGCCCAAACACGAGCACCCCACTGGCGGGTCGGTCGATCCTATGCTCTGGGAAGAGAGGGCGGTCTGTGACGCATGCAGGGGGAAAGGGGGAGCATGGGGGAGCAATGGAATAGAAGGATGAGACAGAAGAGGGGGAAGGGATTTAAGGATAGGAAGGAGGCAACAGTGCTGTCCGCCCAAACACAAGCACCCCACTGGCTGGTCGGTCGATCCTATGCTCTGGGAAGAGAGGAGAACTGTGATGCATGGAGAGGGGAGGGGCACACAAGGGGGTCAAGGGGTGAGCAGGCAAGGGTGTCAGGCAGGCAAGTGGGGTGGGAAAGCAAGAGTGTCACTCCTTGGTGTTTTGAGACGCCTCCCACGAACCTAACCCAATGCCCTCACTCCCGTTTCAAAGTCAACTACCCAACCATCGCCCACGTACCTAACCTAGCTTCCTTTCCAAAGCAACCATCCTTCTACTTCTACCTAAACAGTCGCTGCTATGTAGAGACATGGCTCCTATATGGGGCTGCATCGGACTCCTCTTCGAAAATATTTACCCATCCATCGCCCGTCTCCCACGTACCCATCCCCAGCTGCCGCTCCACCATACCCTTCATGAAGGCCCGTTGCGCTCGCCTCTCCAGCTGCTCCACATATTGTTGAGTCGACTCAATAATAGGCACAGCGCCCTTGTAGAGAACATGCTCCCGCCCATTCCCCACGTACCCATCCCCAGCTGCCGCTCCCCACCATATCCTTCACAAAGGCGCGCTGTGCTTTCGCCTCCTGTGCTTGCTCCTCTATGCAATGCATGTGTTTCCACCCCACCCGCAGCTCACCACTCACCCACCCACCCACATACCCAGCCCCAGCTGTCGTTCCACCATATCTGTCACGAAGCCTCCCTGTGCTCGCTCCTGCTCTAAAGGCATGTATTCATCCACCCATCACTCATACTCCCAACTCTCACCTCCTTTCCACCCCACCCATTGCTCATCACACTCACGTACCTAACCCCAGCTGTCGCTCCACCATATCCTTCACGAAGGCTCCCCGCGCTCGCTCCTCCCGCGTGGCTTCGCGAGACGAGTGTACCATGATTCCTGGTGGTTTGTTGACGGCGATTAGGGTTTCATTTTCAAATACCACCTGGATGGGTGGACCGTCCGAACCACATCTGCCAGACGTATCCCCAGGTTCGGCAGGTAGCTTCGGTGAGGTTTCTCGAGCCGAATCATTTGGCACACAAGAGGCGGAACCCCTCGTTTTATTGGACACCAGGCTCGGAAGAGGTGTGAGGCTCGCGGGTGGGAGGGCTGTAGCTTCCGAACCAGCACGGATGTAGGTTCGGATGCGAACCGAATAAGGCCGATGGGCGTGGAAGGAGGTCGCCCGACACGACGAGAAGAGCGACGAGCCTACGCGCACCGCTCTTAAGACCGCCATTGGTTCACGTGCATTTCGAGTCGATCACGCTGGGTCTCACCGCTCGCAGCGCTTAGCGGGCTGCCGCTTTGGTGTACCGTAGATATGCTGTTTGAAAGCGTTTAAACCCGTTTTCGATTAGTATCGTATCCTAGCATGGCGCGCACGGGATGCAACTGGACGAGGCGCGAGACGGAGAAGTCGCTGTGTTACGTCACCTTCCGTATATTTCGCTAGAATAAGAGCTGCCTGACTGAAGGCAGTGGGTAAGCCAGGAAGAGAGGAATCTGCGACTCGACATTACCAAGGGAAGGGGCCATTCCCACTTCAGAACGCGCTTCTAGGGCCTAGCACATTTACCAACATTTATGTGACGTCTCGTTACCACAGGCGATTGCTGTTACCATGGATTCGATTCGAATTTCCAGTCGATTCGAATCCTGTTACCACAGATGAGCCAATTCGTCGGCACAACCATTGGTGGCAGGGTTTGTCTGACACGAAGTTGACGGAAATCAGCGATCGCTCGTGACTGAGTTAGCGAACGCGATGTGTCATTTTGCGAAGCTCGGCAATTTCCGTGCACGGCATTTTTGTGTCGCTGAACCTGACGGGTTACAAAACTCCTGCTAGTGTAATTCACACATCGACACTCACCGACCTTGTGACATACGCCCTAGCTCTCCGCATACGTTTTTCTCCGCTTTTTCTCAGACCAGGCGAGAGTGTCTGCTTGCTTCGTCCATTCGCGCTTGTGTAATGCAGCCGATTGCTGCCGTCGCGAGCCGTCCGTAGACTCTACGGATCGGAAGCTTTCCTCATTTTCTGGGCGCGTGGAGCAATGTCGACTCCATCGCCACTCCCGACTCGAAGCGCCATCTCACTTTACACTTCATCCCCGACAGTAGCCGCCTCGCTGCTCCCGTTATTGTCCCGCTTACCCGCTCTAGCAAAGACACGTTGCTTATTAGTTACACGCAGGACCAATTATCCGGGTATTTCCACAGTCACCCACCGATCAATTCAACCAACTAATTACACAGCAATTCGCCGCAGAACGGCAGCCATGGCCTCGGCTGCTGTCACGGCAACCACTGAAGAAGGGAATTTTGAGGGTGATTTACCCTCTCGGAACGTACCCGTTCAGATTTCCGGGCTCAAAGAGCTGGTTGAAACGGGGAAGTACGAGGTAGGGATGCTCCAAGCTTAGGAATCTAGCTTGAAGCTTCAAGGCCGTATGTCTCCCTGACTTTCATTGAGGTCGTTTTTGAGGCGCCTCAAAAACGACCTCAATGTCTCCCTGACTCACCAATCCTCCCTCCCGGCTTCGAATCCCTCGCTTCTGTTCCATTCGTCCCATCCCGCTCCTGCCCCTCCTCCTTCTCCCCTCCCTCCCTTTACTCCCCTGCCACCTCCCTTCCCCAAGGCGTGCATTCTGGACCGGTTTGGTATGCTAAACGAAGGCATACCGCTGTGCTATGCCACCACTTCCCTTTTGTTCTTTGAGAATTCTCAACAAACACACGCTCGAAAATATCACCCTCCCATGGGAAGTTGAACGAAGGCATACTGCCGTGCTATGATGCCACCACTCCCCTTTAGCCGCTGTCCTCATTCCCTTTCAACCACCCCCCACCCCACCCTCCTCCTCCTCCCCTTTACCGCTCTCCCCCTCTGCTGACCCATCCCCAAGGCCTGGATTCTGGACCAGTTTGGCGTGCTGCACGACGGCAAGAAGGCGTATCCCCAGGCAATCGAAGCATGTGAGTGGGTCTCACAACTCATCATGACCCGTTTCGTTTGCTCTCAGCTTCCCGGTAAGGGGGATCCTGTATTGAGTATTGGGTGGTGGTGCGTTCCCTCTCTCCCTTCCTTGCACGCCCCTCCCTCCGAGTTCCCTTTTTCTTGCATCCATTTGGGAGAATTATTGAAAGTTCAACAAGAATACTTCTCAAGCAGTCCTGCATTGAGAATACTTTTCTCCCTCAGACCACGCAGACAACCATTCACTTATCTCTAATCACTATCCCCATCCTTATCCGTCCCGGCCAATCACAGTGCGCCAGCTGGCAGCGTCGGGCGCCAAGGTGGTGCTTCTCAGCAACTCGTCTCGCAGGGTGGAGGTGGCTTCCAAGAAGCTTCCCACTCTGGGTTTCGACCCGTCTCTCTTCTGTGGAATCGTGACGAGTGGGGAGATCACACACCGACACCTGATGGAGTGAGTGTGAACAAGGAAGACCACACACGGGAGTGAGGGAGTGAGTGAGTGGCCCGGTCGCACCCCCCCGCATTAACATGGTGGAAGAAAACTTTGTAACGTTTGACCAAATCACAGAAACGTTTTCAGCCTGTTTTACTTTTCGAAGCTATTGAACAAGACCCAGGAGGAGATGGCCGCACTGGTTTGGGATCTTGTCTGATGCGTCGTGGCACGGATGGAGGTGCGTTTTCCGCCTCTTTCCCTTCCCTAACCGTATCTCCTCGCCCTTCTCCTCTCCTCACCCAACCTCCAGTCCCTCTGTTGACCCATTCAAGACTCTCCAATTAAAGTGCCTGCATTTCACCTGAGCTTCTAGGAGAACTGCGTTTCCCCTCACCCTGTTTTTCCTCTCCTCTCCTTTCCCCACCCTCCAGTCGCTCCCTTGTCCCTGTCTTCCAGACCCTCGGATCAAAGTGCCTGCATTTTACCTGGGCTCCGATGGGGGCTGCATCCCCCCTCACCTCCCTTTTCCCCCCCACTCTTTCCTAACTCTTTCTCCTCCCCACTCTCTCCCCCCCTCAACCCACCTCTCCAGTCGCTCCATTGACCCTTTCTTCCAGACTCTCGGATCAAAGTGTCTGCACTTCACCTGGGCTGCTAAGGGTGCTGCATCTACCCTCGCCCCTCTTCCCCCACTTTCTCCTCCCCTCTCTCCCCTCTCTCCTACCCCCCACACCCTCCAGTCGCTCCCTGGACCCATTGTTTCAGACTCTCGGATTAAAGTGCCTGCACTTCACCTGGGCTGCCAGGGGGGCTGTTTCGCTGGAGGTACGCCTATGGGCATGCATGGGAGTGTGTCAGGGTGAGATGCAGACACCCTTTGGGAACCATGCTAATCAGAGAAGGGATACCCCTTGACTTCATGCCAACAAAGCGCCTTCACTTCACCTGGGCTGCTGGGCTATCACGGAATGTGTTTTTGCTTTAGGGGAGGCAGAGGAGGAGGCACCGGGAGCAGGGTCGCGTTCGAGATACCACACGGGCTCTAGTAATGCTACCGGTGGGACTGGCACAAGTAGCAGAATTTATTTTGCGCACGCAGCACAGATGCAGATCAAGCGCAGTAGCTGCCTCAGCACTCACTTTCACCTCCCTCCCGCCCTGCCTTCCTTCTTCTTGCCCTCCCTCACTCATGCCATCCTCCTGGTAACAGGGGTTGGGTCTTCAGGTGGTTGAAACGCCAGAAGAAGCGGATCTTATTCTCGCGCACGGCACAGAGGCAGTGGGGGTCGCAGAAGCAGACAAACCCGCCCGCCCGGCCTCGCTGGATGAGCTGGCGGGGCTGATGCGCCGGGCGGCGGAGGAGGGGCGACGGAGAGGCAGGATGATCCCGATGGTCGTGGCAAATCCTGATATAGTCACGGTGGAGGCTCGGGCTTTAAGGGTCATGCCCGGGACTCTGGCTCGGGAGTACGAGGCAATGGGAGGTCTGGTCAAGTGCATGGGGAAACCGGACCCTGTGAGTGATGTAATTTCTTTCTCTCCGATTAGCCCAGATAATATCTATCATGGTGGAACAATGTTCTGAGTTGGCTAAACTGGATTACACCTGGAGGGGAGGCGGAGAGGCAAGATGATCCCGATGGTCGTGGTAAATCCTGATATAGTCACGGTGGAGGCTCGGGTTTTAAGAGTCATGCCTGGGACTCTGGCTCGGGAGTATGAGCAGATGGGGGGTGTAGTCAAGTGCATGGGGAAACCGGATCCTGTGAGTTCAAGCTTTCCTGAAGGTCATGGGCTGATGAGGGTAGAGGTCAAGTGCATGGGGAAACATGACCCTGTGAGTGGTTCCACGTTTTTCCTTCAGATTAAAGCAGGCACCCTGCATGACTTTGTTTTTCTTTTCATCCAAAGGTGCCTGCTTGAACCCATCCCTCAGTCGCGAATTCTTTTAACCTTACTCCCGCTCCTGCTTGCTCCTTCATCCCTCACAGATTTCTTTCCGAGCAGCCCAGCAGCTGACCGGGATCCGTCTCGACCGCACAATCATGGTCGGCGACTCGCTGCACCACGACATTCTAGGGGCCGCATCTTTGGGCATTGACTGCGTGTTTGTGGCCGGGGGGATACACGCTGATCAACTAGGGGTGCCGCCACCACTAGCAGCAGCTGCACCAGGGGAGGAGGAAGGGGAAGAGGGAAATGTGCACAGTAGAGTGGAGATGGAGGGAGGGGGAGGAGTGGATGTGGGAAAGTTGTCAGAGCTGCTAGAAGAAACGGGTGCTGAGCCTTCGTACGTGCTGCCTTATTTCCAGTGGCAGTAACATGCATGCTTGATTGGCAACTGGCATATGTTAGGCATTACCAGTAAAAGGATCTGTGGCACTAGAGATGGAGAGGCATCCTGGTGTATCTCGTGGAGAAAAAATAAATGAAAATGTGAAAGAAATGCAGGAAAAATGAGCCAAACAGGCCACAAAGCACTCTAAACTGTAAAGAAAGAAGAATCAAGGCACTGATACGCATTCAACAATAATTATGGATATGAAACATTCACCGTCGAATTCAAGCATTTGCGCAGCTGCTCTTGGCTTATCCTAGGAGACGTCTTCAAGCAAAGAAAGCTGAGCTTCCTGAGACTCTTCAACCCGCTAATCCCGTGCGTTGTAAAGCCCGAACAATCATCTAGAGTCAATTTTTGCAGCGCGGTGAACCGCACTACATACCCTAATGCGTAGTCCGTTAATCTGAAGCAACACCGCAGGTGTAGCTCTTGTAATGACCGCGCCAGGTATTGATCACTGTAGTAATACTCCTGCCCTGGAGGCTTATAGCGAGACAGCTTCTCTATGCCTTTATCGGAGATGGCATGGCATGCATCTGCTTCTAGGAGCACCAATCGCAAGCCGGCAATTAGTGCAAACCCATCATCTGTAACGGCTTGGCACCCCTTGAGGTGTAGACGTTTGAGTGTAGTTATGTGCATTAGGAGCGTAAGACCCCTGTCTGTGAGTTTCACACAGGCAGACTTGGTAGATGAGAGGGAGGAGGCAGATGAAGTGCGGATGGCAGATGGAGACGAAATGTTGGATGAAAGGAGAGGCTTGGCAGATGGGAGGGAGGAGGAGGCAGAAGATTTTTTCAGAGATGCAGGTTGATAGCTGGCAAAGGGGGGCCGAGATGTGGACGTACCAGCTGTAGCAGTAGCAGCTGTAGCAGCTGTAGCAGCTGTAGCAGCTGTAGCAGCTGTAGCGGATGTGATTGTGGCTGATGCAAAAGCAGCGGCTGGTGGGACTGTATCTGACGTGACTGTATCGCAGCCCCAGAGCCAAAGCTCCTTGAGAGACCGCAGGTGAGACAGGTGCAGCAGCGAGGCGCTCATGTCGTGACGAATGGTGCAACCCACGCAGCCGCCCAGGGACAGAATCTCAAAAGATTTGATTTTCCCCAGGTGATGCAGGCCGATACTGCTGATGCTGCATCCGTGTAACCACAATTCTTGTAGTGTAGTTACTGTAGAAAGGTGACCTAAATGCTCCTCCCGTATGTGAGTGTGAGATATGAACAGTGATTTGAGAGAGGGGCACTTGGAAAGATGCGCTATAACAGGACCAGAGAGGCCTGTACAGAGGATGAGGCTGAGTCGCTGCAGCGAATGGAACGACGACAGGTGGCAAAGAGAGTCATCCTTGATCCCCGTGCATCCCGCCATGTGGAGCTCTTTCAGGTTCTCGGTCAGGCTGTCAATCTGAAGCACACCTGCCCCGGGCAGAAGAAAATTTCCGGTGATGGCCTTGCAAGCTGATTTGGAACCCTCCCGCCCGAAAACGAGTTTGGCGATGGTGGGGAGGATAGAAGGGTGGAGAATGGAAAGGGCGCGGATGAAGAGGGATATGTCGCGGTCTGAAACGGTGGGGTAGGGTGTGAAGTCGAGGCAGGCTTGTTGCAGGGCGGTGGGGAATGACTGGAGCATCAGATGGGCTGTTGCCTGTTGGTAGAGGGAGAGTGGGCAGAGGGCGTGTGGTAAAGAGGGGGAAAGGGAGGGAGAGGGGGATGGGGGAGTTTGGTGGGAGGGAGGTTTTGAGAGGAAGGAGGTTGAGGGTGGGAGGTGGGGGGTGGGAGATGGTGACAAGCAGACTGGAATGGAAAAGTCGTGAACCGAGACAGTACGGAAAGCATGTGAAAATCAACAACATAAATTGCCCGTGCGAAGAGCAACCTTTTTAGTAGTTGAGAGCACAGAAAGACTGCAACAACTAGGGCTCAATGGATCAGGGAATGGGTGGAGGTTTGTTTTGAGAATTCTCAAAACAAATCTACAGCAACTAGGGCTCAATGGATCAGGGAATGGGTGGAGGTTTGTTTTGAGAATTCTCAAAACAAATCTACAGCAACTAGGGCTCAATGGATCAGGGAATGGGTGGAGGAAGCAGAGTGGGTAGGAGGAGGAACGGGTAGGGAATGGGAGCGGTCGGTTCCTGAGGCGCCTCAAGAAAAGAGTAGGGCTCAATCGATGGATTGGAGAATGTGTGGGGAAAGCGGAGCGGGTATGAACGGCAATTACCTTCTCGTTCTCGTGTATCTGGCTTCTCTGCGTGTTCACTTCGGCTTCTAGCTTCAGACTGCTGTCACACACACTCCCCAGCTTCCCTTTCAAGTGACCCACTTCTGCTGCTGCAATAAGCTCCCCCTGCTGCTCTTGCTGCTGCTCTTGCTGCTGCTCTTGCTGCTGTTCATGCAACTGCTCATGTCTCTGGCTGCTGTTACGAGTAACTCTATCTGCTATTCCCTTCAGGTCTTCCGCTTGCTTCTGCTGCCTCTGCTGCTCCTGCATCCTCGTTACAACATCCTCCACTAACACTAACCGAACCTTGTTTCCAATGCTTCCCGCAACTGCCGTAGCTGCAGCCGCCGCAGCAGCAGCAATAACTGCTTCTCCCCCTCCGCCTCCGCCTCCTCCCCGTAAGTCCTCAGATCCTTCCTCGAACCATTTTGGTGGAGGTGCATTGCTCGCCTTGTTGCACACACACGTGATGCTCTGTGGAGGCACGAGGGAGGGACAGAAGAGAGCATGGATGTGGCTGATGAGTCACCACACAAGTCGCTTCTAGAAGCACGGCTTGCCTTTCTTGTTGCACGTTATGCTCTGTGCGATGACTAGTATTGAGGCGCCTCAGAACTGTGACTGATTGAGTCACCACAGAAGTCGCTTTTAGAAGCACGGCTTGTCTTGCTTCTTGCACGTTATGCTCCGCACGATGACCAGGGAGGAACAGACGAGAGCATGGATGTGGCTGATTAACCTCAGAAGTCACTGTACGGTTTAGGGTGATATCTGATGTAAGCATGGATGTGACCTGCCTTGTTGCGTTCTCTCGTTCTGATGCGAGGCCACCAGGGGGCATAGGTGCATAATGAGTCGTGTTTTAAGTCGACTCAAACACAACTCATTCTGCCGCGTGGCGACCAGGGGGCATAGGTGCATAGAGAGAAACAGGGAGGCCCAGGTGTATGTTGAGTCGAGTCAAAGTAACTATCCTGGGCTCACCTTGAGCATGTCGTGCAGCCGTTGCAACTGCTCGTCCACCTCCGCCTGCCACGGGCCACAGCAACAAAAAGGCACCAACCAATTTCCTCGGAATAAAAGATACATCCAAACAGTCAGCCTGGTGTAGGAAGGGCGGAGGACTGCGGGGTAACAGAGAGTGAAACATATGGACTGCACCTCTTGAAACATTTCGAGAGGGAGAAGGATGAAGAAAAGGGAGAAGGCTCAAGCGCTAGCCACATGCACTGGTCATAAGCACCATCTGCAATCATGACTCACAAGCACACCACTAACGACCACTACTCACAAGCACTTCGCCAACCGCCTTCTCGTGCTCCAAAATCGCACGCTTTTCCGCATCTGAGGGCCAGGCCACGGGATTCCCACCATCACAATCCTTTCCCCCGCTGCTCTGACCCCCCGCACCAATGCTACAATCCCTTGCAACCTCGAGATTCATTCTCCCAATGCCAACGGGTTTCGCCAGGCCATCTGGGCTCTGGAAAGGCTTGGGTTTCTCAGGATCCCCTGGCCTCTCAGGTTTCTCATGCTTGGAACAATCTTCTTCCGGGTTTCGGGAAGTTTCCAGAAAAGTAACGGTCTGAAGGGCCAGCATGGCTTGCTGGTGAGAGTGCATCGCCTGATCAACAAGACGGCCGATGGCTCTAACTCGAACTCGAGCATCGCGCAACGAGTGGCTGAAACGGCAACGGAGAGCATGAAACGGAAAAGAAAAAAGGCACTCCTTTGGATTGGTAATGACGAGATAAGGATGATTATTGTAACGAGTTCCAGGCGTAGGAATACAAACAAAACGACTTGAGTCATACCGTGACGACATTTTCGCCTCATTCCTGGTGATATCCTGGGTGCTTCAACAGATGAAAGTCTTAGTCAGCCCTAGTCAGTCCTGCTAGCATTTGACGTGAATTTGTTACCTTAAGATACCGCTTATCACTACTGGAAGTAATATTACACAAACGCGTATTAATGGGACCCGTAACGTTTGCAAGATGATATGTCTTAGATAGATAATTGATGGTGCGAGAATCCGCGTGACGCTGAAGAACGGCGCTGTCAGAGACAAGGCAAACGCAGCCGTGAAGGGGATATTACAGTAGGCAGCGTTAGCGAATCGTCCGCTCAGGAATTCAGAAGCTGCCTGATGTGAAACAAACGACACTCGATCCTGCCATCCTGCCTGGTGCTAGAACGGAGAGAGCGGGAAACGAGAAGCGCTGGAAATGACCAATACCAAGAATGTCTAAGGGACGCTAAGGGAAGAAGAGTCGGTTTAATTAAGACTAGATTCGGTTCTGAAAGAGGAAAACTCGGCGCTGAAGAAGGAAGACTCGGTGCTGAGGGGAGAGGACTTTTCTGACAAAATAGTCGGACCAGAGAGGAATCGTGAAGAGTCAGAAATGAGGTTTCAGGATGGGCCACAACAATTTCAAGGGAGTGCAAAGCGGCGGCTAACTTGTGGAAAAGAGCCGACCATTGTGGTCGTTCGCGATAAGGCCAGCTTACTCTGGATAGCTCTGCAGCGATGGATGCAATCCCATCTTATAACTGTTATTTAGGTACCAGAGCACAGATGGGAAGATTAGGGATGTGATGTGTTCCAACGCTTGTCATGTGCCATTTCATAGAGAAAAATGTCAAATTTTGGAATTATGAATCATGTTATCAAGTATATCTTGGTTAAATCGTTCTAATGTTGCATATATACAGTTCTAAGGATCTTTTGTTGATCTTAAAATCATATTATACTATTGTATATGGGCTATCAATGAGCACATTTCCAGCTTTTGGACGTCAGTGTTCTCAGTGTGCTCGCAATAGCGAGGATTTACCGCCAGCAGCCAAGGTTCCAATGTGGTGCACGTGCTGCCGAGCCTTCTCATGGCATCGCCCTCCTAGCACATAGCTCAGGTTCGGTAAGTACCTTTCAGTTTGGTTCGGGGTGGTTGTTGTACTGACCACCACTGTTCAAAGGGGTGCTAGGTTTCGTTTGTGCTCAGCTGAGCCGCGTTGACGTCAGTGGCATTTCACCACGCACACATTGATTGGCTGCAGCTTCGGATCTGACGAGGAAGTGTCAATCGAGGTCCGCCAAGGCACGAGTCGAGGGCTACTGCGACTTGGAACATAACCAATAGGTTCGGCAAAGCTTCCGTGTACATTATCTTTCCAGGCCAGTTCATGAATCCGTGCACTGCCACCCATCCCTTCCTCTAGCATGCCAAGGGAGGTGGAGTCGAGCCGCTTGTTGCGTTGCCGGGACGGAAAATTCGAACCGCATCGAGCGTGAAGGGGTTTCTCGTTGCTGCCGACTTCCTGCTGCCCGAAACAAAAGTGAGGTGAGGAGGAGGATTGGTGCCGTGTACATTTTCTTTGCCCGAAATAAATCGTTTGCCATGGGCCGAGATGCAAGCAGCAACTAGCGTGGAAGTTTTTCGGTACTCGCAAAAACGGACCTGGCTGAAATGTGGGCGCGAACGTTGTTGCTCTTCCTTACCTCTCATGGCATTCTTGTTTGCTCCTTCTGAATTGTTGAGTGGGGATCAGGGCTATTGCTAGGATTTTTGCTAGCTCGGACGATCCGGGCCCCTGTGAAAAAGACCCTGTAAAATCCGAGCCAGCGGGAAAAAAACCTTGACGAATCCGGGTTCGAGCCAGAAAAGGCCTGAAAACATGCATTACCAGAATTTCGCGGGAAACTCACAGTGGGTTGCGCGAGGGCTGGGGAGATTGGAGATGGAGTGGCTCTGGAGGGGTGAGCGAGATACTTTTTGTAGACTTAGAAAAAAATACGATGAGGAAGAGTACATAGGGAGAACAGGGCAATCAGACACTCTCTCCTTATTGGCCTTCTAAGCCATGTCGACGTAGAACGGGGCAATCAGACACATGGAGGCCAACAAGGAGAGAGTGGTTAGGAAATTCACTAAAATTGGCCCAACGTGTGTTTAGAGGGAGACCGAGAGGAATGCAAGGCAGGTCGGGGAGAACATGTCTGCTAAAATTATACGGGTCCCCTTGAGAACTCCCCGGAGAGATCCGAGCTGACTCAAAAATCACCCTTCAGTTTTATGGGCTGTTCCGGAAAAAACCTTGTGAAAATCAGGGCTCCTAGAAAAAACACCCTATAATTTCAGTCAAAACAGGGTAATTGCCCTGATAACTTAGGCCCTGGTGGGGATGGATGCTGGCCGAGATCTGACAAGCAATTCCTTTTCAACTTGCGCGCAAGCCTCATTTCTCTACCTCTCATTCAATATCGCACGGAAATGAGTTCGCACCGCAGATGTACAGAAGAAAACCCCCTAGCGTTGTCGGTGCACCGGCGTCCACGTGAGGCAAATGCACTATCCTGTCCACTCGATCTATTCCGTCCGTACGATCCAGCTGGCATGCAGCGCACCGTGGGCCGAACTAGGCCTAGTATTTCTGGTTCCAAGCGCTCCGCTTACGAAAATTCTAGAAAATCTCTTGCCGTCCCTCACAGACGCCTTCAGTTACTACCACAGCCGCCCTTCGGCCTGCCTTGTGTTGTACAGTACACACTGTACTCGAAGTCGTACGGTGCGAGCCTCCCGTCCTCCACACCGCGACAGCCACAGAAGGAAGAACTGTATCACCGAGCCTACCCACACGATACGGTACTACGTCCGGGACAGCGGCCCCGATCGAGGATTATTCGGTAAACCTCGTTCTTTATGAACCACCTCGGGGCGCCTCGCCGATCGATAATCACATCCGGGCGTCCGACCGTCGCGCTACTGACCGTCGCTCTGTACTGTCCACAGAGCTAGTCGATGCTTGTTCTCCTGCGTCGCACCTTGGGGGCGAGTGCCTGGAAACTGTTGGCACACACACAGAACGGCGAACCCGGTGGCGGTTGGAACACCTTGGCTCAAGCTGACCCTGTCGGACAGTGATTCAGCCCATGTATATACATTCCGGCAGACAAGCTGATTTTTGAGAAATTTGAGAATTCTCAAAAGCCAATTTGGTAGAAGCGACCTCAAGTTCCCGAGACGGGTTTCCTTAGACAGGCATGACGAGGACTGCAGACCCTCCAACTATTATCAGCATCAGTAGCAGTGGTACCAAGTCCAGCATGACGTCGATTCCTCGCGTGGTATTGCGGTCGTTTCGCGGCGCGCGTCAGCGACTCGTGAAAGCGCGCCTCGACCTTGTTCTCCTTCCCCTGTCGCTAATGTTCGCGTTGCTTCTCGCCGTCGCCTCCGGCGACCCCGTCAATCGCGGCGGGCCTCTCAGCGCCGGTTTCCTCGGCGTGCAACGGTCGGCGGAAACGTGGCGAGTGCCGCAACAGTTGTTCGAACTGCGAAACCTGACGCGAGCCGTCGCGGTGTTACGCGAACAGTACACGGCGGCGGCGACTCGCAAAGGCGACACGGCTGGTGTGCGTCAAAGCGGGGCGACGACGGGGGGAGCAGGGGGAAGCGGAAATGGCGGAAGAGAAACAGCTGCTCTTGGAGCGAACGGCGCGAGCGAAAGTTACACTAGGGCTGGGGTTACCGCTTTCGCAAATGTCGTACCGAAGGATGAAACGGACCCGAACGCCCCGTATACAGTGTTCGAAGTGGCGAGACCGATTGTACGGCCGCAAGGAGCCGAGGAGTGTACAGTAACTCTGTTCACGGACGAACCTTTCGCATCTACGATTGGTAACCCGCCGACGCAAACTTCGTACACCCCCGACCCGAACTGCGCCTCGGTGAGTAAGGCGGTAAAACTTGTTAGCTGGGACAAAATTCAGAAAATTCGGCGATGCGATTGATTGCGACGAGGCAGGGAAGGGAAGAGAGGAAAGAAAACGGGGGGAGGGGAGAAAAATATGCGCGGTATGAGCGGAGAGAACGGGGAGGGTGTGGGCGGGGTATTGTAGCGGGAGATAACAATGCGCGTAAACTCTTGGTTGGGATGGGAAGATCAAGGGATGCATGGTGAGGGGTGGATGCAGTTTCTAGAATTCGCACCATTGGCGCTTGGCTTGGGCTCCAAAGCTCGGAGATCCGAGGCAAGAGTAGCGGGTGAAGGGTTGAATGAGGTCCAGACTGACGGTTTCTACCTTTATGCCACGTGTCGCAGGCGGATTGGTCGCTCGCTGTGCTGGCGGTGGGCGTGAAGGTGAAAGGCACGCAGTTTGACCGTCGCATGGTCATTTTCTTTGGCGGTTTCGAGGTTTCCAGATCAATGTGAGTACTCTCTGATTGAGAGAACTAATGTGATTACTAATGTGAGTGCAGCTGAGTGTCAATACGTCACGTTTGAGTGTACGATGCATGCACCTCGGAAGACGGTGTTGTGAGCCTGCTCTTAGTGCGTCTGAGTCTCTGATTTCCCTCTTTATCATTCTTCCTATCTCAACCAGCCTTCCTTCCCCCATCCCCCCCTATCCTCTCCCATCTCCCCCCCCCATCGCCCCCCATAGCCACCCCATCTCACCCTATTACCTTGTCCGCCCTATTGCGTGACTCGTTAACAGCACTGCAGAGCCATTGGGAACGGAGGTTCACTACTCGTTTGAGCGAGACGTGACCAATTATGCACCGATGCTTAAAACTGTGAGTTCTAAACAGCCACATCCTCTTGTTTTCCTCATCTCATCCTCTTCACTCCCTTCTCATCCTTGCCACCCCTCTTCCTATTCCGCTTTCCTCTTCTCTTTTTCCTCCCTTCCCTTCTCCTCTCCTCTTCCTCTCCTTTCCCCCCAGCTTATCTCCTACCTCTTCTCTTGAATTGCTTCTGCTCAACCTCACCCAACACCTAGTACCATCCCGTGCACCATGCCATGCCATCCCATCCCATCCCATCCCATCCCATGTTATGCCATGTCAGGCCTCCACTGTCTATGTGATTCTAGAGAACGTCGTTGACGGCGAGTACACCGGCATTTTCAACGTCACCATCTCATGCAACTCTCTCCCTCCTTTCCCCCTGTTCTCCCCTCTCCTTCCCTTCACCCCTGCAGGCCTCCACTGTCTATGCGATTCTAGAGAACGTCGTTGACGGCGAATACACCGGCATTTTCAACGTCACCATTTTTCTAACCACCTACAACCCCTCACCCTTCTTGTCCCCCCCTCCACCGTTCCTCCAGGCCTCCACTGTCTATGTGATTCTAGAGAATGTTGTTGACGGCGAATACACTGGGATTTTCAACGTCACCATCTCCCTCACAACGTACAAAGGAACACCCCCCACCACACCCCCGTCCCTCCTCCTCTCCTTCTCCAACACCTCTCCCTCTTCCTCCCCTTACATCCTTTCCGGAGCCTCAGCCACTACTCGTAGTGCTATACAATCACTCTCCGGCCTTCCGACAAATGTGATTAAAGCGAAGGTGGAGCTTACTATATCAATGCACGCGGACGACGAGTTTTATTACCTCTATTTCCCAAATAAGTTCTACAATAGCCTTCCTAGTTCCTTAAAGCCCAAATTCAAACCCGAAGGCGGTCCTTTTCGCGAGCTAAATCTCTTCATCGACGACCGATTTGCCGGGGCAATTTACCCTTTCGTTCCGCTTTACACCGGTGCGTTCAACCCGCTGCTCTGGTCACCTGCAGTGGGAATCGGAAATTTCGGCTTCCCGACAGTTACCCTCGACGTGACCCCGTTTGCAGGGGTTTTATCCGACGGGCAGCCGCACGAAATTAGGGTTTCGGTGGTGAATGCAAAGCCTGGAGCCGCGTGGTATGTGACTGGGATCGTGCACGTATGGGTGGACACCGGAGTGACGTCTACTGCTGGGCCCCCACCCACCATCAAGGTTGCTCCCAGCAGGAGGAAAGAGAGAGTGAAGCTGTTTGAGAGTCCACTGGTGAAAGCGCTGCGGCTGATGGGAGTCCGGATCAGCATCGACGGGAAATACAGCACCGTTGCTGCGCGTGACTACTCCATCTCAGGTTAGTGTGGGTGTGGTATTGCTACACTGACACAGGGTGCTGCGTAGGGTGATAGGGTGATAGGGTGGGGTGCGCAGCACGAGGGTGCGGCTCAGCATTCACAGCAAGTAACAGCACTGCAGCTGCATGTGAATACTCCCATCCCATCTCAGGTGAGGAGCGTGTATAGTGGAACAACATGCGCATCAAGATGCAACAGTGCGACGCCTTTCTGTTCCTGATGCACTCCACTTCACACCCCGCGCTTTACAATCACACCCCTCTTTACTATCACACCAGGGACGGTAACCACAGCAGATTGCCCGGTAACCGCTCTGATCGGTGAAACCCGACGAAAGGGAACATCACACGCATTCACACTTGTGCTTGCTGCTCACTTCCATTCCCCCCTCTACAATCACATCCCCCTGTTTCAATCACACCAGGCACGGTAACCACAGCTGGTGGCCCGGTTACCACTCTGGTTACATCCTCCCTATCCGTGGATGCAGCAGCGATGGTGCAGGGAGGGGGGGCCGCAATCACGTGGTGGAACAACGTGGGGGTTAAGAGGACTGTGACCGCCACACATGGAACGACCAAGGCTGTGCTGTCCTCCCAGACAGACACCTTCTCGTTCCCACTCCGCATCAAGCAGACGTCCTCTGACTGTGAGTCTTGGGGGTGTCTCAAGTGGGGTACTCACAATCACAACCGGTGGTGAGGCGTGCGTGGGGGGCCGCAATCACGTGGTGGAACAACGTGGGGGTTACGAGGACTGTGACCGCCACACACGCAACGACCAGGGCTGTGCTGTCTTCCCAGACTGATACGTTCTCGTTCCCACTCCGCATCAAGCAAACATCGTCTGACTGTGAGTCTTGGGGTTGTCTCAAATGGGGCCATCACAATCACAAGTGCTCCTCCAAATGATGTGCTGCTGGCAAGAAATGGGCGCTTGATTGTGCACGTTTTGCCCTGCTCTTTGTTTTCTTTTTATTTTAATTTATATATATTTATTTATATATAATATTTCCCCCAAACCACCCTTATTCCGTGTTACGCAGCCTATGGATCCGGCAAGTTTGACATTGACAGCGGATACAACCACAAGACCGTGAAATTTCCATCTACACCATCCTCATCAGCATCAGTATCACCATCGGTGGGATCTGCATCGGCATTACCAACATCATCTACGCCGTTATCCTCCTCCGCACCTACTGCAACCAGCTTGCAGAACTCGCGGAAAGATTCGTTCAGCGTACAGGTGGATTCGAAAGGTAATGTTATCGGTTCGTCCACTTCCGGTAGCCAGAAGTATGCGTATAAGTGCAGCCCGGGAAGTAGCGGGTGCTACTCGAGACAAATTAAGACGAGGCCGATTGAGGTGCTTCACAACAAAGAATTGACTAGCTGCTGATGAGTATGGAGTGTACATGTAAGCTTGTGTATAAGAGTAAAAGGACCTTGCAGATATACATGTGCAAGGTCGTTGTGGTGTACCAATACTACGTACTACATTATATGCCAATGTGATCGTTTACATTATATTCCAAGATAGCCCATTTCCTCCTCAATCACCACCTTAATTCCTCCTCTTCTAGCTCCTCCAGTTGCTCCACTTATCACTTCCACCTCCTCCTTCAAGAACATGCTCATAAGCTGCCCAGACGACAGGTACTATGCGTACACAAATCCCCCACCAGCCAAAGAACCCTTTCCTTTGAAATTGCCTGGACATTTGCCCACACATACACCATATTAATAACTCCCCTTCTAGTTGCTCCACTTCTCGCGCTCCACCTCCCACTTGTTTGGGAACATGCCCATGAGCCGCCCAGACGACTGCTGGTACGCGTACATGAATCCCCCCATCAGCCCGAGGATACCCGCACAGTACATGCTGGGACCCCTTAGGTTGGCGCTCCCACCTGATGCGGTGGGGGTAAGGGAGGCATGAGAGGAGTGAAGGAGGAAATAGAGAGACGCATGTGACTGCTGGTACACATACATGAAAGTCCCCCATCAGTCCTACACAGTGGGACAGGAGAGACGTGAGAAGAGGGTAGAGGCAGAGGAGAATAGGGATGATATGTGGCTACTGCTACACATACGAAGCCCCCCGTCAGCCCTAGGATACTAGCACAGTACATGCTGGGACCCTTCAAGCGGGCGTTTCTGCGGTCCACCTGATGCAGAGGGACAAAGGGGGGACTAAAAAGAAGGGCAGGGGAACTCGAGACATCGTCAGAAAATCGGACAAACAGGCAAAGATGTTGGAGAAGGAGAATCCTGGCAGAGCCGTTGACATTCGTTACAATCTGGTCCCTACATTGATCAGATGGGTCATGCTGGATAATATTTTTTAAAGCGCCTCAAAAGCAAAATCATGAACAGGGATCGTGCATTGTGGTTGTTCCTAAGCAGTCGCGTACATGCGAGGATTTCGGACGCGCCTCGATACGAGGTGCCAAACGACTCGTTCATAATGGTGACTCAGGAAACGAAACACCTTCAGAAAGATCTTAAAACCGGGGTCTCAAGTTTCCCGAAGTTGCCTCATCCTTCCTACCTTTGGTTGGGTTACAAGGTCCAACCAAGCTTCCTACCTTTGGTTTTGTCACAAAGTCCAACCAACCTTCCTACCTATGAAACCTGTGGACCCTGGGTTTCAAGGCGAGTTGTAGTCCTTGCGAGTGAATATTGACAATTCTCAAAATTCACTCGCAAGGACTCAAGAAACGAAACACCTTCAGAAAGATCTTGAGGCGCTGACACGGAAACGAATGTGAGATCCCACATGAGTCGACTCAAAAGCAAATCTTGAGGCGCTGACGCGTATGCAACAGCGGCCGTCGTCTACGTCCGCGACGTACCTGCGAGGTAGCCGAACGGTAACGACACGGCAATTTTTGAGGCGCGTAAAAAACCGGCCTCCGTCTATGTCGTCGACGTACCTGCGAGGTAGCCGAACGGCAGCGACACGGCGGTGAACGTGGCGACGTTCTTGTAGTCGCTGAACGTGAAGTTACCAACCGTGCGACCGAACGACGGCGTGCGATCGATCACCGGGAACTTGGGCTCGTCCAGAAAGATCCCCATCGCGTCGTCTAGTGTCGCTGGTGTCGCCTGGTGTCGCTGCGTCGCTGATCGCCTTCGTCAAAAGGATAGCGTGAAGGAGGGCTGTCGAGGGTACGTGAAACGTGTAGGGGTGAAAACGTCACGAGCAGATTCGTCCCAGTGGATTGGCGGATTTGGTGGTGGATTTGACGGTAACAGCTTTCGGCGGTAGTTGGACGGAACTCGACGGAGATGAATGCGGCAGCAGAGAGGGGGACGAAAACAGAAGCCCAGAAAGGAAGGCGGTCGAGTCGCGAAACCGTTGCACCCTCCTAATCTGCGATCCAAGGAGGCTGGAAGACGTAAGTGGCTCCTCTGTCCTACTCTAACCAATGTGAGACTTCCCTCCAAATTCGAATTAGGGTTATACTATCGGGGGGGAGTATGGGGTGCTTGTGCGTACAACGCATTACAAACACCGCATTTTATTAATCCTGGCTGCATCGCAAAATTTTGCGAACTCAGATTCTAACAACTGAGAAATGTCAAAGCAGGAGAGGTTTACAGGTAGAAAATGCTAGCATGTGGCTCATGCTCAGTACAAGGAAAACATGGAATGAGCATGTCAATACATACACAACCCAGCAGCATTCTGCAACCTTCAGTTGCTTCGTTCAGTCCCAAAACTGGTCAATGGTCATAGAAGCAACACCTGTGACAAACTCATTCTATCTACCAGTCACAAGTCATGCCACATGATGATCACTCCTGGCGATGTAGTTTTAGCCAGCAGACATTAACTGCCAAACATCTCTTGGATTCGATACAGTCCGCACTGCACTTAAAACCATCGATCCTAATGGTGGTTACGAGGCAGCGGTAACCGCCATGCCAATCTTCATCTCATTGTTACCAGTCTCCCGCTCCGCCTGCTTCCCCTGCTGTGCTTGCTGCAGCTGCTGCGACATCCCAACTTGAGAATCGGTGGCATAACTCGGCTTATTCACACTCGCATTCCCATCATTACCACCCTCCCTCACACCTCCATCCCTACCCATCATATCCACATCAGCTGATCCATCCTTTGCTCTAGCTGGTTGCATCTGCTGCTGTGCTGGCTGCACCTGAGATTGCACCTGAAATGGAACCTGTGCTTGCTGTGTCGGTTGCTGCTGCTGCTGCTGCTGCTGCCGTGGCAGTTGGTTAGAGTTCGTCTGCTGCTGCATTGCTGCTGCATGCCCTGCTGCCAGTCCCTGCTGTGGCCCTGCCCTTGCCTCAATCCCACCCTGCTGCTGCTGCTGTTGCTGTAGCAGGGGCGATGTCTCCACACCTTCATCCTTGGCTATCTGCTGTCTGTTAGTCTCTTGGGGAAAAGGGTTCTGCTTCACATGCCCATGCCCATACCCATGCCCATGCGCGTGTGCCATGCCTTGCGCCACGACCCCTTGCTGACCCTGCCCCCCTTGCCCCTGTCCCATCTGCCCCTGATTACCCTGTCCCTGCCCCTGCCCCTGTCCCCCCTGACCCTGCCCCCCCTGCCCCTGCCCTCCCCCCATGGGTGGCAGGGGCGGAGGGGGAAGCTCAGGGGCGGGGATGGGGGTGAGCTGGGGGGAGAGGGCGGTGGGGGCGGGGTTGGCGAGGGGGGCTCGTACGTAGAGCTGGCCGTGTAGGGTTACCACTGCTGACGTTTGATTCGCATTGATGGCTGCTGGGAGCAGAATCACCTGCGGGGGGAGAGGAAGGGCAGGTGAAGAGAAGAAGGCGGGAGGGAAAGAGGGGGCTCGCACATAGAGCTGGCCGTGTAGGGTTACCACTGCTGACGTCTGATTCGCATTGATGGCTGCAGGGAGCAGAATCACCTGCAGGGAGAGGAGTGGGGCGAGGGAGGGGGTCAGATGGATTTGCACATAGAGCTGGCCGTGTAGGGTTACCACTGCTGACGCCTGATTCGCATTGATGGGGTAAAACTAAGGCCTCACCTTCTTGAAGGGAGTGACTCCCCACGGGTTGTCCGGCTGCTCTGGCTCCCCTGCAATAACCAGCTTGCCTGCCGGCTCACACTGCACTCGCACCTGAGAGAAAAGAGAAGGGGTGAGAGAGCAGGGGTGAAATGCGATGGAAGGGTGTGTGTGCGTGCGTAAGGATTGCTCTGGCTCCCCTGCAATGACCAGCTTGCCTGCCGGCTCACACTGCACTCGCACCTGTTGAGGCAAAAGAGGGGGTGAGGAGGGGTAAAGTGCGATAGATATAGATTATGAAAGGGTTGCTCCGGCTCCCCTGCGATTCCCAGCTTGCCTGCCGGCTCACACTGCATGCGCGCGTGAGAGAGAGCACAGAAGGGGTGAGAGGGGGCGACGTACGGTAAATTCTTCAAGAAATATAAACAAACAACAGCACCAGCAGCCCACACTACACCCCCACCTAAAGGAGACAGAGAGTGTGTGTGGGTGTTACGTTAAAGCAGCAAACACCATCTGTGTGTATCTGTAGCGCACCGTCTGGAGAAATACCACTATGCGAAGCAGCAGCGACACTCGGCTCACCTCTTCCCGCAGCAGGCCTGGGACAAGAGCGTAGATCTCAAAGCAGACTAGCTGGGAAGGGTCAAGTCGTGAGCTGGGACAACCATAATGTGAGCTGACCACTTTCCTACTCACCTTGCCTCTCTACCTACTCACCTCGTCTCTCTACCTACTCCACTCACCTCTTCCCGCAGCAGGCCTGGGACAAGAGCGTAGATCTCAAAGCAGTCAGGCTGAGATAGTGGGGGGCCGGGTGCGAAAGGGCAAAACGCGAAATGCCAGAGTTAGGAAAACAGGAATGAGAGCGCAGGCCTCAAATAGCCTCAAGCTCAAAGCAGTTCAGTTGGAGAGCGGGTGGGGGCAACGGAAAGAGATAATCGCCAAAGTGGGTCCTAATCTTTTGCCTCCCAACCCCAGAATAACCCAAGGGGTGGGGGCAAAGATCTGAAAAAAAGAGAGCCTAAAACAGACCCAATTCCGCCCATTTTGAAATCTAAACCCATCAGTACCAATCGCCGATTTTTGAGGCGCCTAAAGAATCCAAATCCATGCGTACCGATCGGCGGACGTTGATTCGAACCCAATCGGCCGGGAGACCCAAGTCGTTCACCACTGCCACTGCCCCATCATCCATTGCTGCTGCTCCCACTCCTCCCCCTCTAACCCGTACCAACCCATCCCATCCCAGCCCATCCCGACCCATCCCATTCCCAACCCATCCGTACCGATCGCCGCACGTTGATTCGAACCCAGTCAGCTGGCAGACCCAGGTCGTTCACCACTGCCACTGCCCCATCATCCATCGCTGCTGCACCCACTCCTCCTCCTCCTCCTCCTCCCACTCCACCCCCCACTCCCCCCCCTACTCCTCCCCCTATCCCTCCCCCTGGTCCTCCCACAACCCCTGCTCCCCCTCCTCCCACTCCCCCACGCCCTGCCCCTCCCTCCCCTGCATTCCGCCGCCCCCCCTCTCTCCCCGCAGTTCCACCTCCCCCAGGTGTACCTCCCCCGCTCCCAGGGGGCCTGCCTCTGGGGCGGGGCGCATCTGCTGCCCTGGTCGCCGCCCCAGGTGTTCCTTCAGGTGTTTCTTCTGTTGGTTGCAGGGAGGAGGGTGGGAGGGAAGTGGGGTGGAGAGGGGAGGAGTGGAGGGGGGGAAGGGGGGGGTGGGGGGGTTTGGGAGAGTTGCAGCGAGTGTAGAGAGTGGAGATTAGGCGAGCGGAGGAGAGTAAGTGATGAGACATCTCAGTTGTTTAACTTACATCTCAATGCAAGAGGAAACAAATCACGTACGTGCATCGCATCCAACGGACGAGGCATGAATCGGCATGAACCCATACCATGGACTCACCATGCTAAAGATTCGAATTCATAACTAGTGATACGACGAGTCACCCTCACTCTCACTCCTCACCTCCATCTTGGTTCCGCCTGTGCCGCTTTGGGCCCGATCCTGGGGTGCCGCGCTCCTGGGTAGAATAGAAGATGTGAACAGCAGGGAGAAAAGGGAGAGTAAAGGAAGAGACGAGGAGAGACCTTGGGACTCCCAAGTTGAAAGCGTCCGTGGGATCCCCATGATGCTGCATGGTGTTCTTGAAAATTCTAAAATACACCATGCAATCCCCATCAACAGCCCCAATCAAAACCTCAAAACCACGTCTTTTGAAACTGCCCTGATTTCAAAGCACTCACCTTGGGAGTATCCGTGTGGTCCCCGTCAGCAGCCCCGGTCTTGGCTGCAGCCAATCGCTTGGCTCCACGTGGCCCGCTGCCCCCCTGCTGCCATCAAAGCAGCAGAACAACCGGGTAGAAGCAACAGAACATAGGGGATACCCAGGGTAATGAGAACATACGGTTACCCAGTGGGAAGAGTGAAGCGTGTCTTTCAATCTCAACCATTCTCAACCACTCTCAATCACTCTCAACCGTGGTGCTTGTCGTCTGTCCGCGGGGTGATGGCTAGAGTGCCTTCTAGAAAGGGATTCCACTCTTGCGCCCACCACTACCCCGTACTCACTACCCCGTACTCACTACCCCGTACTCACTACCCCGTACTCACTACCCCGTACTCACTACCCCGTACTCACTACCCCGTACTCACTACCCCGTACTCACTACCCCGTACTCACTACCCCGTACTCACTACCCCGTACTCACTACCCCTACCCCCCCGTACTCACTACCCCGTACTCACTACCCCGTACTCACTACCCCGTACTCACTACCCCGTACTCACTACCCCGTACTCACTACCCCGTACTCACTACCCCGTACTCACTACCCCGTACTCACTACCCCGTACTCACTACCCCGTACTCACTACCCCGTACTCACTACCCCGTACTCACTACCCCGTACTCACTACCCCCTACCCCGTACTCACTACCCCGTACTCACTACCCCGTACTCACTACCCCGTACTCACTACCCCGTACTCACTACCCCGTACTCACTACCCCGTACTCACTACCCCGTACCACTACCCCGTACCCACTACCCCGTACCCACTACCCCGTACCCACTACCCCGTACCCACTACCCCGTACCCACTACCCCGTACCCACTACCCCATGCCCATTACCCATCCCCACCCCACCCTGCCATCTTACTCCATCACACACCCACACCACACCCCCACGCCCCCACAGCAGAACCACCCACCTCCTTGTGGTGCTTGCCGTCACTCTTCGGGGTGATGGCGAGAATGCCTTCCAGCAAGGGGTCCAACTCTCGGCCCACTACCCCGTTACCTTGCTCACCACCCCATGCGATCTCACTCCATCTCAACCCATCACAACCCCACAGCACCACGCACCTCCTGGTGGTGCTTGCTGTCTGTCTTGGGGGTGATGGCGAGAGTGCCCTCCAGCGAGGGATCCACGCCCACGTGCTTCTCGTACTCCAGTAGCGCCTGGAGGGGGTTGGTAGGGGTTGAAAGGGGTTGAGAGGAGTTTCCCTCCAGCGAGGGATCCACGCCCACGTGCTTCTCGTACTCCAGTAGCGCCTGGAGGGGGTTGGTAGGGGTTGAAAGGGGTTGAGAGGAGTTTCCCTCCAGCGAGGGATCCACGCCCACGTGCTTCTCGTACTCCAGTAGCGCCTGGAGGGGGTTGGTAGGGGTTGAAAGGGGTTGAGAGGAGTTTCCCTCCAGCGAGGGATCCACGCCCACGTGCTTCTCGTACTCCAGTAGCGCCTGGAGGGGGTTGGTAGGGGTTGAAAGGGGTTGAGAGGAGTTTCCCTCCAGCGAGGGATCCACGCCCACGTGCTTCTCGTACTCCAGTAGCGCCTGGAGGGGGTTGGTAGGGGTTGAAAGGGGTTGAGAGGAGTTTCCCTCCAGCGAGGGATCCACGCCCACGTGCTTCTCGTACTCCAGTAGCGCCTGGAGGGGGTTGGTAGGGGTTGAAAGGGGTTGAGAGGAGTTTCCCTCCAGCGAGGGATCCACGCCCACGTGCTTCTCGTACTCCAGTAGCGCCTGGAGGGGGTTGGTAGGGGTTGAAAGGGGTTGAGAGGAGTTTCCCTCCAGCGAGGGATCCACGCCCACGTGCTTCTCGTACTCCAGTAGCGCCTGGAGGGGGTTGGTAGGGGTTGAAAGGGGTTGAGAGGAGTTTCCCTCCAGCGAGGGATCCACGCCCACGTGCTTCTCGTACTCCAGTAGCGCCTGGAGGGGGTTGGTAGGGGTTGAAAGGGGTTGAGAGGAGTTTCCCTCCAGCGAGGGATCCACGCCCACGTGCTTCTCGTACTCCAGTAGCGCCTGGAGGGGGTTGGTAGGGGTTGAAAGGGGTTGAGAGGAGTTTCCCTCCAGCGAGGGATCCACGCCCACGTGCTTCTCGTACTCCAGTAGCGCCTGGAGGGGGTTGGTAGGGGTTGAAAGGGGTTGAGAGGAGTTTCCCTCCAGCGAGGGATCCACGCCCACGTGCTTCTCGTACTCCAGTAGCGCCTGGAGGGGGTTGGTAGGGGTTGAAAGGGGTTGAGAGGAGTTTCCCTCCAGCGAGGGATCCACGCCCACGTGCTTCTCGTACTCCAGTAGCGCCTGGAGGGGGTTGGTAGGGGTTGAAAGGGGTTGAGAGGAGTTTCCCTCCAGCGAGGGATCCACGCCCACGTGCTTCTCGTACTCCAGTAGCGCCTGGAGGGGGTTGGTAGGGGTTGAAAGGGGTTGAGAGGAGTTTCCCTCCAGCGAGGGATCCACGCCCACGTGCTTCTCGTACTCCAGTAGCGCCTGGAGGGGGTTGGTAGGGGTTGAAAGGGGTTGAGAGGAGTTTCCCTCCAGCGAGGGATCCACGCCCACGTGCTTCTCGTACTCCAGTAGCGCCTGGAGGGGGTTGGTAGGGGTTGAAAGGGGTTGAGAGGAGTTTCCCTCCAGCGAGGGATCCACGCCCACGTGCTTCTCGTACTCCAGTAGCGCCTGGAGGGGGTTGGTAGGGGTTGAAAGGGGTTGAGAGGAGTTTCCCTCCAGCGAGGGATCCACGCCCACGTGCTTCTCGTACTCCAGTAGCGCCTGGAGGGGGTTGGTAGGGGTTGAAAGGGGTTGAGAGGAGTTTCCCTCCAGCGAGGGATCCACGCCCACGTGCTTCTCGTACTCCAGTAGCGCCTGGAGGGGGTTGGTAGGGGTTGAAAGGGGTTGAGAGGAGTTTCCCTCCAGCGAGGGATCCACGCCCACGTGCTTCTCGTACTCCAGTAGCGCCTGGAGGGGGTTGGTAGGGGTTGAAAGGGGTTGAGAGGAGTTTCCCTCCAGCGAGGGATCCACGCCCACGTGCTTCTCGTACTCCAGTAGCGCCTGGAGGGGGTTGGTAGGGGTTGAAAGGGGTTGAGAGGAGTTTCCCTCCAGCGAGGGATCCACGCCCACGTGCTTCTCGTACTCCAGTAGCGCCTGGAGGGGGTTGGTAGGGGTTGAAAGGGGTTGAGAGGAGTTTCCCTCCAGCGAGGGATCCACGCCCACGTGCTTCTCGTACTCCAGTAGCGCCTGGAGGGGGTTGGTAGGGGTTGAAAGGGGTTGAGAGGAGTTTCCCTCCAGCGAGGGATCCACGCCCACGTGCTTCTCGTACTCCAGTAGCGCCTGGAGGGGGTTGGTAGGGGTTGAAAGGGGTTGAGAGGAGTTTCCCTCCAGCGAGGGATCCACGCCCACGTGCTTCTCGTACTCCAGTAGCGCCTGGAGGGGGTTGGTAGGGGTTGAAAGGGGTTGAGAGGAGTTTCCCTCCAGCGAGGGATCCACGCCCACGTGCTTCTCGTACTCCAGTAGCGCCTGGAGGGGGTTGGTAGGGGTTGAAAGGGGTTGAGAGGAGTTTCCCTCCAGCGAGGGATCCACGCCCACGTGCTTCTCGTACTCCAGTAGCGCCTGGAGGGGGTTGGTAGGGGTTGAAAGGGGTTGAGAGGAGTTTCCCTCCAGCGAGGGATCCACGCCCACGTGCTTCTCGTACTCCAGTAGCGCCTGGAGGGGGATCAAACGGGGTTGAGAGTGGTTCAGAGAGGTGCCCTCCAGCAAGGGATCCATACGTGCCTCTCTTACTCCAGTAGCGCCTGGAGGGGAGGGGAAGGGCAGTGAAAGTGATGGAAAAAAAGGGGAAAGGAGTGAGAGGGGGGAAAGAGAGGAGCGTGCATGACCTGAGCGCAAAGCACGGAAACAGAGAGTACGAGACAAAGACCACCAACCTGCCCGAACCCTTTAGCCAAGAAGCAGTGGAGGATCATACCTTCTCGTAGAAGCCCCGGAAGGACCAGGAGAGCGTCGTGCATGACCTGAACGCAGGGAAGGGAAGCAAAAAACGCAAAGCAGGGAAAGGAATGGAAGCGTAGAACACAGAGTATGGAACACGGAACACGACACGACTCGGCATGGAACGATTAAAATTGATTGATCGAGTGAGTGAGTGAGTGAGTGAACGAGGATTGACTGGCTTCTGTAAGGTGCCTGTGAGTGAGAAGCTAAACTAACTACCATGCCAGAAGATACAAGTTAGGAGTTGGAGATATGTGAGGCAGCTTGTAAAGCTCCTTGAACCGTTTCTTGTTTTTTATATTGTCCAAAAAACAGATGGAGGCACTTGGGGAAAAAGGGCGTACTTGGGAGGGTCGAACTGGTCCCCAACAACGCGCCAGAGCTTGCCACTTGTCACCTGATGGTTTGGTTTCGAGAGTGACGCAGTCAAGAGACAGGAAAGAACAAGGATGGATTTGAAAGGATGTCGTTGTAACATCTCATTGATAAGGAGAAGTAACTTGATTACGAAACCTTGTCAAAGTGAAGTGTTGAAACGTCTGATACAGAGCATGTAATTGAAACGGAGGAATAAAGTTGTTACCTTGTCAAAGCCACCGAAAGAGCAGACGACTTGCCAGAGCCTGCCAAAAAAAGGAGATCAGGCGGATGGAATAGGAGGAAGGGGGGCCGAGGGGGAGGAGGGGGCGGAGGGGAAGGAGGGGGAAATGAGGGGAGGGGGAGGGTGGGGGAAGAGGGAGGGGGAGGGGAGAGGAAGAGTGCGGAACAGGACGGAGGAATGGAAGATGAGGAACAAAAGTTTCACCTGCGGAAAGCTGGCATGGAGGGGGCCCAACATGGTAACCGAATGTTAAGATGCCTCACAAGTAACAAGGTAACGCCAGAGAGAAATGCGAACCGATAGAATTACAAATGGAAGCCACGACGATCCAGCTGCTGCTGCTGCAAGTCACGAGAAATACCTAAACTAACGGTTCTCCGAAGCTCGTATTGTTTCATGAAACGAAGGATTTTACTGCGCGCGATTTGGAAAGAGAGGAAACGAGCGTGAGGGTAGTAGGTTGTGGGGGAGGAGGGGGGGGGGGGGAGGTGAGGGAGAGTGTCGCACCCCGTTTCCATACCCTAGCACGACGCCTTACCCTCCGCGAGAATAGGTATAGACCCAGTTTAGCATGGTGATTAACTCACTTCAACAGGTCGACTTCCACGCCATAGAACTTCGGAACCTTAAACTCCTGATGGCGCGACTCGAAGAACGCCTGAAGCTCCTTAACGAACGCCTTCGTATCCGCGCCGCGACCCGGCGGCGTCGTCTGTTGCGGAGTAGTCTCCATCCCCGACGAGCCGCTTACTCCGCCGATTAGAGCCGTCGGCGGGCCAGGCGTGCTCGGACCGCTTCCTTCGACACCAGTTTGACCAGCGAGCGTGCTTCCGGAAATTCCGGGACCGCCGATTGGATTCTTCCCGATTCCGTGACCAACGGACCCGGGGGTAGAACCCGGAGTAGCCTCTAGTTGCGAGGGTATACTCGAAGTGTGGATTCTAGATGGATCTCGGGGGGCCTCGAAGCCGCGCGCAACGGGCGGCGGAAGTTGCGGAAGATTTGTCGCGGCGCCGGACGGCTTTTGAGCCGAGTCAAACGGCACCTGAGCATTCGGCGGTACGCCAGATCCGTTTTCCGGACGGGCGACGGCTTCTTTGCCGTCCTCCATATTAGCTCCTTCAGCACCGCACTAACGAATCAGATCGTTGGTACCGCTAGTATGCGAAGAAGAGACACTAACTAGTGTATTAGCTTCGCAGGAAACGGACTTACGAAGGATGCCCTAGCTTCGCCGTTCAAGCTAACTCTTGCTGACGTTCTTCCGAACTACTTGACACGGTCACGAGAAGCTCAGCCTACAGCCGCAAACGAAGAGATTGGAAACGAAACCCGCGAGAAGAAGAGAAGAGAAACTAGCGGCTCTTGGAGCAGAGAAGGGACGACAAGATGAACCACACACCAAATCCACAAGAAACAGCGCCATTCCTCCTCCAGCCCTAATTTATCGTGCGAGCTCGAGATTTTCCTCCCCCGATTTCTCCCCCGCCCTGCCAGCAACAGATCCCCAATTCCCCGCAATTCTCCCACCCAACACATGGCGGCGGGTGAGGTGGAATCGGGTTCGTCAGAGTTCGTCAGGGGGAGGAATGTGTACACATTGATAACTCCAGGAATGTGTACCAGGAATGTGTAACTGGTAGCAGGTTCAAACATGTCGCAGCTCCACGTTGAGAAACCTGTTTTTTCGCAGAATGAGTTAACGGTTGCCAGCCACATGGAGTACCCACTTTCACAAAACTGTCTCTGTTGATTCCTCCTGTGCAGCAAAGGGTGAAATACTATCGAGATTCCAATGACTAACTACAGTAAAACTCCACGTGATAACAAATGTGGCACTCAAATCATTGACAGTATTACTCTCATAACTCTAAAAAGCAAGTATACTTCACTCAGCATCCACACGTCTCCTTCCTGGATAACTGAGGGGGGACTGTAAAGGCACTGTTTCAGTTGCTTACCTGTAAATTCTGACATAATCCACCAGAGTCAGTGCCGTATCCGGTATTACCTACGCTTGGGACCGGTGAAAGTGAATGTTCTTCCACTCCCAAGCTCCATCAGCACTCTTCCGCCTCTCCCATACTCTCGTCTCATTGAATGCTTTGCTTTCCACCTTTCCTGAAGCATCAGTCGTTTGAACGAGACGTGTGTAGGAAACAACCCCAGCATTGCCAACAATGGCAACGTGGGGTGCGACCATGGTTGACTTTGATGAAGCATTCCCAGTGCTGCGATCAAAATAGTATTTGTGAAACTCCAGGCCCTTGACCAATCCACCTGCGAGCCAGAGAGTAAAACATCAGAAACCACGCAAAAGTGCACTGGACATAGGCATCCTTGCGTGGAGATTTGACATACCTTTTGCTTCTGGTTCAAAGGCAGAAAGGTGTTCATCTGAGAGGTTGGAGTATGTCTTGTAGTCTCCAGTGTCAATGGCATTCAGCAAGGCCTTTGTGTTGTCAAGCAAATCACCCTGCGTGAATGAAAGACTGTCAGCATAGCATAGAACATACTGACGAAAGAAGTCTCATCACAGAAGACGAAGCTGCTGCATACCTCACGGAACTTGGTAAAAAGAGGAGAAACCGCTTGAAACACTTCGTCGGGGGAACGGGTGGCATCAACCTGCATGGAAGTCAGTGGAATCATGGTAGGTTGCATTGCAACGGCAGAATTGCACGGAATCAGTCATTCCAAACCACGGAGCCACGGAGAACAAAAAGGTGATGCAACAACAAGCACTTGATTGGGCGAACTCAAAAGTTGCCTAGAAGAGGGCATTAGTGTCCGAAGCAGAATACTTCAAGACAATTGTCACTGACCTTTCGCACTTTGCCACGCAAATCATAATGATTCACGACTGGAATACTCTGATCCAAGAAAACCCGAAATCTCTTTTTGATCGTATCCATGTTATCGTCAATCCGTCCCTGCAGACGATGATAAGTCAAAATTAGTGCGTGTAATGAGTCTTTCGGGTTCGCAAGGTAAACAGCTTGCTAAACTCACCTGGTTTCTTCCAAGAAGACGCTTGACCATTACGTCCTCAGGGCAATCAAAGAAGAGAATAAACTCAGGATCGATGCCAGTCTGCAAGCAACAAGGAGCTGTCAGATTCCGAAAGAGTACACTCAGACAACAACCAACTATGCAGTTTTTGTTTACCTGCTTTTCAAAGACGGTCCTATTGTCGTTGTTCCGAGGAAACCCATCAATGAGAAACTTATTATTCCCACTCTCCTTCATTGCTTTCTGAAGCAGACCAACAGTGACCTCGGCTGGAACAATCTTCCCATCCTTGATCATGTTCTGAATCATGTTTCTGCAGCAGCAGAGGAATGTACACCTCAGAGGCGATACAACCTATGCACGGCAGACGCGACGCGAACTCGCGGGGGGAGTGGGGGCTGTGGGGGGAAATTAAATTCTTACCCGTGAGAAGATCCAGACTTAATTTCGGCGCGTAGAAGATCGCCAGCGCTCAAATGGGTGAATCCGTATTCCTCGACAATCTTGGCGCATTGAGTTCCCTTGCCACTCCCAGGACCGCCTGTATGTGCAACCAGCACCGTGAGATCTCGGAATGGAATGAAACTCGGCATCGTCAATGGTTTACAGATCATGACGTGAAAAACGTACCAAGTACGAAGACGATCTGCGGTTTGAACGATCCATGTGAACCACTGGCATCAGACTTCCCCGCACTACTTTCCTGCACGGACGTCAGAGAAGACTTCAAATTACCGGCTACCACGAAGGCGACGAAGACGGAAAGCAATATGACGGCAAGTACCTCTGACGAGGCTTCCGAAAGGGCGATTGATTCGGAAGTGCTGACGAATGTCGGAAGAGTGGCGATTCCACCTGCTGCCAGAAGCCATCCCAGACGACGCCATTTCTGCCGACAGAAACAAATATGAATTTAGAACACTGCCTACAAGTACACCACTTCACAAAAGAGGCCTGAAAGATTAAGATATGATGAATCACTCACGTTGGCCTCTGGGGAAGCGACCCCTACAGATTCCGCGGTTCCAGCTGCGCCTGAATGTCTCTGAACCGGGCACGGCACCGCGTCTGCCTGCAATGCATAATACGAGCGACTAAGGTATCGCCTTTGAATGGGGGACGTGATCAGCTATCTACTTCGCCTGATACTCACAAGCACACGCGGAGAGAACAGTGACGGAAGGCGACCACGCTTCTTCAGGATCTCAGTAACAACATTTCTGGCAGCCATCTTGCTTGGTGGACGAAGATCAGAATCTGGTCTAGCCACAAAACGAGTAGAGAAGCATGAGAAAACGTGGTCGCAGGTAGACCGTCAGCACCAACCACATAGACAGATCGCTGACGTGCTTGGAAATTCAAAGTTTATGAGAATATATAAAAGGCTTGTGCCTCCACATGGCATGTCGATGTAGTATAATGGTCAGTATCTCCGCCTGTCACGCGGAAGATCCGGGTTCGATCCCCGGCATCGGCGTTTTGGTTACAACTCCCCATTTGACCTAGAGCTTATTGCAATACAACCTCCTTTCATTTCTACATCCGTAATTATTTTGCTACGTCTTTTTTCTATTCGTTAGAACGAATGGCTTCATCGCTACACAACGACCGTTTAGCCCCGTGCGCAGCTACCACCTCCGCCGCCTGCTGCGCGTGCCATGGCGCCTCCGCTCCCCCGATGCACCAATCGCTGGAGGAAATGGACTTTGAACGAGGCCTCGGGGGTGCCGCGCAACGAGGCGACGTTGCGCGTGTCCGCGACTTGCTCAGTCGGGGCGCTTGCGCTGACGGATGCTTGCCACGTGGCATGGACGGGAGAGATTCCGACAGCGGGCTACCAAACGGGCACACGCCTCTGATCTACGCCGCGCGTGCAGGACACGTGGAGATCTGCGATTTGTTGCTGAAAGTGAGTGGAAATTAACCCTAGCCAAAATGAACATGAAATTTGACATTATTGGGCCACAGAACAGGAAAGAGCTGGTCACAACTTGCACATTTGATTGGTCACAGACGAAGTTGCTCTTGCAAACGCTCCGTCCCTTCCTCCCTGCAGCATGGGGGCGTCAATGGGAGCACGGACGAGAGCCGCGGGCGTCATTGCTCTGCACCGCACTGCACCGCGCTGCAGAAACGCGGCATGCGGGGTTGCCTGGTCACAATTTGCACATCGAAGTGCAGTCTGGGGCACTCCCCTCCCTCGTCTTATCTGCAGCACGGGACATTAGAGGGAGCACGGACGAGAGCAGGGGGCCCACCGCTTTGCACCGGACTGCATGGGCGGGGCATGAAAGAGTTCGCTGGTTTCATATGAAGTTGCAGTTGTAAGATCTTCTTCCCTTCCTCTCCCCTCCGCAGCATGGGGCGTCAGTGGGAGCAAGGACGAGAGCAGGGGGCGCCACTGCTCTGCACCGCGCTGCAGGGGCGGGGCATGAGGGGGTGGTGCGTCTGCTGCTGACACGTGGTGCTGACGTGGCAGCTGTTGATGCTGATGGCTTGACTGCTGCAGACAAAGCCAGTGAGTGGGAGTGGGAGAGGAAGGGTCGTTCAGGAAGGGAGGGGGAGGGGAGGAGGTAGGGGGCGAAGGAGGGGGCGAGGGAAGGGGAGTGTGTGAGGCAGAGGCCAGCTGCTGATGCCAATGGCTGCTGATACCAGATACTGCAGAGGCAAAGCTGGTGAGTGGGAAAGGGAGGGCGAGGAAGGATTCTTGAAGCTCTTACACGTATTTCCTTTTCTCGTCGCCTATTTTTGCCTGTGCGCCCACACCCTGAATCAACAGCCCCAATGCTGCCGTATCACACCTTGCTCGTGTTCCTGCACCATGCTTGATTGAGGCGCCTAAAAAAATTACGCCCATGTGGCCACGTCCAGCCATGACAATCCAATGCTGCCATATTGCACCGTGCTGGTGTGCGTGTTGCATGTTTTAAGAAGGCACTTACATATTTCCATGCCCATGTGCCCGCACTCTGGCATGACAACTCCGATGCTGCCATATTGCACATTGCTCGTGAGCCTGTTGCATGTTTTAAGGGCGCCTAAAAAAACTCCAAGCCCATGTGACCACATGACTGCTCCCATTCTGCCACAGTGCACCTTGCTCGTGTGCCCGTGGCATGGTATGCACGGTACCACACATCCTTCTGAGACGTCTCAGAAGTGAGCAAAAAAGTGATGCAGAATGCCAGAATCTCATTTTGAGCCGTCAAGAGCGACCAGGTTACCAGAGCTTCAGTTCCTGGGACTTCTCAAACTATTATTTTCCCATGTTGCTCTGCTGACATCGCATCTTGCCCTTTGCTCTTGACCTATCGGTGTGTGTATCCTATGTGACGCAATGCATTGTTGTGCCAACCCTCCAATGTACCATGCACGATGCAGGGTGTCAGAATCACGTGGGCATTCTAGCACTGCTCTCCTCACACCAGCCCAAGCTCCCCTGATTGCTGAGGGCTCTCCAAACATCAATACAGATATGTGTTAACTCACTGATAAATTCTGTACACAAACATATAGAAGCCATATAAAGGAGGAAGGGTTGCGCTATTGTTAATAACAAGGTGCAAAGCTGAACAGGGAGCAGCAGCAGCAGCCTTGATATCTCCCATCCGTCTCATCCATTCAAACGTCGTATCTGCCCCATATCCTATCCCATGCATCTCATCCATTCACACCATCTCAACTGTTCCGTATTTAACATCCATCCACGCCATGCACCTCATCCACCACACACCATCTTACGCTTACCTACGGTATCAGTTTCACATCCTGCTCACCTCATACCATCTTCCCCCAGATGCAAGCACATGCCTATGATAAGCACACGCGGTTTTTAATGGCATGTGGCGCTTATATCCGGTCCTCGATTATAAGCGCCACTGAAAATGCTTGCGTGCTATAAGCGCCCCCTTGTTTTTTTTTTTTTTTAATCTTAAAACTGAAAATGGTGTGAGAATACTGTAATGAAACTCACTTTAGATCCTGACAATTTTAATTTCGATTCCCTTCGGCCTCGCTCGGCTCACTGCCTGCGCGTTCAGTCAGAATGAGCTGTGATGGGCAGTACACTCATCTATCTTAGGGTACATTCCTGAAGCGCGTCACAAAGGCCTCGCGTCCAGGGCCCAAAATATCAGGGTAAAATGCCCTGATTACCCTGGGGGCCGGCCGTTTTTTCAGAGTTACCCTTTCAAAATCAGGCTTCCAAGATTTTTTCCCTTACGCAAAAAGAGTATGTTTTTTTTTTACACTGATAGCGATTTCGGCTACCCTGGCTGTATCAGGGTGCGCTGTACATTATACTGATACAGAATCCTCTGTAGCGAGGATTTTCGTTGCGAAATGGGAAAACCGATCCAATCGCCCACAGGATTTGAACCCGCAACCTTGAGATCTGAATCTGCACATATAACCAACTGAGACACACAACAATAGTTTCGTATTGATTGTAGACTGACAAAACACCCCCTTAATCGAGCCACACCACTGCCAGCTGAGCAGAGTTGCGCTTCAAGGACAGCTTCGTGCTACTTTATTGTTACTGTAGAAATTACTAGTAGTGAAAACAGACTAGATATAGAATTACCCTGCCGAAATCAGTGTAATGGTAGATTTACCCTGCTGCCAACAGGGTACGGAAAATTTTACCCTAGGGGTCTGTTCAAGGAGGGGCTGTTACCCTGATTTGTAAGGGTAGGCCAAAACCAATTTTGGGCCCTGCTCGCGTCTCAATCGAAGAGATGCAGTGCGGTGGAATTGTTCGACACTTAGGTGTAATGCGGTGCAGACTGGTACAGCGGTTTTATAACGCGATCGTGACATTTGTGTCCAGAGCGGAATGTACCCTTATCTATCCCATATCCCATTCACCGCATCATACACCATCTTATACGCCCCTTATCCATGCACCTCATCCATCCACACACACCAAATCCCATACTCCAAGGCTTCCACCCATTCACACCTCCACCTTTCCTTCTTAAAGCCCGCAGCCCAAGTTGCGAGGCACGCGTGTCAACCTCTTAAAACTTGATGTCGATAAGTCTAATGCAGAGTTTTGCGAAAAGGGGTTTCAGTGAGTACGAAATGATTTGATTAGTTGAAATCGGCCAACGAGATGAGTAGAACAAGAAACGAGTCAAAACTTGAACACAGTGCTCCACCATGTTGGGGCTTTCAAGGAGTGAGCCCACCCACCAATGGGAAAAGCAGGGACCAGCTGGGCGTGGCGGAAAAAAAAAAAAAAAAATCTGACGCGATTATGACGAAGTCGAAACTCCCGTCACAACCCACAATAACAGATCTGTCATCATATTTTAAAAGCTTGAACAACTTGGGCTGCGAGTTTTATTGTTACCATTTGAAAATATCCCTATTATCATTGGAAATTGAAGATTTGAAGACAAATCCCCTTGGAATGTGAGTTTGTGTCAGAATAGTACCTCAGCTAGAGTAGCTTAGGAGCATCCTTAGTAGCCATAGCTTTAGGGTTTAGAGCAAGGCAAGGATGTGACGAGAGAGTTGGGCAAAAGAGGTGGCACTATAGATTTGGTACAAGTTATATGCAAGCATGCGGGTGCACCACCAAACAAGAACATAGAACTACACTAAGTCTACACTATAGGCAGTTACAGAATAATGAATACAACTACATTTTAACACACCCCCTAACTGCCTGCAGTGAAGAACGATGTGCAGAAACACCCCCGGAAGTGGTGCACCAAGCGCAGCGGAAGACGGCAGAGAGGAATGCGAGAAGGAGGCGAAATAGAGAGGGGAGAGGAGAAGAATGAGGAGAGGAGGTGGGGGGAGCCACGCGGCGAGCCCCTCTTACGAACCCCCATTTTACAAAGGGGGGGGTGAGAGAGGGATGAGGAGAGGAGGTGGGGGAGCCACGCGGCGAGCCCCTCTTACGAACCCCCTTTTTTTTACAAAGGGGGGGGGGTGAGAGAGGGAGGAGAGGAGGTGGGGGAGCCACGCGGCGAGCCTCGCTTACGAACCCCCTAATTCCACGCCCCCTTTCAGCCACCCCCCCTCAACCTCACCCCCGTTGTCAACCGCCCCCTGCAACCTCACGCCTTCCCCCCACCCTTCCTCGAAAGCCCTCCCCACCCACGGTGGTCCCTGCTCAAGCCTTCACACGGCGGCCAGAAGCCTGCCACCACCTCACCCTTCCCCCCACAGCAGCACGTGCGGCAGTGGGAGAGAGAGGGGAAGGCGAGCGGCAGCGGCAGTAGCTCCTCTCGTCACTCCCACCACTCCACCCTCTCCACCCTCCCCTCCCACAGTAGCAGGTGCGGCCGTGAAAGAGAGAAGAGGAGGGTGGTGCTGTTGGTGCCACCTTCCCCTTACACCTCCTCCCCCTCCCTCCAAACTGCTGCACACGCAGTAGGGAGAGGGAAAAGAAGGGAGGGGGGGCGAGGTGCGCGATCTGGTGGGGCAGGCGTAGGCGGGCAGGGCGCACGAGGCGCCGGGCAGGAGGCGCACGAGGCGCGCGCGTCGGTTCCGCCCCGGGCGTCCGCGCTGGCGCTCGGCGCTGGCGTCTGCGCGCGTAGGGCGCTGGCATCCGCGCTGGCGCTCGGCGCTCTCGTCCGCGCTGGCGCTCGGCGCGGGCGTCCGCGTCGGGCGCTGCACCAGGTGCGATGGGGCGGCGACGAGAGCATGCTCGCCATCCCGCCTGTCACGACGGTCGCGACAGTTGTATCTAAAGGCGTGACGGGGGGCTTGACGAGCGCCATGAGAGATAACAAAGTCGGTGGGCCCATTAGGTCTTAGGAACGTAACTGCTCTGTTACCATGTCAGAATAGTACCTCAGCTAGAGTAGCTTAGGAGCATCCTTAGTAGCCATAGCTTTAGGGTTTAGAGCAAGGCAAGGATGTGACGAGAGAGTTGGGCAAAAGAGGTGGCACTATAGATTTGGTACAAGTTATATGCAAGCATGTGGGTGCACCACCAAACAAGAACATAGAACTACACTAAGTCTACACTACAGGCAGTTACAGAATAATGAATACAACTACATTTTAACAGTTTGAGGGTACATTCCGCTGTGGACAGCGTCCCAATCGATGTGTCCTCATCGATTCTACCGCACTGCATCTTATTACACCGAATTACACCCTAGTTTCAAAATTTTCGCTTCTCTGGTTTAGTTCGGTTCGGAGCGGTACACCCGATTGGGACATGTACGATTGGGATGGAGTACCCACTTTCACAAAACCGGATATGTCCACAGCGGAATGTACCCTTAGGCACGAGCTTGAAATTTTTTACCAGGAAAACATTTTTCAGTTGCAGGGGGGATATAACCCGTCAGAAATATCTGTCTATGTATTAGTTCTACCATATGTGTATTATGGTATTAATTATATATGTACAAATATATTACTTCTGTATTGCCTAAGCAGCAGGTGTACCCGTTTTCACAACGCTTGAAAAGGCACGACCAGCTTTGGCGGCAACTGGGAGGGGTGATGCGAAGCGGCTCGTCACGTCAACATTTGCGCTGCGGAGAGTGGTGCCTCAGGCCAATCAACGCATCCACGTGAGAGCTTCGTGCATTTCATCACATTTCGTTCTGCTGCCCATCACTGTACAAAAGTGTAAATCGTTTGTTTGATGCCCTTGGTATTTTTTTCCTGCCCAGAGAGTGTCGTGCATCGTATCGTTTGTGAGGAGGTCGCCCCGAGGAAGTCTCCCAGCCAATCACATCAGCATTCTCCAATCTGTATGACCTGCCCAGCTGTTTCCAGAAACTGTTGTTTTTGTCCCACAGTCAGCAATTTTCCTCCCGAAACGTATTGGTCAGGTAACATCTCAGCCAAAGCGAAACATCTCCATGTTCTGTCAGCAATCACGGAACAGCGAACGTCGCTTCGAGAGCTAGCTCAACTTACAGTACAGTAGTCTCACTGAGACGCATTCTCAACTTACAGTAGTCGAGTGGCACTCAACTTACAGACGCATGATGGCGCGGTAGTAGTAGTAGTAGAATAAACAGACAATATTTTCGCAGTACGCCGCTGCACAGAGGAAGAAAGTTCATTGCATCGCATGCACGGCATTGCACCGCGCACTGATTGCAACTGACAGTTGGGCGCCAAGGACACGGAGGCGAAAAACTTTTGGTGTGCGAGGATAGACGGAGAAAAGTGGGACGGGAATTCCCGGAAATATACTGGAATCGTAGCTCCGAAGGTGACGAACGCGACGGCCAGGATGGGGGAGACGGATCGCGAGGAGCGGCACGTAGCGTGGCGGCGATTGGTGGAGCAGGCGATGGAGGGTGGCGAGCTGGACATTGAGAAGTTTCTGGAGAAGATGCGTCGACGATTGGACAGGTGAAAATCGCCACATTTTTTTTTTGTTTTAACAATTTATTTTTATTAAGATCCGGGACAGAACATTTAGACGAAAAGCTTCTGAGGAGATGACGCATTTGACAGGACAGGTGCGACTCTCTGGTCAAGTGGAGATTGCATTTTTCTTTTGTTTGTTGCTGTCTCTCTCTTTTTTAATCATTTATTTTCTTTACTCAACTTTTTTTTCTCCAATTCTCAAGAATTTCTGCAATACTTTAACTGTTTTTTTTTTTTTCAATAAATTCTGAGAATTTATTCCATAAAATATGTCAGAAGCTCAGCAAGTTTTTTCTCCCATCTTTCTGCCCATCTCCCTCCATCTCCCCCAGCGTTGGCGCATCGTTCCCCGGAGTGGAGGTGCGCTTTGAGGGGGTGAGCACATCACTGTGGGGGTGAGGGTCTGCCCAGTGCCCAAACAGTTGCGCCACTCCTCCCATCTTGTAACCCATCTCGCCCCATCCCTCACAGCGTTGGCGCATATTTCCCCGGAGTGAAGGTGCGCTTTGAGGGGGTGAGCGCATCCGCCAAGGTGCGAGTGGGGGCGAGGGGCCTGCCCACGCTGCCCAACCAGCTCTCGAACTCTGTCGGCGCCGTGCTGAGGGAGCTGCAGCTACTCAAGGACCAGCGCCGCCTCTTCTTTGCCCTTGATGGCTGCTCTGGCATTCTCAAGCCTGGCAGGTGAGGGGATTCGAAACCTAGACTAGTACTACTATCTGTTGAGTGGGCAGGTGAGTGGTCTGCGGCCACTCAAGGACCGGCGCCGCCTGTTCTTCGCTTCGCTCTTGACGGCTGCTGTGGCATCTTCAAGCCGGGCAGGTAAGGTGCGAGTGGGGAAGAGGGGCCTGCCTACGCTGCCCAACCAGCTCGTCAACTCCACCTCCGCCGTGCTGAGGGAGCTGCGGCTACTCAAGGACAAGCGCCGCCTGTTCTTCGCTCTCGATGGCTGCTCTGGCATCCTCAAGCCTGGCAGGTGAGGGGATTCCAAGCCTAGCTGGTGCTGGAGACCTGCAGTTAGTATTTTAGGATAGGCGCTGCCTGCTCGTTGGTCTTAATGGCTGATTTAACATCGCCCATAGCCCAAGATGCTGTACATGCCGGCGCCTAGTCAAAACCAGCTCCACTTAATCAAACCCATCCCCACCCATTGCCCCCGCAGGATGACGCTGCTGCTGGGGCCGCCAGGCAGTGGCAAGTCAACGCTGCTGAAGACCCTCCTTGAGGTGTCCCAACTTGTCAAACACCTGTTCAGCACCTAGACCACCCCATCGCACCTGCTCACACAACCCCACAGGATGACGCTGCTTCTCGGCCCGCCAGGCAGCGGCAAGTCGATGCTGCTCAGGATCCTCTTTGTGGCGCCCCAAACCGAATAACTCCTGATCCACTCCACCCCACCTGCTCCTCAACCCACAGAATGACGCTGCTGCTGGGCCCGCCAGGCAGCGGCAAGTCAACGCTGCTGAGGATCCTGGCAGGGAAGGCGGAGAGGGAGCTGAGCGTGCAGGGCGAGGTGACGTACAACGGGCAGCAGCGGAGGGAGCTGATTTGCACCTAATTCACCGCCTCCCCCCCCCCCCCACCACCCACCCCCACCTGCTCTCCCAACAACCAGGATGACGCTGCTGCTCGGGCCGCCAGGCAGTGGCAAGTCAACGCTGCTGAGGATCCTGGCAGGGAAGGCGGAGAGGGAGCTGAGCGTGCAGGGCGAGGTCACGTACAACGGCCGCCGGGGGAGCCAGTTTGTGCTGCCGCGCTCCGTGGCGTTTGTGCCTCAGACCGACACCCACATCGGCGAGATGACTGTCCGGGAGACCCTCGAGTTCTCCGCTCGCCTGCAGGGACCGGGGCACAGGGCAGGTGAGTTTTGAGACGTCTGAAAGGGGGAGGGAAACAGTTAGAGGCGACTGCCAGAGAGACCCTCGAGTTCTCCGCTCGCCTGCAGGGACCGGGGCACAGGGCAGGTGAGTTTTGAGACGTCTGAAAGGGGGAGGGAAACAGAAAGAGGCGACTGCCAGAGAGACCCTCGAGTTCTCCGCTCGCCTGCAGGGACCGGGGCACAGGGCAGGTGAGTTTTGAGACGTCTGAAAGGGGGAGGGAAACAGAAAGAGGCGACTGCCAGAGAGACCCTCGAGTTCTCCGCTCGCCTGCAGGGACCGGGGCACAGGGCAGGTGAGTTTTGAGACGTCTGAAAGGGGGAGGGAAACAGAAAGAGGCGACTGCCAGAGAGACCCTCGAGTTCTCCGCTCGCCTGCAGGGACCGGGGCACAGGGCAGGTGAGTTTTGAGACGTCTGAAAGGGGGAGGGAAACAGAAAGAGGCGACTGCCAGAGAGACCCTCGAGTTCTCCGCTCGCCTGCAGGGACCGGGGCACAGGGCAGGTGAGTTTTGAGACGTCTGAAAGGGGGAGGGAAACAGAAAGAGGCGACTGCCAGAGAGACCCTCGAGTTCTCCGCTCGCCTGCAGGGACCGGGGCACAGGGCAGGTGAGTTTTGAGACGTCTGAAAGGGGGAGGGAAACAGAAAGAGGCGACTGCCAGAGAGACCCTCGAGTTCTCCGCTCGCCTGCAGGGGCCGGGTCACAGGGCAGGTGAGGTGTGGAGCATAAGGTCATGGGTGCTCTGACAGGAACAGCCAGGTCTGTTGCATGACATCTCAAAAGACGGACACCCAGATCGGCGAGATGACTGTCGAATTCTCCCTCGAATTCTCCGCTCGCCTGCTGGGGCCAGGCCACAGGAAAGGTGAGGTTTGAGTGCTATTGAAAGGTGGATGGCGACACAGGGAGATGAGATGACTGTTCGAGAGACCTCGAATTCTCCGCTCGCCTGCTGGGGCCCGGCCACCGCGCTGGCAATGCTCTTTTCTTCCCCTCTTCCTTCTCTCTCCTCCTTCCTTCCCTCCCTCCCCGTCCCTCCCTCCCTCCCTCCCTCCCTCCCTCCCTCCCTCCCTCCCTCCCTCCCTCCCTCCCTCCTCCCTCCCTCCCTCCCTCCCTCCCTCCCTCCCTCCCTCCCTCCCTCCCTCCCTCCCTCCCTCCCTCCCTCCCTCTCACCTCCCTTCCTTCCGTGGTGGTATTCTGCAGCTTAAAAGCCCATTCCTCATTCTGATCCCAACCGCACTGCCATCTGATCTGCCCTCGGCCTGCTACTGACTTATGATGCCTCCTGCATGATTTTCTGCTCCCTTAAACTGATCGCTTATTCTCCTTCTCCCCTTTTCCGCTCAGACCTGTTTCGGCAGGTGGAGGAGAAAGAGCAGGAGGCAGGGGTCCACCCTGATGACGTCATGCAAACCGTTATGAAGGTAGCGATGACGTCATGCTGGTGTTGATGCCACAATGACAGCTGTAATAGGTACTTTTACAGAATGACATGGAAATGCCAGGTTGTGCCTCCTTGACATTTGATGTCACTTCAATGTGCGCTTGGAACTGAATCACCATACTTCCTTGTATCTCTTCTTTATGTTCTTTTCATTTGTTTTCACCATACTCATGCTGCCCACCCACCCTCGGGTCACCCAAACTCATGGTCGAAGGGCTGCAAACCCATACTCATACGCAAGGAGGCTTTTCGGAAGCTAAGGGTTTTTCAGATCTGCGTTTTTTACAAGCGTTTTTTCACTGTTGTTCCTTTGCCTAAGCGTTTTTCTGCTACTGCAGCCCTTCGACCATGAGTTTGGGTGTTTCATTTGTTTTCACCATACTCATGCTGCCCACCCTCCCTGCCTACCAAAATTTCCCCTTTCTCACTCTCCCCTTTGGTATTGCTGCATGTGTCACAATTGTTGCTCTTTGCTGCAGGCGATGGCAGATGAGAGGCAGTGCTCTGATGTTGTGGTGCAGTACGTTCTCAAGGTGAGGTGTGTTGGCGTGGAAGGAAGAGGGGGAGGGTGCATGAGTGTGTTTCATGATTGTTTCTTCCTGCAGGCGATGGCAGATGAGAGGCAGTGCTCTGATGTTGTGGTGCAGTATGTTCTCAAGGTGAGGTGTGTTGGCGTGGAAGGAAGAGGGGGAGGGTGCATGAGTGTGTTTCATGATTGTTTCTTCCTGCAGGCGATGGCAGATGAGAGGCAGTGCTCTGATGTTGTGGTGCAGTATGTCCTCAAGGTGAGTGTGTGCGGGCGGGGAAGGAGTGGGGGGACAGGTAACGCTCAGATGTGAGGCCATGGCAGATGAGAGGCAGTGCTCTGATGTTGTGGTGCAGTATGTCCTCAAGGTGAGTGTGTGTTGGCGTGGAGGGGAGAGGTGCAGGCGGTGGGGGGATGGGTTTGAGGGTGCATGAACATGTGTCATGATAATTCCTCCTACAGGTGATGGCCGATGAGAGGCAGTGCTCCGATGTTGTGTTGCAGTATGTCCTCAAGGTGAGTGTGTGTGTGTGTGTGTGTGTGAGAGAGAGAGAGAGAGAGAGAGAGTGTGTGTGTGTGTGTGGGTGTGTGTGGGTGTGTGTGGGTGTGTGTGTGCGTGCACGTGCGCTGCATTTCTGTATATGAGAGTGCATGTGTGTGAAATATGTGTGCATGTGTGTCGAATTATGTGCGGATGCGTGAGAAATATTTGTGCATGTGAGTGCATGTGTGTACACGCGTGTGAATGTGAATGCATGCATATGCATATGTGTGCATTTGTATGTGAGTGCATGTGAGGACAAGCTTGCATGTGAGTGCATGTGTATGCATGTGTGTCCATGTGTGAATATGTGTGTGCATGTGTGCGAACGTGCGTGCATGTAAGTGCATGTGTATTCGTGTACGTGTATGTGCTTGCACGTGTGTGCATGTATATGCATGTGTGAACATGTGCGAGTATGTGTGTGCATATGAGTGCATCTCTCTGCATGTCTGCATGTCTCTGCACATTTAGGAAATCAAGCAGCAGTATCTGTGTCCGCCCTTTCTTACCACCTACCTCCTCAAGAAGCTGAAAAAGCGAATCACAACCGAGCATCCTCTGTACTCAGTAACACTCAGGTTGATGGACATCAGACCTCCGCAGCCCACCTGTTTACTAATAACAGCATCCTCTGTACTCGCTTCCACCCATTCTCCTCCCGTTCACCTCTCCTGCAGATGCTAGGCCTGGACGTGTGTGCTGATACCATGTTAGGAGACTCCATGCGTAGAGGAGTATCAGGAGGGCAGAAGAAACAATCCACATAGCCTCCTCCGTTCTCTCTTCCACCCATCTTCTTTTCAAATCACCTATCCTGCAGATGCTCGGTTTGGATGTGTGTGCTGATACCATGTTAGGGGACAGCATGAGAAGAGGAGTATCAGGAGGGCAAAAAAAGCGGGTTACCACTGCCGAAGCACTCCTGGGCGCAAAGCAAGTCCTCCTATTGGACGAGATCTCCACCGGTCTCGATTCCGCCACCACTTACCAGATCACCCGGTGCCTCCGCAACCTCACGCACTTAACTAATACCACCACCCTCATCTCCCTGCTGCAACCGGCACCGGAAACCTTTGAGCTGTTTGATGACGTCATGCTGATGTCAGAGGGGCGGATTGTGTACCATGGGCCCAGGGAGGAGGTGCTGGGATTCTTCCAGGAAATGGGGTTTGCACCGCCCGCCCGCAAGGGAGTGGCTGATTTTTTGCAGGAGGTGAGTTTCCAACCATCATGATGTCTACAGTAAGTCGCATATCTTTCTTTCTCATCTTTATATTTACTCCCTTCTTTTTTCTGTCCCCCTTCCATTATTTTGCTTCCTGTGCCATGCTTCCTGTCATCCTCCATATAGGTCACCTCGCTAAAAGACCAGGAGCAGTATTGGAACCCCTCCCAGCCCCACCCGTACCGTTACGTGTCCGTCCGAGCCTTCGAAGAGGCCTTCCGAGCCTCCAGGTTCGGCAAGCAGATGGAAGCAGAGCTCTCCATACCATTCAAGAAGGATCAGGGAGCAGTCAACGGCGAGAGTGAGGGGAAAGTTGTTGATGACAATGGAGAGGGTGCGGGGAAAGACATGAAAGACAAGGGAGAGGGTGAAGAGAAAGATGTGGAAAACGGGGAAGAGAAGGGAAAGGGAGAGAGAGAGGATGGGAGTGCGGATCTTGCTCTGGCACAGAGGCGGTTTGGGCTTCCTCCCCTTGCCATTCTCACCGTTGTGGGGGATCGCGAGTGGTTGCTGATGAAGCGGAACCTGTTTCTCTACATCGTGCAGACCATGCAGGTACAGTAGATACTCGTTATAGTCATAGTCATTTGTGAAATATGTTCCTCTGCACTGTAGATACCATGCAGGTACAGCAGATGCCCATTGCAGATGCTCGTTACAGTCACACTGACCAGCCTACCCACTTGTCTTCACGCTCTACGTCCCCATAACCACACTTCCACTTTCAATCCGCTGCACTTGCTCCCTCACTCTTTGGCACCACAATATCAAGAAACAGAAAGAAAGAAAGAAAAGCACAGAAACGGTTTTGCTTCTCTCACCTCCCACTCTTCACGCCGTTAATCCCTTCCTATCCTCCCCCGCCCCCACCCTCCCCCACCTGTCAGATCCTCCCCCTCGCTATAGTCACAATGTCAGTCTTCTGGCGCTCCCAGTTCTCCATCACCCCAGTCGACAGCAACTACTACCTGGGCGCCATATTCTTCGGTATAAGCACAATGCTATTCAGCGGCATAATCGAGCTCACGCTACTCACAGCCCGCCTGCCCATCTACTTCCTCCAAAGGGACAGCCTGCTCTTCCCCGCGTGGGCCTGGTGTGTGCCCATGGCGCTGCTCTCTCTGCCCGTCTCCCTCTGGTCCGCTGGAGTCTGGACCGCCATCACCTACTATGGCATTGGATTCGCCCCCGAGTTCTCCCGGTGAGTTTTCTTCTGAGGTAACTCAGTACGTCCCTTCAGGTACCTCCTGCAGCTATTCCTGCCCATGCTGCTCTCCGCTGGGGTCTGGACCGCCATCACCTACTATGGCATCGGATTCGCCCCTGAGTTCTCGAGGTGAGTTTTGCACTGGTAGTTGCAGTACGCTCTTCCAGTTCTCCCGGTGAGTCGCGAGCAGCATACTGCCCATGCTGCTCACAGCTGGAGTCTGGACTGCCATCACCTACTATGGCATCAGCTTCGCTCCGGAGTTTTCTCGGTACGTTTTTCCCCATGAGTCACGACTCGGCCGGTCACTCACGCTGCTCTCTCTGCCCATCTCGCTGTGGTCTGCTGGGGTCTGGACGACCATCACGTCACGTCACCTACTACGGCATCGGATTCGCCCCTCAGTTCTCCCGGTGAGTCGCTAGGATCATTCTGGTTATGCTGCTCATGGGTGGGGTCTGGACGACCATCACCTACTACGGCATCGGCTTTTCGCCCCAGTTCATCACCTAGCTTATCCTCTTCTTCATCACCCACATGGCTGCCTTTCCACTCTATCAAGCCATGGGGGGCGTCTTTTACTCTAGGCACGTCTCCCCTTTCCCCCTTGCCCCCCTCGCAGATTCATCACCCAGCTGTTGCTCTTCTTCATCACCCACATGTCTGCCTCTGCCCTCTACCGAGCCATGGGAGCCGTTTTCCAGGCCTGAGATGCCTTCCCTTTCCCCTTAACGCCCCTCTTCCCCCATCCCCTGCAGCTTCATCACTCAACTTATCCTCTTCTTCATCACCCACATGTCTGCCTCTGCTCTCTCTATATAGCCATGGGAGCCATTTGTGCCATCTTCCAACCTTTTCCCCCTTACCACCCACACCATCCACCCTCACCTCCGCTACAGATTCATCGCCCAGCTACTGCTATTCTTCATCACCCACATGTCTGCCTCTGCACTCTACCGAGCCATGGGAGCCATTTTCCGCAGCACCACGCTCATCAACACGCTTGGCAACTTCATCCTCGTCCTTCTCTTCCTGCTGTCAGGGTTCCTCATCACCAAAGGTGCGTGATAGTGTGGGAAAGTGCACATACGAGTTACCTAGCTCTATTAGTAACACACTAGGCAACTTCATTCTCGTCCTTCTCTTCCTGCTCTCAGGGTTCCTCACGACCAAAGGTGTGTGCTTGTGTGATGATGATTCATCACCAAAGGTGTGTGCTTGTGTGATGATGATTCATCACCAAAGGTGTGTGCTTGTGTGATGATGATGTCAGAAATCCCAGCCACTAGACCACTGGGATAAAAGGGCTTGTTAAGTAGCGGGTCAGTGCGCCCATAACCCCCCAGGCCAACGGGCCTGTAACCCTTCCCTAGGATATCTCGGGCATCCCCAGTGCAAGCGTTCTGACAGATGATTCATCACCAAAAGTGTGTGCATGTGATATGACTCATCACAAAAAATGTGTGCTTGTGTGATGATGATTCATCACCAAAGGTAAGTGCTTGTGCTTTCTCAGCATACTCACACCTTTGATCACCGCACTCACACACCTTATACTCACACCCCCCATACTCACACCCCCCATACTCACACCCCCCATACTCACACACCCCTATGCTCGCACCCCTCATACTCACACACCCCGTGCTCACATCACACCCCCATGCTCACACCCCCCACACTCACACCCCCCATGCTCACACCCCCCATGCTCACACGCCCATGCTTACAACCCCCAAGCTCACACCCCCCATGCTCACACCCCCCATGCTCACACCCCCATGCTTACACCCCCCATGCTTACACCCCCGTCCACTTGTTCCCCCATTTGCCCGTGCAGTGCAGCCACTCCATTCCTTGCCCCCCGCAGCTCACACGCACCACCACGGCGTGTGGGACTGGGCAGATTGAATATCCCCCCCTTCCCTCACATACTGCCACTTTTGAGAATTCTCAAAAGTACTGCCAAAACGTTTCATTTCTTTCCAGGGTACTCAGAAAACGTTTCGGTTGCTGAAAGATGCAACTTTTGAGCCGACTCCAGACCACTTCAAAACGGGGTTCATCCATCTACCCGTTTCATCCCCTTGAGATGATATCCACAACGTGTGGGTGTGGATTTTACTTTCCCTCCCCCAGTCAGACGATATCCACAACGTGTGGGTGTGGTGCATTGGATCCCGCCCCTCACCTACTACTGCCCCCTCATCCCATCCTCATGACACCCCCATGCTCACATGCTTGCCTCCCTTCTCCATGCCCTCTCCCTGCAGACGATATCCATGACGTGTGGGTGTGGGTGTATTGGGTCTCGCCCCTCACCTACTGCTCTCTCATCCCATCCCATGTTCTCCTCCTCTTCCATGCCCCCCCCCTGCCCATTGCAGATGATATCCACGACGTGTGGGTGTGGGTGTATTGGATCTCGCCCCTCACCTACTCCCAGAACGCCTTTGCCATCAACGAGTTCCTCGCCCCCAGATGGGATGTGGTACGTGCTGTGCCATGGTATAGTATGGTATGGTGTAGTGTGGTGCGCTGTGGTGTTGTGTGGTATGATACGGTTCGGTTCTATGCCTGACTCCCAACGCCTTTGCCATCAATGAGTTCCTCGCCCCCAGATGGGATGTGGTACGTTCTTGCCATGGTGTGTCATTACAGTATGGTGTGGTGCCGTGTGGTGCTGTGTGGTGTGGGTGTGGGTGTATTGGATCCCGCCCCTATCATACAAAACTATGCCCACCTATCAGAACGCCTTTGCTATCAACGAGTTCCTCGCCCCCAGATGGGATGTGATGTGGTACGTGCTGTGTGCTGTGCTGTATCATGGCATGACATGGTACATTATGGAATGGTATGGTGTGGTATGGTATGGTATGGCATGGCATGGCATGGCATGGCATGGCATGGCATGGCATGGTATGGTATGGTATGGTATGGTATGGTATGGTATGGTATGGTATGGTATGGTATGGTATGGCATGGTATAGTATGGCATGTTATGGTACTGTCCCTGTGCACTTCCATGCCATGCCCATGTGATATTTTATGGAATGGTACAGTATGGCATGCTATGCTTTGCCTACATGTCCTTTTAGAGACAAAGCCAAACTCTGTTCCCCCATTTCCCTGCTCCCCTCTTAACTTTTCTGCCTCATCCTCCCTCTTCCTCTCCTCACTATCCACCCCAGCCCTCCGACCCCCCCTCGCTGAACACAGCAATGGGCATTCAGGTGCTCACAGCTCGCAGCCTCTGGACCCAGGGCTACTGGGTGTGGCTGGGGCGGTTGCCTCACCATCTCTTCTCCTAAGTTCTCATCTCTCCTCCTATTTTTTCATTTCTCCTCCTTGTTTCTCATCTCTCCTCCTCATCTCTCTAAATTTTTCATCTCTCCTCCTAATTTCTCATCTCTCCTAGTTTCTCATATCTCCCCCTCTTTTCTCATCTCTCCTCTTAGTTTCTCTCTCTCCTCCTAGTTTCTCATCTCTCCTCCTAAATTTCTCATCTCCCTCATGCCCTCCTCCCCTTCTTCCCCCTGCCTTCCGTTCCCTCCACCCCAGCCCTCCGACCCCCCTTCTTTGAACACAACAATGAGCATTCAGGTGCTCACAGCTCGCAGCCTCTGGACTGAGGGCTACTGGGTGTGGGGCGGTCTTGCTGTCAGTGTCCTCTTCACTCTCCTCTGCATCCTTCTAACCATCCTGGCCCTTGAATACCTCAACCGTAAGCACCGCACTTTATCCTAACCTCTGGGCTGAGGTGATGGCTACTGGGTGTGGGGCGGTCTTGCTGTCAGTGTCCTCTTCACTCTCCTCTGCATCCTTCTCACATCCTAGCCCTTGAATACCTCAACCGTAAGCTGTTTAATCACTAGCGACGTCTCAGCACTCGCTCTTCAGCGTCGTTCCTACCATTCTCATCTCACTCACTGGATCACAAATTTCAGGGATGGGCCCTACTTTATCCCCTCCTTTTTACAATGGTAAGTTTTTAGTCGACTCAAAGATTGTCTTTTCGCCTCACTTGCCACACCCTCCCCTCCTTTCTGTAATGTAGCTTGGCTCTGTGTTGCCAGAATTCTATTCACGCTCATTTTGCTAAGGGGCCCAGCCTCGCCCAACGCCACAAGTCTCCCTTCTCTTGCTCTCTCCCTCTTCTTCTTTCGCCCCTCTACCTCCCCTCCCTACTTTCTTTCCCCCAGCATGGCCCACGGCCCAGCCACTGATCTCGCAGCATCACCTGGACGTCCCAACTCACCCCTCTCTTCCTCTCACTCCCCCTCTTCCCCACTCTACCCCCAGCCTGGCCCACGGCCCAGCCAGCGATCTCACAGCATTATCTGGACGCCCCAACTCACCCCTCAGTTCCTCTTCCCTGTTTCCAACCACTCCCCCACTCTCCCCCCACCGCCCCTTCCCCTCTCTCCTCCTTCCCCCCAGCGTGGAACAAGGCCCAGCCAGCGATTTCCCAGCATCAGCTAGACGACCCAATTCACCCCTCTCTCGCTCTCTCCCTTTTCTTCCCCCAACCCCTCACCGCCCTTTCTCCTCTCTCCGCCTCCCCCCAGCGTGGCCCAGAGCCCAGCCAGTGATCTCGCAGCATCAACTCGACGCCCGGGAAGCATCACTAGCCGGCACCAACCTGGACTTCGCCTCGCGCTACTCCTCCCTGCGAGTCTGGACGCTCTCCCGCACTGGTTCCACTGCCACTGCCCGCTTCCTCAGCTAGACTTTCTCCCTAACCCTTCTCCCGCTCTCTCCCCTCTTTCCTTTTTCTCTTCCCCCCCTTCCTCCCCCGCCCCCATCCCCCCCTCTTCTCCTCCCCCCAGCGTGGCCCAGGGCCCAGCCAGTGATCTCCCAGCATCAACTCGACGCCCGAGAAGCATCGTTAGCTGGCACCAATCTGGACTTCGCCTCGCGCTACTCCTCCCTGCGCGCCCGCACGCTCTCCCGCACCGGCTCTACTGCCACGGCCCGCTTCCTTGCCAGCAACCGCTTTCGCTCCCCCAAGAGCCTGTCCCGCCAGCCTTCCCCTTTTGCCCGCTCGCAAGGAATTTTTTCTTCGGGCAGGCCGGCGCTCCGGTCCCGAGGTATTTCCTGGATGTCAGAAGGATCGGATTTGGAAGGGGCGTATGGTAACCAGAGGAGCCGCAGAAGAAGCCGTATGGCGTCGTTTCTGGGTTTAGCTGGTGCTTCTCCCGGCAGTGGTGCTGGTGCTGGTGCTGCCTCTGGTGCTGCTGGGAATGTGGGTGAGAGTACGGGAGTCAGTGCAGTCAGCAGCACAGGCGGAAGGGGTAAGAAGCAGCAGCAGAGGAAAGCAGTTTCGTACATGAGTGATGGTGGTGCGGTGAGTGCAGTTAGTAGCACAGGAGGAGAGGAGAAGCAGCGGCAGAGGAAAGCAGTTTCGTTTTTGAGCGATGGGGACGCGAGTCACAGCGGTGGGGTGGTGAGTGCAGTTAGCAGCCCTGCAGGAGGAGAGAAGCAGCGGCAGAGGAAAGCGGTTTCGTTTATGAGTGATGGGGACGCGAGTGATGGTGGGGTGGTGACTGCAGGTAGCAGCACAGGAGGAGGAGAGGCTGGAGGAGGGGAGAAGCAGCGGCAGAGAAAAGCAATTTCATACATGAGCGATGGTGGGGTGGTGAGTGCAGTTAGTAGCCCAGGAGGAGAGGTTGGAAGAGGAGAGGAGAAACAGAGGCAGAGGACAGCAGTTTCATTCATGAGCGATGGGGATGCGAGTGAAGGTGCAGCTTTTGAGCCGACTCAACGACAAAGGAAAGCCGTTTCATACATGAGTGACGGGGATGCGAGTGACGGTGCAGGGGTCATGACTGCGAGTGGTGCGGACATAGGCCAGCACGGCATGGTCCTTCCCTTTGATCCTCTCACCCTCTCCTTCCACAACGTCAACTACTATGTCGACATGCCCGCCGAGCTAAAAGACAAGAATGGGCCACCCGGCCAGCGGCTGCAGCTGCTGCGCAACGTGTCCGGCGTGTTTCGTCCCGGAGTGCTGACCGCCCTGATGGGGGTGTCTGGGGCAGGGAAGACGACGCTAATGGATGTGCTGGCAGGGAGGAAGACTGGGGGGTACATTGAAGGGGATATCCGGGTTTCCGGGTACCCGAAGGTGCAGGAGACGTTTCTGAGGGTGTCGGGGTACTGTGAGCAGGTGGACATTCACACGCCCCAGGTGAACGTGCACGAGTCTCTGCTCTACTCCGCCTGGCTGCGCCTGCCCGAGGAGATCGACAGGGATGTCATTCTGGTGAGTTCTGGGGCTGATTAAGATTGTGACGGTGAGTTTATAAGGCGCCTCAAAAGCCTGGCTGCGCCTGCCTGAGGAGATTGACAGGTATGTGATTTTGGTGAGTACCGGGCCTGAGGATTGTGATCATGGTGAGGTGAGTCAATGGTAGTGGTGAGTGGGGAATTGTGGTGCTGGCGAATAGAGGTGTGTGGCCATGCACGAGTCTCTGCTCTACCCTGCCTGGCTGCGCCTGCCTGAGGAGATCGACCGCGATGTGATACTGGTGAGTTGTTGGTGGTGCTAATGGTGAGTGAAAGTGGTGTGATTATGGTGAGTGGAGGGTGTGATTGTAGTGAACGGATGAGTATGTGTGATGAATATACCACTGTGCCCCCTATTCTTTCCAGGAATTCGTGGAGGAGGTGGAGGAGCTGGTGGTGCTAGATGCGGTGAAGGGCGCGCTGGTGGAAACAGCTGAGTTTGCATTTGCAACAACACCCCCCTCGTCCTCACTCCCCTACCACAGGAATTCGTGGAGGAGGTGGAGGAGCTGGTGGAGTTGGATGCGGTGAAGGGGCACCCCCCACTCCCCTCTCTTATCCTTAACTCCTTCGTTTGAAATGTCCCAACAGGAATTCGTGGAGGAGGTGGAGGAGCTGGTGGAGTTGGATGCGGTGAAGGGGCACCCCCCACTCCCCTCTCTTATCCTTAACTCCTTCGTTTGAAATGTCCCAACAGGAATTCGTGGAGGAGGTGGAGGAGCTGGTGGAGTTGGACGCGGTGAAGGGGCACCCCCCACTCCCCTCTCTTATCCTTAACTCCCTCGTTTGAAATGTCCCAACAGGAATTCGTGGAGGATGTGGAGGAGCTGGTGGAGTTAGATGCGGTGAAGGGTGCACTAGTGGGGACAGCAGGGCAGGACGGGCTGTCAGGTGAATTTGACAGGATAACAACACTCCCCCACTTATTTCCCCTTTTTCAACCTCTCTCAGGAATTCGTGGAGGAGGTAGAAGAATTGGTGGAGTTGGATGCAGTGAAGGGGGCACTGGTGGGGACGGCGGGGCAGGACGGGCTGTCGGTGGAGCAGAGGAAGCGACTGACCATCGCAGTGGAGCTCGTAGCCAACCCCTCAATCATCTTCATGGATGAACCCACCTCAGGTGATACCCGTGACGGAAGACCTACTGGGGATTTCCGATTGATCTTAGGAACGGTTACATCCATGTTTGCCTGGGAGGTTAAGGGCGCACCCACCGCTTCTTAACAAACTCTTTTATCCCAGTGGTTAGTGGCTGAGATTCTGACATGGAATCTGTGCGAACATCACGGGTTCGAATGATGTGCACACATGCTGGCGCTCAAGTGTCGCTGTCGCTGTGCCATGTCCTAGGGCATCCTAGTGAAAGCGGGTGTCAGAAGACCTGCACTGTGGATCCCCGATTGATCCTGCGGAAAGGTTACATGCATATTTGCTTGGGGGGTTATGGCGCACTCACACGCTACTTAACAAGCCACTTTATCCCAGTGGTTAGTTGCTGAAAACCTGCTCATCAGGTAACACCTCCCTCTCAGGTAACCCCGCCATCATCTTTATGGACAAACCCACCTCCCTTCGAAGGTATATGTTTTGTTGAAATGATGTTTAAATGGTGTTTTGTCTCTTTCAACCTCCCTCTCCCCACAACGTATATTAAAGGCAGGGTCTTACGTATACAAGTGCTTTGCAATTGCTGGTGAAAGTGTGTAGTTGATTGGTTGGCGAGGTGTAAGGTTCGAAGTGGGGTGAAGCGAGGGGTGCGAAGCGAACGTAAATCGCTGGGGGTAACCGAACCATCTAGGCTTGGAAAGTTGGTTCGGACCCAAACCTAAAATGCCCCCAAATCATCGAAAGTCTCAAGTCCCCAAAAGTGTTGTGCAATTGCTTTTGGGGCTGAGTTTCCAACCCAACCAGAGACAACTTCGCCAGCACTAACTTAGTTACCTAGCTTCAAGTGCTTTGCAGTCGATGGCTCCTTAGCTTACATGAGACCCTGGCTTTAAGTCGCATGTCTTGATGCAACCTAGATGTGGGCGGTGTGGGCGGAGTGGGCAGCAGTCATACCGATGAGGGTGGTGTGCAACACTGTGAGCACAGGTCATATGCAGCAGCCTAGGCTTGTAGAAAACTGCCATTTTCCCGTCATTCTTCTCCCCCTTCCACTCTTTCTCTTATTCTTTCCCTCTCTCTTCACATCCACTTACATCCGATGCAGGCCTGGATGCGAGGGCAGCAGCCATAGTGATGTGGGCGGTGTGCAACACACCTCTTTCCCTCAGCTCTTTTCTTCTTTCTCTTTTCTTCTTACTCTCCCTCTCTTCGCATCCCTTGCAGGCCTGGATGCGAGGGCAGCGGCCATAGTGATGAGGGCGGTGCGCAACACAGTCAACACGGGCCGCACAGTCGTGTGCACCATCCACCAGCCTTCCATCGATATCTTTGAGTCGTTTGATGAGGTGAAGCATCATATGGCTTGTCATATATATATATAAATATATATCTATATATATATTCATATTTTTGTCATATATATGTGTATTCATATATTCATCATATATACACACCAGCTGTCCATCAACGTCTTTAAGGCATTTGCAAAGATCAGCATCATATGGTTTGTTGTAGTTGTATATATACATAACTACGTTTAGACATTTATACATTTATACTTATATACATATGTACATATATACATATGTACATATAAACGTATATACATATATACATTCTTACATATATACATATATGCATACATACATATATACTATACATTTGTGCATGTATAAATTCATACATGTACAGCACAGTCAGCACGAGTCATAGGGGGGTGTGCTGCAGTGCACTATACACCAGCCGTGTGTTCGTTACACTGTAACAGAAATACACTGTAAAGAGGCACAAGATACATTGCAATTCATGCACCCAACATCACCGTACAGTGAATTGCACCATACTCCAGCACAAATAGCACTCTTTATTCTCTCGCCCCCCTTCCCCTACTCCGCGTCCCTCCCTTGTACTACTGGCCCAGCCTGAGCTAACATGTACTTGTCCCTACTTCTCATCTCTTTGCCTCTCTCTTGCAGGACTATGCCTTGCATCTGCTATGGCTGATTCAGCGTAGAGGAGAGGTGATTAACATGTGCGCTATGGGAGCTATCTTGCTCCTTGCCCTAACTTCCCATTCCCTCCTCCCACCCACTTCCTACCCACCTCTTATGCACCTCCCACCTACCTCCTACCCACCTCTTACCCACTTCCTACCTCCCACGACCTTGCAGCTGCTGCTGATGCAGCGGGGCGGAGAGGTCATCTACGCAGGGTCGTTGGGGACACAGTCATGCGACCTCGTTCGCTACTTCAAGGTAAGGCATAGATACGTCACGTGAATGATACTTCAAGCACGGAGCACGGCACGTTAATGATTCAATTTGACTGAATAAGAAATCCATCCATTCTGTCTCGAACCATCTTATATAATGATAGGCGCGTCAGGTCTCAAGCCCCTTCCTCCACTTCATCCCAGAACTGCCCCCGTTCAGTCCAGGCAACCCTGCAGCGCCAATGCTCAAGGTCATGAATGCCTCCCTTCCGCTTTCCCGCTCTTCGTTTCCCTCTCCCATCCATCCCCCCCTCCATTCCATCACAGGAGGGCCCCCCATCCAGTCCGGCTCGAGGTCATAATGTCTCCCTCCCCCCCTGTCCCCCCTCCCTTTCTCTCTCTCCTTCCCCACCATTCCCATCCCCCTCCAGGCCATCCCAGGAGTGCCGGCCATCCAGCCCGGCGCCAACCCAGCAGCGTGGATGCTCGAGGTCACCACCGTCCTGCTCAGCTCCCCTCCCCTTGTCAATCCCCCATCCACCCATCTATCTCCACCCCTGCATGTATCCAATCCAGGCCATCCCAGGGGTGCCACCCATCCAGGGGGGTGCCAACCCAGCAGCGTGGATGCTCGAGGTCACGGCGCCAGCAGCAGCAGAGCGGCTAGCAGTCGACTTTGCCCACCTCTTCCGCCAGTCAGAGCAGTTCAGGTGAGAACAGCAGAGGATCAGGTGGGAACAACAGATGCCCAGGAGAACACAGCAGAGACTCAGAAGCTCTGTTCCATCGAACAAGCCGGTTCCAGAAAACGAGCTCGGCCACGTCTTTCTAACACAGCCTCCCTCAAACGCCCCCCACCCAGCTCCTCACTTCCCTGCTAACCTTCTCTGCTCGTACCCTTCAACCCCCACCCCCTTTTCTCCCCCACCCCCTTTCTCCCCCACCAACCGCTTCCCTCCTCTCCTATTCACCCCCCCCCCACCCGCAGGACCATAGAGTCGCTCATCCAGGAAGCTTTTGAGTCGACTCTGACACTCTGCTCTCCCTTACCCCCCCCACCCTCAGGGCCATAGAGTCGCTCATCCAGGAATCCAGCGCCCCACCCTAGTGACTTTTGAGTCGACTCGAAAATCACCTTGCTCCCCATTACTCCCAACACCCACAGGTCCCTAGACTCGCTTGGCCAAAAATCCTGCATGCCTCAATTTCTTCCTCCCTTAGCCTCTCCTCCGCCCTACGCTCTGCACTCCCATACCCCAATCGCCCTTCTCTTTACCTCGTCACTCTCTTATCCCTCTCGCCCTCGGGACCATAGAGTCGCTGATCCGAAAATCCAGTGTGCCTGTTGAGGCAAGCCGCACGTTTTTCTTCAAACGCAGGAACCAGCATGCCTCACTCGCTTCCTCAAATAGTTACTTCCCTCCCCTCCCCCTGACACTCTGCTCCCCCTTACCCCCCACATCTTCAGGGCCATAGAGTCGCTCATCCAGGAATCCAGCGAACCGCCAGAAGGGGAGCCGGACCTCTTCTTCCCAACGCAGCACCCGACAACACCCCTCTCCCAGTTCGCGACGCACCTGTGGAAGCGGCACCTCATGTACTGGCGCATGCCCGACTACAACGGCACGCGCTTCTTCTTCTCCTTCATCATGGCTCTCCTCATCGGCGGCGTCTTCTTCGGCTTCGGACACACCCGCGACACCCCCCAGCAGATTGTGAATGTCATGGGAGCACTTTACACCGCAGCGCTTTTCCTCGGGTGGAGCAATCTCGCGTCGATCCAGCCAATGATGGCTGTGGAAAGGAGTATTTTCTACCGGGAGCGGGGTGCCGGGATGTACGGAGCAATTCCGTACGCGCTCGCGCAAGGAGCGATCGAGTTGCCATACCTGGTGATCCAGGCTGTGGTGTACTCGTTAATAACATACTCTATGATTCAGTTCGAGTGGACGCTCGTGAAGTTCCTGATGTACCTGCTGTTCCAGTTCCTCACGCTGCTCTACTTCACGTGTTTCGGCATGATGACGAGTGCCATCACACCCGCTGAAGGGCTGGGAACGCTGCTCTCTGCCTTCATCTACTCCTTCTGGAACCTTCTCTGCGGCTTCCTGCTGCCGCAGCCGGTGCGTGCAGTGCTCGTTGCGCTCTGTTCTTTAGTGGTCAGCATACATCCATGTGTTGATACACAATTGGCTGCATTGTATCAGCCCTGTTGGATGGCCACCTTTCCCTCTCCTTCTGTCTTGCTTATTCCCTGTGTAGTGAAATCAAAGTTGCTGCGTTGCATCAACCTTGTTCAATGGCCCCCTTCCCCTCTCCCTCTGTCCTACTTATTTACCCTCCCTCACGCACTCAACAGAAAATCCCCACTTACTGGATATGGCTGTATTGGATCAACCCTGTCGCATGGACCCTCTATGGCCTTGCTGCTTCCCAGGTATACCCTCTTCCTTTCTGCTTCCAAGTATACTTTCTTACCCCACTCCTCCCCTTCCCTTTGCCAGCTCGTTTCTTGTAGTATTCCGAACCTCCCTTTGTGTATTGCTCGTTTCTTGTTGCGTTACAGTTGGGGGATGTAACGACGCTGGTGGAGAGTTCACCGGGCATGCCAGCTCAGACGGTATCGCAGTTCATCCAGCTCTACTACGGCTTCTCCCACGCCTGGCTGGGCTACGCCACTGTTGCTCTGCTCGGCTTCTCCCTCCTCTTCTTCTGCGTGTTTACCATTGCCCTCCGCAACCTCAACTTCCAGCGGCGATAAGATTGGGAGACATGAGCTGGTGTGAGGTTCGCTGTTGCTCTGCTCGGCTTCTCCCTCCTCTTCTTCTGCGTGTTTACCATTGCCCTCCGCAACCTCAACTTCCAGCGGCAATAAGATTGGGAGACATGAGCTGGTGTGAGGTTCGCTGTTGCTCTGCTCGGCTTCTCCCTCCTCTTCTTCTGCGTGTTTACCATTGCCCTCCGCAACCTCAACTTCCAGCGGCGATAAGATTGGGAGACATGAGCTGGTGTGAGGTTCGCTGTTGCTCTGCTCGGCTTCTCCCTCCTCTTCTTGTGTGTTCACCGTTGCCCTCCGCAACCTCAACTTCCAAACCCGTTAAGCCAAGGCAGTCTGAAGCCCATCAGAATCCTTTGAAGTCAAACCCCAAAGGTCGCAGCAACGAGTAGCCGGGCATGCCAGCTCAGACGGTATCGCAGTTCATCCAGCTCTACTACGGCTTCTCCCACGCCTGGCTTGGCTACGCCACTGTTGCTCTGCTCGGCTTCTCCCTCCTCTTCTGTGTGTTCACCATTGCCCTCCGCTACCTCAACTTCCAGCGGAGATAGTACAGGATTGGGAGACATGAGCTGCTATAAATAGATCATGTAGAACTGTTTTTTAAGTTTAAGAGCCTTCCTTCTCTGAACAATTTCTATCTAGAACATGCAAAGCATCGAGAGAAAATGCATGAAGAGCAAAAAAAAAAAATATGGGGAGCTGGGTACGTCAAAAAGGTGGGAATTACTCTGTGATTTTTCGACAGCTTTAAGAGGGACGATAAAGAGATACTATACACATAAACGCATTGACTAGTACACAAGAACACAGCGTATGATTGTGATACACGATACTGCAGGTGGTTCCCTCATTACCTTACCTCCTCCTACAGCCTCTCGAAAAGGCAGTCAGTGAGTCAGCGGGGTTAGGGGCAGCGGAGGAACGCCGCTACGACAAGGAATATCTATCCAGCGACGTTCCTTGTCGCCGACAAAAACGAGGTTCTTTATTCGAACGAGTTATCCACCCAGATATGGACGGCTGTCCAGCTGCATCCGAATGTCCGCTCAAATCAAGAAGGTGGAGAGAGTGAAAGGCTCTTGTCCAGGTTTGAGTCGAGAAATGGGGTGTTGGAAGGCTGGCGTTAGGGCGTGATGCGAGGGAGTGACTTTTGAGATGCCTCAAAGGGGTGAAAGGCTCACATGCGGGTTTTGAGAATTGGAGTGTTAAAAGGTTGGTGCGAGGAACTGAAAGGCAGGGTTACCTTTGAGGGGAGGAGGACGAAAGGCTCACATCTGGGTTTGAGACGTGAGTTGGGTTGTTAGAAGGCCGGTGCAGGGCATGAGGAAGTGGAAGGCTAGTGCTAGGGGCGTGAGGAGAGGAAGTGGAAGGCGGGGTTATCTCTGAGGGGAGGTGGCACCGGCAGCACTGCAATGTCAATGCCCTCCATGCTGCGCGCAAAGTCGTCCGGACCGAAGGGGATACTGTGTGGGTGAGGTGGGGAAGGGGAGGAAACAGGAGGGGTGGGCATGGGAGACAGCAGAGCTCCTCGCCTCCTCGCTCATTTTTGCGTGCATCATCTGAATGACTTGTGTGCTGATGGTGTGTGTGCCGTACTTGCCACTTATCACCTCCCTCTTTATGCATCAAGCCATCACAATCTCATTCCTCTCCTCTTTTCCATTACAGAGTAATTGCCGTGTGTGTGCCGTACTTGCCACTCATCACCACCCCCTTCATTCACGCATCAACACATCACAACCCTCCCCCATCACTCCTCCTCACCTCGTCCCATCCCCCCTACCCCCACCTCACCTCATCCCCTCCTCTCCCTCTCACCTCGAGTCATCATCCAGCAGGAAAGATCCAGTAGCAGCAGCGCCCCTCGCCTCCTCGCTCATTCTGGCGCGCATCATCTGAATGACCTGCGTGCTGACGGTGTGCGTGCCGTACTTGACCCGTATCACCACCCCCTTCATTCACGCATCGATGCATCACAACACTCCCTCATCACACCTCCTCACCACGCCCCATCCCCCCTCCCCTCACCTCGTCTCATCTCCTCTCCCCTCACCTCGAGTCATCATCCAGCAGAGAAGATCCAGCAGCAGCAGGGCTCCTCGCCTCCTCGCTCATTCTGGCGCGCATCATCTGAATGACCTGCGTGCTGACGGTGTGCGTGCCGTACTTGACCCGTATCACCACCCCCTTCATTCACGCATCGATGCATCACAACACTCCCTCATCACACCTCCTCACCACGCCCCATCCCCCCTCCCCTCACCTCGTCTCATCTGCTCTCCCCTCACCTCGAGTCATCATCCAGCAGAGAAGATCCAGCAGCAGCAGGGCTCCTCACCTCCTCGCTCATTCGGGCGAGCGTCCTCTGAATAATCTGCGTGCTGACGGTGTGTGTGCCATACTTGCCACATATCACCCCCCTCTTTATGCATCAAGCCATTACAATCTCATTTCTCTCCCCCTCCCTCTCACCTCGAGTCATCATCCAGAAGAAACGAGCCAGTAGCAGCAGGGGACCGCGCCTCCTCGCTCATTCTGGCGCGCATCATCTGAATGACCTGCGTGCTGACGGTGTGTGTGCCGTACTTGCCATCCCAGTACATGGTGGCGATGCGATACAGCTGCTGCGTCGACAGCGACGGGCAGAGAGTCGTGACAATTTCTTCCAAACTTTTCTTAGGTTTCTGGTGCAGCACCTGGGAGGGAGTGGGTGAGGGAGGGAGGGGAGGGGTGTGTGTGTGCCGTACTTGCCATCGCAGTACATGGTGGCGATGCGGTACAGCTGCTGCGTTGAGAGGGATGGGCAGAGGGTCGTGATTATCTCCTCCAGACTCTTCTTGGGCTTCTGATGCAGCACCAGGTGGGAGGGGAATTGCAGGAGGGCGGAAGTGGGTGGCTAGGGGAAATGGCAAATGAGCCAGCCAAGTCAAAGTATTCTTTTGAGGTGCCTAAAATATGAGGCGTAGAGGGGGGAAACAGAGGGGGAACAGGGAAGGGACAGATATTGAACAAACATAGACTTCCAGTCGGAAAAGACATGGGATGTCAAACTGCGGTATGAATCCCTCCCTGACTTCCTCCCTCTCCCTCCCTCACTCCCGCACTCGCTCTCACTCACCAGGAACCCCACAGCCTGGGTGATGCTTCGAAGCTCCTCTTGCGCCCGCCCCATGCTCTCATCTCCCGCCTCCCGCATCCACTGCTGCACCTCCTGGAACCCCCCCTTCATTCATCCACTCCTCCTCTCAACTGATTGCTCCCTCACTCACTCTCTCCCTCAAACACTCCCTCACTCACCAGGAACCCCACAGCCTGGGTGATGCTTCGAAGCTCCTCCCACGCGCGCCCCATGCTCTCATCTCCCGCCTCCCGCATCCACTGCTGCACCTCCTGCAGCCCCGCCTTCACATACTCCCCGTTGCTCAACGAACAGCACTCCCGGCGGAGTAATAAGCTGAAAGGAATGGGGGAGAAGGGGTTTGCGGGGGGAGGATAAAAGGAGGAAGTGTGGGAGTTGGATGCTGCGCCTCCTGCAACCCCGCCTTCACATACTCTCCGTTGCTCAACGAACAGCATTCACGGCGGAGCAGTAAGCTGAAGGGAAGGGGGGAGTGGACATTGGAAGCGGGGGAGGAGAGAGGGAGAGTGGTAAAGGAAGGCTGTATTTTTCTGCAACCCGCCTTCACATTCTCTTTTTTGCTGAACGAACAACACTCCCGACGGAGCAGCAAGCTGGGTGAAAAAAGGGGGTTTCAGAGGACAGGGGGGAGGGAAAGGGGAAGAGAAGGAGTGGAGTGAGATGAGGAACGGCATGACTGAGATGTGGCAAAGTACCCTTGTTTCTCCCCCACCGCCCCGCCCTCACCTGTTAAACAGCTGAACGTTGATGAAGGAGAAGACTAGGGCAAACATTTTCCGGATGAGGAACGGCGCCACATGGTTTCCCTTGAGCGTCGTGAGCAGAGTGCTGAGCGCTGCAATGATGGCGTGCCAGGGGCTTGGTGGTGGTGATGTTGATAAGGGCCTGGCACTTCTTACCTGTTAAACAGCTGGACGTTGATGAAGGAGAACACTTGAGCGAACATCTTGCGGATGAGGAACGGCGCCACATGGTTTCCCTTGAGCGTTGTGAGCAGCGTGCTGAGCGCTGCAATGATGGCGTGCCACGGGCTTGGTGGGGATGATGATGACGGTGGGCCGCCGCCCGCTGCGCTGCTAGGAGACGAAGACTGCCGGCCGTATGAGGAGCGGGAGACGCGCGGAGCCTGGGTGGGGGAAGAGGGTTGGGGGAAGAGGGTTGGGGGAAGAGGGTTGGGGGAAGAGGGTTGGGGGAAGAGGGTTGGGGGAAGAGGGTTGGGGGAAGAGGGTTGGGGGAAGAGGGTTGGGGGAAGAGGGTGGGGATGATGACGGTGGGCCGCCGCCCGCTGCGCTGCTAGGAGACGAAGACTGCCGGCCGTATGAGGAGCGGGAGACACGAGGGGCCTGGGTGGGGGAAGAGGGTTGGGGGAAGAGGGTTGGGGGAAGAGGGTTGGGGGAAGAGGGTTGGGGGAAGAGGGTTGGGGGAAGAGGGTTGGGGGAAGAGGGTTGGGGGAAGAGGGTGGGGATGATGACGGTGGGCCGCCGCCCGCTGCGCTGCTAGGAGACGAAGACTGCCGGCCGTATGAGGAGCGGGAGACACGAGGGGCCTGGGTGGGGGAAGAGGGTTGGGGGAAGAAGGTCGGGGGAAGAGGGTTGGGGGAAGAGGGTTGGGGGAAGAGGGTTGGGGGAAGAGGGTGCGATGAGGCGGATGGGAGGAGGAGGGTGGGAAGAGGAGGGGGGGAAGAGGAGGTGGGGAAGAGGAGGGGGGGAAGAAAATGTGCACGTGTGAGTGAGCTGCCCAGAGCCATCCCACCTAAATGCACTTTCAATTTCCAATCCCACCTGAGCGCACTCCAACCTTCACCCATTGTAACGAGGTGACTTTTGAGTCGACTCAAAAGCTACCTGAGTGCACCGCCCGAGAATCAAGGATCTGATTAGCTACCTAAAAGTCCCGCTTCAAGTTGTCTCTGATCAGCCCAAACACCTTCTCCACATACGCTGTCAGCTGCCGCCGGAAAAGAAGCAACCCAACCCTCCTCCACATCCTAGTGCTCCCCAGGAACCCTGACGTTACCTGAATGCACTGCCCGAGAATTGGGGAGATGTCTCGCTTGAGGTTGTCCCTTATCAGCCCAAACACCTTCTCCACATACGCGGTCAGCTGCTGCCGAAACAGCACCAGCCCTAGTCCCCCAATAACCCCAATCCGACCTCAACGCATTGCCAAGCCTCAATGGTACCTGAATGCACTGCCCAAGAATGGGCGAAATGTCCCGCTTCAAGTTGTCTCTGATCAGCCCAAACACCTTCTCCACATACGCTGTCAGCTGCTGCCGAAACAGCAGCGCGGGGTACTTGGCTTCTATCAGCTTCAGCGAGCTAGACCCATCCGGCAGAGGGGGGGACGGATATCCCATCTGGGGCCCCATCTGAGGGCCCATATGACCCATCCTGCCACTAGCCCCCCCTCCTCCTTGCACCCCTCTCCTCCTCCCTGCTGGCCCAGCCTGGCCCGCACCGGCTTTAAGCGTCCGCTGCAGCAGCACCAGCAGGCAAGAAGTGTTAGACAGCCAATACGCCAGCCTCCCCATGCTCTTCCCTCCCAACCCCGCTCCACCGCTCAGCACCCCTCCGGCTGGCAGCGCCGCCAGGGCTGCCTCATCCTCCTCAACAGCTGATCTGATAGTGCGGTTGATGCGGTCGAAAATGCTTGTTCGCTCGGCTTCGAATGCCCGCCAGTGCAGCAGGCATTTGTAGACTGTACAGGCGGCTAGGGGGCGCTTGTTGCTGTAGCCGAGACTGGTGGCTGAGAGGGCCTTCAGTAGTGCCTCCTGCTCTTGCTGCGATCAGATCAGGCCACCAAGACAAGGGAGAAGAGAGAGAGGAGAGGAGGGAAGGAGCAACGAGGGGAAGGGTGAGTGAGGAGGAAAGTGTTGAGCTTCTGTTGGCTTCAAACGCCCGCCAGTGCAGCAGGCATTTGTAGACTGTGCAGGCGGCTAGGGGCCGCTTGTTGCTGTAGCCGAGACTCGTGGCTGAGAGGGCCTTCAGTAGTGTTTCCTGCTCTTGCTGTTATCAGGGCAGCAGGGTAACGGAAAGGGAGGAGGAGGAAAAGATGGAGGTAGGAGCAATGAGGGGAAGGGTGAGTGAGGAGGAAAGCGTGGAGATTCTTTTGGCTTCAAATGCCCGCCAGTGCAGTAGGCATTTGCAGACAATGCAGGCGGCTAGGGGCCGCTTGTTGCTGTAGCCCCCCCTGCTGCCGTTCCCACTCACTGGGGTTTGAGGCGCCTCAAAAGCACTCCCCTCCAGGAGCAACACCCCCACCACACCCCCCCTCTGCTTTTGAGTCGACTCAAAAGTCACCTCGTTACAATGGCACACGACACTTTTGAGTCGACTCAAAAGTCACCTCGACTCAGAAATCATCTTGAGGCGCCTCAAAAGCACTCCCCTTCAGGAGCAACACCCCCACCACAACCCCCCTGCTACCGTTCCCGCTCACCGAGTGCCGTTCAGACTGCATGCGATAAAGCCGCCCTCTCTCTCCTCCTTCCCCAGATACACTCCCCAGCGGCGACATCCCCGCTACTCCCCCTCTGCTGCCGTTCCCACTAGCCGGGGTGAGCGCCAACGGGACAGGAGAGTCTGGCGATCCCAGCCTCCGGCTCGGCGACCCGTGGCTCTGGCTCGGCGATCCGAAGCTCAGGCTCGGGGAAATCCCGTTCTGCTGCGGGGATTGGACCGCCATAGCCCCTCCTGCTCCTTGCTCCCCGCTTCTCCCTGCTCCCACTGCCCCTCCTCCACCTCCTCCTCTGTCTGGGCCTGAGAGTGCTTGCTGCTGCTGCCGCAGCGCTTGGTTTTCTCGCTCCATCCGCGAGTAAAGCTCCTGTACCCGCTTTAGATCCGCTTGGGTCTGCTCCAGCTCCCTCTCGCTCCGTGCTGCCTTCTCCTGTACCTGCGGGGGAAAATGAACACACACATTCACATGAATAAGCACACACGAAACAAGTGCGTTCATGTGTGCACATTCACATGAGCAAGCACACAAGCGAACCTTTGGCAGCTGCAGCAGCTTATCTTTCAGCCGTCTCCCTCACGTGCCTGGCCACCTCTGCCTAAGACTCTTGTCTGCCCGGCCACCCCTCTCTGCGACCACCTTTGCCTGGAAACTCTCACCTGCTCGGCCACCTCTGCCTTTGAACTCTCACCTGCTCGGCCACCTCTGCCTTTGAACTCTCACCTGCTCGGCCACCTCTGCCTTTGAACCCTCACCTGCTCGGCCACCTCTGCCTTTGAACTCTCACCTGCTCGGCCACCTCTGCCTTTGAACTCTCACCTGCTCGGCCACCTCTGCCTTTGAACTCTCACCTGCTCGGCCACCTCTGCCTTTGAACTCTCACCTGCTCGGCCACCTCTGCCTTTGAACTCTCACCTGCTCGGCCACCTCTGCCTTTGAACTCTCACCTGCCCAGCCACCTCAGCCTCGTAGCGAGCCAGCCGCCCCTCTGACTCCGCCAGCAGCGACTTGAGCTGCTCCAGCTGTGGGATGGGATGCAGGGCGGTTCAAATGGCAGTTGCACAGGGGATCATAGGAGTGGGAAAGCAACCAGAAGCGACTGTTTAAACCTCTCTGACTCGTAGCCGAAGTAGCAACAGGAAGAGTTTTTAGCTGCACATTCTCCTGCTGCGGTTGTGGGGCGCAGAGTGGACGTGGACAGAGGAACACAGGAGACGAGGAGCAACGAGAGGTGATCAATCGAATCCCAATGATCACAGCTCAATGCTCACACCTCACAGTACATGATCTCAACTGAACTCAACAGAATTTCAACTCAAGCGCGTCTCATCGTCAGTCGTAAACGAGCATGCCAGCTCACCTGCCCATCGCCCTCCCCAGCAGGTCGCCCCGCACTCTCCCCAGCTGCTCTCGCTGATGCCGCTGATGACACAGACGCAGCAGCAGCTGACGCCCCTCCACCAGACACCACACTCCCGCGTCCCCCACTCCCAACCCCACCACCACCAGCACCAGCACCACCAGCAGCCGCCACCACTGGCCGGTCTGCCAGCTGTTGCGCCAGCCTGGCACTCTCCTCCGCCATTCGCTCGCTCTGCTCCCTCCATCTCTGCACCTCTGCCTCTGCCTGTTCCACCTTCCCTTGCGCCTCCTCCAACCTCTCTTGAGCTTCCTCTAATCTCCCCTGTGCTTCTTGTAGTCTCCCTTGGGATTCGTCTAGTTGCCTCCGGGTGTCGTCTACTTGGCTCTCCAGCCGGGTTCGCGTGTCGTCGAGCTCGGACCGTAGATCTTCCACTTGCGCTTGCAGCCGTTGGATCTCGGCGGCCTTTGCCTCCTCTAGGTCCAGCTGGTTTGGGGAGAAGCGGATGGGATGAGAAGGGCATGAGAGGGGCGAGAGCAGGGAAAGAGAAGATTGGCATGAATGGATCAACACAACACTTCAAGGATACCCACATCAATCCACCCCAGGCCAGGGTGCCACCACAGCTGCCACTTCAATAGGCGGCTGCGCATTCTCAGCTGTGGTGGCACCGGGCACCCCCTCGCTCCAGAGGTGCACCGGGCACCGGGCAGAGGTGCAGAGATTGAGGTGTTTTAGCCCCCATCCACAACACATGACCGTACAACACATCCCCACCCACTCACCCGCATGCGCTCCTCCAGCTGCTCCTCCAGCTGCTCCTCCAGCTGCTTCGCCAGCTGCCTGTTGAGACGTGTCAAAGGCCATACACAACGCGTTACTCACCGGCCCACACATCCCCACGCACTCACCCGCATGCGCTTCTCCAGCTGCAGCCGCCACGTCAGCTCCTCCAGCTGCTTCTCCAGCTTTGACTTGGCCTCGCGCAGTGCCCCTGCTTGCCTCGCCTCCTGGGAGAAGGGAAAAGACGGGGGGTTGGGGGGGGGGGTTGAGAATGGGCAGCAAAAAAGGACCAGGTTTGTTGAGACACAGACTTGGCAGTAGTAGATTCGTTGAAAGAGGATTGGCAGTAGAAGATTCGTTGAATGATAGCCTGTAGGTTGTCTCCAGCCGTTCGCCTGTCCGCCTGCCTTGCCTCCGGCGGCGAGGGGGACAAGGAGCAAACAAGGATGGCAGACAGGAAACACGAGACGCCCCTGATGGCTTCCATCCTCCTCAAGTCCGGAGCAAGCGAATTGAAACAAGCAAATAGAACGAAGAGCAGAGCCAACAGCCTGCCTGAACCCACTGAGTGGGTCCCACTCCCACCCCATACCTCTCACCACTCGCTGTTGCCTGAGAAATTTTTGAGGCGCCTCAAAAATCGTCTGAGTGGGTCCCACTCCCACCCCATCCCTCTCACCACTCGCAGTTGCCTGAGCAGCCTGCGCGCCTCTCTCCATCTCCACGCGCTCTGAATGACCACGGCAAGTTCTGAGCGTCTCAAAGCGAGCCTGCCTGCCTGCCTGCCAGCTATGCTCACCACTCGCAGTTGCCTGAGCAGCCTGCGCACCTGTCTCGCTCGCATGCGCTGAATAACCATGGTAAAATTAGAGGTATCTGCAACCCCCAACCTGCCTGCCTGCCAGCTATGCTCACCACTCGCAGTTGCCTGAGCAGCCTGTGCACCTGTCTCGCTCGCATGCGCTGAATAACCATGGTAAAATTAGAGGTATCTGCAACCCCCAACCTGCCTGCCTGCCAGCTATGCTCACCACTCGCAGTTGCCTGAGCAGCCTGCGCGCCTGTCTCGCTCTCCACGCGCTCTGAATGACCACGGCGCTCCAGCGCTCGCGAAGGAAGTCCATTCGTTCTACATAGCCCCTCCAAGCAGCCTGGATGGGGTAAGAGGGAAGGAGGGTGGATGCAAGCAGAAAATAGGGGTGGGAAAGACAGGCGCTCTGAATGACCACGGCACTCCAACGCTCGCGGAGGAAGTCCATTCGATCCACGTAGCCCCGCCAGGCCGCCTGCCACGGGGTGGGTCAAGGGCGTGCAAACAAGGGGGTTGGAACAAGGGGTTGGCTTTGAGTCGGCTCAAAACACAAGAGCTGCGTCAAGCACGAGGGAACAAGGCGCTCTGACTGACCACGGCGCTCCATCCGATCCACATAGCCACGCCAGGCCGCCTGCACAGGATGGTTCCATGGCAAAGCATGGTTGGCACACGGGTCGAAACAAGAGGTAAGAAGGAAACAAAGGGTCGAAACAAAACAAGCAGTTGAACGAAGCAAGGTGTGAATACAAAGGGACGCAACAGGGGTTGAACAGTGGTGCACGTAAGGGAGTTCATGCACCGTCTATGCACAGTTCATGCACTGTCTAACCAACCTGTATTCTTGTGGCCGCCCGCTGCACTCTGATCTCTCGCGCCCACTTGCGGCACAACATGCCGCGGAACGCTGCCTGGATGATGATGGCACTGTAGCGCGTGTGCTCGTAGGCCAGCTGCGTGGTGTATCGCCGCACGTGCTTCTGAATCGTCACTGCTGCTGCTTCTTCTCGCAGCCAGCTGTAGTACTGCCGGGTCAGATGGCCTGGTGGGTAATGGTATTGGGGAAGGCAGGAGGGTGAGAGTGGGAGGAGGGCGGAAGGAGAGGGAGGTGGAGGAGGGGGAGAGGTGGGAGGGACGAGAGGAGGGGGGAGAGAGGGGAGCAAGAGGAGTGAGAGGAGGTTGGGTGAGAGCAGCAGTGCAGTCGCAAGTGTGCTCGTAGGCGAGCTGCGTGGTGTATCGCCACACGTGCTTCTTCTCGTAACCAGCTGTAGTACTGCCTGGTCAGGTGGCTTGGGGGGGAGAGGGGAGAGGAGGGAGGAGGGCAAGAGTGGGGAGAAAGAGGGCACCCCCCAATCACGGCCCAATCACCCCTCAATCTTCTCACCTCGCCATCTCGCCTGCATGCGAATCACGGCCCATCGCAGCATGTTGTAGCGCATGAACTGCCGCCACGACCGCCAGGCGCGCTGAATCACCCGCGCCGCCCACCCCAGCTTCTCCGCCCTCAACGCATCCAAGTCAGCCATCTGGCCTGCTCTCAAAAACACCTTCGTCCTGCCCACCTGTTCGGAAAGCCGTCATGTGGGGGGTAAGGGGAGTTGGTGAGGGAAAGTTCAAGGAGCCTCTAAAAACCTCTCGGCCATCAGGCATCCAGGTCCGCCGTCTGGCCTGCTCGAAAAACACCTTGGTCCTGTCCTGGCCACCTGATTGAACGAGAGAGAGGGGGGTCGGGAGTGGGGGGTGGGCCGCAGAAGGTGAGGGGAAGGGGAACGGAGGGGTCAGGGGAGTGGTTTATGCGCAGCCCACCCCAGCCTCTCAGCCCTCAGTGCATCCAGGTCCGCCATCTGCCCCGCCCTAAGAAACACTCCCCAGGAGGTGGGGAGTGGAAGGGGGAGAAAGGGGGAAGCGGGGGGTCAGGGGAGTGGTTTATGCGCAGCCCACCCCAGCCTCTCCGCCCTCAGTGCATCCAGGTCCGCCATCTGCCCCGCCCTAAGAAACACTCCCCAGGAGGTGGGGAGTGGAAGGGGGAGAAAGGGGGAAGCGGGGGGTCAGGGGAGTGGTTTATGCGCAGCCCACCCCAGCCTCTCCGCCCTCAGTGCATCCAGGTCCGCCATCTGCCCCGCCCTAAGAAACACTCCCCAGGAGGTGGGGAGTGGAAGGGGGAGAAAGGGGGAAGCGGGGGGTCAGGGGAGTGGTTTATGCGCAGCCCACCCCAGCCTCTCCGCCCTCAGTGCATCCAGGTCCGCCATCTGCCCCGCCCTAAGAAACACTCCCCAGGAGGTGGGGAGTGGAAGGGGGAGAAAGGGGGAAGCGGGGGGTCAGGGGAGTGGTTTATGCGCAGCCCACCCCAGCCTCTCCGCCCTCAGTGCATCCAGGTCCGCCATCTGCCCCGCCCTAAGAAACACTCCCCAGGAGGTGGGGAGTGGAAGGGGGAGAAAGGGGGAAGCGGGGGGTCAGGGGAGTGGTTTATGCGCAGCCCACCCCAGCCTCTCCGCCCTCAGTGCATCCAGGTCCGCCATCTGCCCCGCCCTAAGAAACACTCCCCAGGAGGTGGGGAGTGGAAGGGGGAGAAAGGGGGAAGCGGGGGGTCAGGGGAGTGGTTTATGCGCAGCCCACCCCAGCCTCTCCGCCCTCAGTGCATCCAGGTCCGCCATCTAGCCTGGGTGGATAGGTAGGGAGTGGGGACGTACAGGACACAGTGACGGGCAGAGCTGGTGGTGCCTCAGCAGGTGCGAGACACAGGAAAGGTAATGAGGCTATTCATAATCCACACCACACGCCGTCGCACTAACTCCACCCCCCTCCCTTCCTCCACTCCACCTACCCGTAGCACTCACCCCTTGCACCCTCCTTGGACCTAAACCCACACCTGTTCAAACCTTGAACCAGTTCAGCTGCAGCTTTGCGAATGTTACCTGGAAGTTGCTGAAGCCTAGTCGCTGCAGCATAAGAGTAACGGACGTCTTGTCATCGTATCTGCAGCAGGGGAGAAGGGAACGAGAGGGGGAGGAGGGCATGAGGGGTCAAGGGAAGTGAGAAGCAGCAGTGCATGAGGACAGCAGCAGGTGTTTTCACAGATTACAAACTGACATTCTCCCATCACAGAGGTCCGGTGCGAGAACAGAGAATCTGTCAAGAATTTCATCAAAGGCTTAAGACGTCTAAGAGAGTGAGAACAGACCTTACCATCACACAGACGGCTCTGGTGTGAGATTGGAGAATCAAAAACATGTGTTATAAAACAAATCAAACACGTTCGCGTAAAGGCTTGACAGTGACAAACTCCCATCACAGAGGTCAGGTGCTCTGTGATGGACCTCGGTGATGGAAGAAGGTCAAATTCTGTGTCCGGTTTCTCGACAGAATCTGTGAAGGAACTCATCCAAGGCTTAAGACATCTAAGAGAGTGAGAACAGACCTTGTCATCACACAGACAGCTCTGGTGCGAGATTGGAGAATCTAAAATGTGTGTTTTGAGACACCTCAAAACACGTTCGTGTAAAGGCTCAATACTGACCTTCTTCCATCACACAGACAGCTCTGGTGCGAGATTGGAGAATCTGAAACGTGTGTTTTGAGTCAAATCAAAACACGTTCGTGCAAAGGCTCGACACTGACCTTCTCCCATCACACAGACAGCTCTGGTGCGAGATTGGAGAATCTGAAACGTGTGTTTTGAGTCAAATCAAAACACGTTCGAGTAAAGGCTTGACACTGACCTTCTCCCATCACAGAGGTCAGGTGCGAGAACAAACAATCTGCCGCGTGTGTTACGAGTCAACTCAAAACATGTCGTGAGCTGGCTTGAAGGCTCGACACTGACCTTCTCCCATCACAAAGGTCCGGTGCAAGAACAGAGAATCTGTCAAGAAACTCGTCAAAGGGGCGGCGAGTGGGGTAGCCCGCACAGCTGATTCGAATTGCCTCCAGCACACCCTGTGAGTGAAGGATTGGAGGGAGAGAGGGAGGTGAGTCAGGGAGGGAAGTGAGTGAGTGCGAGAGCGAAGCGAACTGTGAGAGACCAGAAGCGGATGTGTCAAGGAACTGGGATAGCTTGCACGGCTGATTTGGATGGCCTCTAGGTCTTCCGGTGAGAACAGGATTAGAGGGAGGGAGGGAAGTGACTGAATGACGCTCAACCTAACTCAACTCACCCCCCATCTGAGTTGGTGATCCCTGGCTTGTACTGCCCGTTGGGCTTCACACACCCACACACTGCACACAAACTGTTTGTGAACTCAATTTCACCCCACTCCAACCAACTCCTCCGGACTCAACTCACCCCGCATCGCAGTTGGTGAATGACGCTGGGGTTCTCAAAGTAACCAGGCTTGTACTGCCCGTTGGGCTTCACACATCGCACATAGTGCGGCTCCATGTGGCTCAGAGTGGCCATCAGCTCTGCTAGTTGTTGCTGCCAGAAGGGGGAGTGCGGGGGTGGGGGTGGAGAGTGGGGTAGAGGCGGCTTCACACATCGCACGTAGTGTGGCTCCATGTGGCTCAGAGTGGCCATCAGCTCCGCCAGTTGCTGCTGCCAAAAGGGGGGGGGGGGTGGGTGTGGGTTGGGCAAGCAGAAGGGAAGTTGGGGACCCGACAAACGGCATGGGGAACAGCGCTGCCACAATCAGGGTCTTCAACCCGACTACAATCCCTCCCTTCTCACCATACTTCCCATGTCACTCTCACCTTGAATCCCGAACCCAGTGACATGAACTTGGTCTTGGCCTTGTCGCCCGACAGCATGGGGAAGAGCACCGCCACAAAGTGGGTCTTGTACCCTGCTGTCACCCCTGCCTTCTCATTATACATCCCACCTTATCTCACCTTGAAGCCAGATCCCAGGGACGTGAACTTGGTCTTGGCCTTGTCGCCCGAGGGCATGGGGAAGAGCGCCGCCACAAAGGGGTCTATTGACGCTCCCAGCAGCGCCTGGTGCTCCATCACCACGTAGTCCTTGTTCTTCTCGAGGAAGAGATCTGTTTGATAGGTCACCTGGCAGGAGAGGGTTACGAGAAGCAGAGTAGGAAGGAGGGAGATGCGTGAAAGATAAGCCTGGTGCTTCATCCATCACCACGTAGTCTTTGTTCTTCTTGAGAAACAAATCTGTTTGATAGGACACCTGGCGTGATGAAAAGGACAGGGAGGAAAGGAAACACGCGTCAAAGCATAGTCCACACTGCAGCAGCGACTTGCCTGGTGCTCCATCCATCACCACGTAGTCCTTGTTCTTCTCGAGAAAGAGGTCGGTTTGGCATGTGACCTGGGGAAAGAGGGTTATGAGAAGCAGAGTGGGAAGGCATAGAGAAGCATGGATAACATAACATGCCTGGTGCTCCATAAATCACCACGTAGTCCTTGTTCTTCTCGCTGTTCTTGATCAGATCAGGTGCAGTACGTCACCTGATCTGATCAAGAAAAAAAGAAGTGAAGGTGGGGGACTAGCCAGAGGGGAGGGGTGAGAGTTCTATCACCATAGTCCTTGTTCTTCTACCCCCATACCCAAACCTCAAACCCCTATTTACACACCTTACCAGCATAGTGCTCGATGGTGAAGTCGGTCTGCGAGAGCTTGGGCTTTGTGACGTGAGACATCTCAAAACTGCCTATCCCCTGACCTTGAGCCTGACAACCCCGAACCCACCTTGCCAGTGTAGTGTTCAATTGTGAAGTCGGTCTGCGAGAGCTTGGGCTTGTCAAAGCGCCTCAAGCAGCACTAAACCCTAAACCCTAGCCCCTAACCCCAAACCCGAAGCCCTTATTTCCCACCTTGCCAGCATAGTGCTCGATGGTGAAGTCTGTCTGCGAGAGCTTGGGCTTGTCGAAGCGCCGGTGGGCGCCCACCGTCTGATAGAGCTTCGTGGCAAATGTCTCGTGGTTGGACTTGGGAAACATGCTGTATGCACACATGCAAGGGAGTGGTTGGGGAGTGGGTGGGCAAAGGGAAGGAGGAGGTGGGGATGACGAAAGAGTTTCGATTAAGCAAGTGGTTGGACTTGGGAACATGCAGGGGAGGGCGGGAGGGGGGAAAGAGAACAACGGGGGCAGGGATAGAGGGGCGAATAATCACTCCTCCCTGTCCTGCACCCTGGTTTCTCTCACAATATGTTTACACGCCTCGAAACGACTTGTGGGATGGATAAAATTCACGTCAAAGTTGCATCAAACTTGCCATTATAGGCGCCTCGAAAGATGAATCAAAACGTGTTCCTCTCTACCCTTGTTTTTCTCACCATTGTTCGTCCAGGAGAGCAATAATCCCCATTGGCTTCTGCATTGTGGAGGGAAGGAGGAGAGGAAATACAACAGCACAACACCACGCAGAACCGCACAGCACAGCACAACACCGCACAGGACAGAGACAAACAGCATAGCAGAAAAACGGCACATGAGAGTGCAAGTAAGCGAGTTTGGGAATCATGAAAGGGAAGAAGACACATTTGGGAGAAAGAGAGTTTCTAAGCACGGGCAGGAACGACCAAGCATCGAATCAGACAAGACGCCACAGGAAAGGCTCTGAGACTTCTTTTTGTCAACACTTCTCCCCGTTCCCCCATCACACCGTCTTTTTTTAAGCAAAGATACGAGTACCTCCTAAAGTCACACATACCACCGTACCTTCTCTATGAGCTCGAGCACGTCTTGGTTGTCCACAAACTCGATGTAGCTCCAGTCTATCGCCTCACTCTCATACTCCTCCTGCTCTGCTTTGAACACGTGCTGGTGGGTAAAACAGAAGGAGGCATCAGGGAAAGAAAGAGGGGCGGGGTAGAGGGTGGGAGGTGGAGACTCAGAGTTACCAGTTAATGGCCTCGCTCTCATAATCCTCATGCTCTGCCTTGAACACATGCTGGTGAATCCGAAGCGGAGAGGGCACCACACCAGGAAAGGAGGCAATCGAAAATGCCATTGGAAGGCATAAGCGGCAGAGCATAGGAAGAGATTGGGGGGATGATGGTAAGGACTTGAAGGCATTCATCGCATGGCGCCTCACTCTCATACTCCTCCTGCTCTGCCTTGAACACGTGCTGGGGAAACGGGGAGGGCGGAAGGGCAAGGCAGAGGCGAAACCGGTGGGGGAAGAAAGAGGGTGGCCTCTAATCAGTTGCCTCCTGCCCTCATCCTCTTCCTGCTCTGCCTCATGAGCTGGTGAATATGGATGGAGGGGGGCGAGAGCAGGAGGGTTGGCTGATTTGAGCCCTGTCAACAGGCTTGCTCTATCAACCACTGCCGGCTGTCTCTAAACCTTGAACTCATGCTGATGAGTCGGGCAATGTTAAGAGGTGTTTGGGAACGTCTCAACACTTGCTCTCTCATATGCTGCTGGCTCTCCCTTGAAACCAACACATGCTGATGAAACAGAGGGTGGAGCGGAGACATTTAATGGATGGATAAGCCAATGTAAGTCAAGCCAAGTCAAGAAAGTCACGCACGTACCTGGTTAAAGTGTTGTTGGAGCTTCTCGTTTGCCAGGTTGATACAGAACTGCTCAAAGCTGCATCATCACAACAAGACACAGGAGAAGGCAAAATGTTTTTCACAGGGCACACAGGTCAAAGATGGGACCCAGGAGGAATGAATCAACTATTTTCTACTGTGCTGCCTCAATAACTGTTGCCTAACCTGTTGCCTCAAAAACTTCCCAAGCCATACCTGTTGGGTTGCGAACTCCCCAAGCCTCACCGGTTGGTTCGGCAGCTCACCTGTTGGTTTGGAAGCTCTCGAAGCCGTAGATGTCAAGCACACCGATGATGGACTTGGCATGGGGGTCCTGGCCGATTGACACGTTCACCTTGTGCACCAGCCTGGTGGGATCGGGAAGGGGGGGAAAGAAGAGGGGAAGCGGGCTTGTCCTTAGAAGAAGTTGGAGAGATAGGAATGATAGGACACCAAGCGCTCCGATCATGGACTTGACATGGGGGTCCTGGCCGATCGACACAGTGCACCAGACGCACCAGCCTGGTGGGAGAGAGGGGAAACAAGGCAGGGCGGTGGTGGGTTTTGAGAGGACGAGGGCGAGGACAGCCCCATAGGACATCCATCCATCCATCAAGCGTGCGGGTCCTGGCCGACTGACACGCTCACCTTGTGCACCAGCCCGGTGGGGATGGGGAAAAGAAGGAACCATGGTGATCAGTGATGGTCCTGGCCTGGCCAATCGATACGTTCACTTACCTTGTGCACCAGCCTGGTGGGAATCACCGCTACACTCCATACTCCACACTCTAACTTGTGTCACGGCTCACCAGTCAAAGAGCTCGGAGTGCATGGTCTTGGCGAGTGTGTCTCCGCTCATCCCTGCGAATTGACTTTTGAGATTTCTCAAAAGTGGCATAAGATGACTTTTGAGCCGACTCAAAAGTGGCATAAGATCCAACCCCCCAACATACTCACAACACACACCGCACGACGCACACCTGCCACACGCATGCATGCGTCAAGACCCACCAGTCAAAGAGCCTGGAGTAAATGGTTTTGGCGAGTGTGTCTCTGCTAATCACCGCTGCTGCCGGGTCCAACTCCTTGACATACGGCATACACACCACACCCCATACACACACCACACCACCACATAACGCACAGCCACATGTCTCACGGCTCACCAGTCAAAGAGCTTGGAGTAAATGGTCTTGGCGAGCGTATCCCTGCTGATCACCGCTGCTGCTGGATCCAGCTCCCTCTTGATGTTGCCGTCACGCGTCACCAGCGTGCGCGTGATCAGTGATTCTCGCAACGCTCGCCGGTCACATCTGTAGGACAAGAGAGCAGGGGGGAATAGCACTGGATCTCAGTCCTACAACATATTAACTCCCTCTCTTGATGTTGCCGTCGCCAGTCACCAGAGTGACTCCCGCAACGCTCGCCGGTCGCACCTGCAAGACAAGTGAGCAGGGGGAAAGAGCAATGCTTCTAAGTTCTACTACATATCATCTCCCTATCTTAATGAAGCGTGTCACCAGCGTACGAATGAGCCCCCTCCCTCATATGCAACCTATGCCTGCCCTGAAGTATCCACCACCACTCGACAATGCACATCTTCCTGCTTACTCTAGGAGCTCTGCTGCTGCTTCCAAGAGAAACTTGCCCTTTTCCCCAGCACCTCGGTTAAGTGCAGTGCTGCTGTGATAAGAATCTAACGCCCCCAAGCATGCCCTACCCTTGCACAAGCACCAGACCGTCCTCTGGTTACCCAAGGAGCTCTGCTGCTGCCTCCAGCTCATGCTGCCTCCAGCTCATGCTGCCTCCAGCTCATGCTGCCTCCAGCTCATGCTGCCTCCAGCTCGTGCTGCCTCCAGCTCTGGCTGCTTGCTGCTTGCCCTTGCGGCACCCAACCTACTTACCCCAGGAGCTCTATTGCTTACCCCAGTCGCTTTGACCACCCGTTACCATCCTACCAACTACAGCACCAGTGTGCTAGCTCAGCTGCTTACCCAAGGAGCTCCGCTGCGGCTTCAAGGTGGAACTTGGCCTTGCCACCCGACACCTTGGATGAGTCCGGCTGCTTGCCCCAGTTTCAATGCGACCACTGGATTACCATCAGACCCACCAGAGCGCCAACCCGGTCAAAGAAAAAAGCTTGTCTGCTTACCCAAGGAGCTCCGCTGCTGCTTACAGGTGGAACTTGGCCTTGTCCCCCGACACCTTGTACGAGTCCGGCTGCTTCCCCAAATTGCGGCCATTGAACTCAAGTACCAACTACCTACCGCGGAACCAGATACTCGCCCCATCTCTGCTTGCTAGTCTTACCCGAGCAGCTCGGCCGCTGCCTCTAGGTGGAACTTGGCCTTGTCGCCCGACACCTTGGATGAGTCCGGCTGCTTGCCTGGGGCAAATGAGATGTTGCCCAGATGCAGAATGGCCGCCACCACTCGAAAGATGGCGTCCTGATAGTGAGGAAACAGAGGGCAGAGGGGGGGGAAAGGGCAGGGAAAGCAGTAAATCTCAAGGGATCCCAAGGTTCAAGCGTGCAAGGGCAAGATGTTGCCCAGGTGCAGAATGGCCGCCACCACCCGGAAAATGGCACCCTGGTAGGGTGCAGACGTGGGGCGGAGGAAGACAGGGGGAAGGGCGGGGGGGGGGGGGGGGGGGGCAATTTTCCAGGCAGCAAAAGTTTCACGCTTTCCAGAGCACAGTAGATTTTTCCATTGTAAAATGGCTGCCACCACTCGGAAAACAGCAGGGCGGTGGGGGGAGGGGAGAGAGTGGGTGGAACAGCAAGAAGAAAGTCTTTAGGCAGGCTGATTACCAGCTTGCCTGGAGCAAAAGAGATACGGAATGGCGAGGGGAGCGGGGGAGGGGAGGAGGTTGCAGTCTTGCAACAACAGCCTCCTTTATGCAGGGTGTGTGTTGTACTCTCAACAGCCTACCCTTCATCAAAACCCCCCCCTTCAGGTACCAACCTGCCCCTCACCTGCATCACTCGGCGAATGGCGAAGAGACCCTCAGCACCTACTCAATGCACGTCCCTCACCCCACCTCTTACACCGCTTTCAACCACTGTCAATTCCTCACCTGCTCCAGGTGGCTGAGACCACCACATCCATGGCTCTGCGGGTGACGGCATACTCGTCAGCGTTGCTGCATGCTACAGCGCTTTGGCACCAGCGTTGTTGCTGTACCCCGTCAGCTTGAAGCACGAGCTCTAGCTGCGGCATATTTGTTGCATTGCATGGTAGGGGGGGCGAGTAATTTGTTTCACTGCCACTGTTCTCAACCGCATTCAACGTCTCTCACCTGCTCCAAATGGCTGAGCCCCACCACGTCCATGGCTCTGCGGGTGGCAGCATACTCGTCCGCATTGTTGCTGTATCCCGTTAGTTCAAAGCACGAGCTCTGGTTGAGGTAGTGAAACGTCTCGGGCGGGGCGAGCTTCAGCCTTGCTGCTTCCTGCACGAAGCACACCAGGGTATTGGAGAAGAGCGAAGAGGAACGGGGATAAAGGGTTATGATTCGACTTGAAAAGCCTACCCATCTGCATTGTCTCACTTTGACTTGCCGGTTGAGCTCAAAGCACGTACCTCAGGGTCAGAGGTCTGCCCTATGTGAACCTATATTCGTTTTGAGACGCCTCAAAGCAAGTACCTCAGGGGTGGCGCCCGCACAGAGCTGGTAGAAGCAGTGGTAGTTGCGCTCGGGATCAGAGGTCTGCACCACTCTGGACCGCTCTAGCAGGTATGTCCGCACTGCTGCCCCCGATATTCGCCCTGCGGCGTCAAACTGAATCTCCACAAACTTGCCGAACCGACTGGTGAGGTTCGGGAATGGAGGTTCGGCAATGAGGTCGGTAATGAGGTTCGGGGACCGGGGGAGAGGGGAGGGGGAGGTGGGGGTTTTGCAGGGTTGAGTAGGGTGCGGCATATGATGTTGCACGAGGAGACTACAGAATAGAACAACGGTTAAGAGGATGACTTGACGAGGGAACATGAGGGGAGATGTGTTTTTTTGGAAAAAGCACACGTTGACGAGGGAACATGAGGGGAGATGAGAGGGGTGGCTTGAGAGGCTAAGGAAGTAGAAAGACAGCTAAGAAGAAAGGGGAGGAACAGGGAGGAAAATGAGACGAGGGGGGGTTGTGAAGAAACAAAGACAGACCTCGAGTTGTTGTTCCTGACGGTCTTGGCATTGCCAAAGGCTTCTAGGAGGGGATTGGACTGCACGAGTTGGAAAAAAGCGCAGGACGGGAAGGCGGACAAGGGTAAAAGGGAGGGCAGGGTTGAGAGGGAGGGCAGGGGAGGAAGGGAGGGCAGGGTGGGAGGGAGAGGAGAGGAGGGAGTGGGTAAGGAGGCCAGAAGAGGAAGGTGTCTGACTGCACACATCCACGACACAGCCAGCCACCCACACACATACCTTTTGAGGCGCCTCAAAAGGTTTCTGACTGCACACATCCACGACACAGCCAGGCACCCACACACATACCTTTTGAGGCGCCTCAAAAGGTTTCTGACTGCACACATCCACGACACAGCCAGGCACCCACACACATACCTCCAGCACTTGTGCTTCTACGGATCGGCCCTCTGTAGCCTGTCCCCCCATGTAAGCGAGATACTGCATGATGAGCTTCAACACACTCTTTCTTGCACGCCTCACTCACCACACTCTACCCATCCGTAGAACAACACCTGTGCGTTTTCAGCCAACTCAAACCACTCTAAACACCTACCTCCAGCACTTGCGCTTCCACCGATCGCCCCTCTGTAGCCCGCCCGCCCGTGTAGGCCAGGTACTTCATGATGAGCTTCGTTGTCTCTGTCTTGCCTGCCCCGCTCTCCCCATCCACTGCCTCCAGCTTCCAGTCACCTCAAACCGCTCCAAACACCTACCTCCAGCACTTGTGCCTCCACAGATCGCCCCTCTGTAGCCCGTCCACCCATGTAAGCGAGGCACTGCATGATGAGCTTCGTTGTCTCCATCTTGCCCGCCCCGCTCACACCTTCCGTACAACAACACCTCTGAGTGTGTTTTCAGCCGACTCAAACCACTCCAAACACAACACCTACCTCCAGCACTTGCGCCTCCACAGAACGGCCCTCTGTGGCCCGTCCCCCCATGTAAGCCAGGTACTGCATGATGAGCTTCGTGGTCTCCGTCTTGCCCGCCCCGCTCTCCCCACGCGTACAACAACACCGTGTTTTAAGCCGACTCAAACCGCTCCCAACACCTACCTCCAGCACTTGTGCTTCCACAGATCGCCCTTCTGTAGCCCGTCCCCCCATGTAAGCGAGGTACTGCATGATGAGCTTCGTTGTCTCTGTCTTGCCCGCCCCGCTCTCCCCGCTCACCAGAATGGACTGGCTCTCGCCACAGTCCAGCATGGCCCTGTGGGGGGAGGGGGAAGGGTGGGTGAAGGGAGAGGGAGGGAAGGGGAGAGTATAAGGGATATAAAGTTGAGGCGTGCTCACCAGAATGGACTGGCTCTCGCCACAGTCCAGCATGGCCCTGTGGGGGGAGGGGGAAGGGTGGGTGAAGGGAGAGGGAGGGAAGGGGAGAGTATAAGGGATATAAAGTTGAGGCGTGCTCACCAGAATGGACTGGCTCTCGCCACAGTCCAGCATGGCCCTGTGGGGGGAGGGGGAAGGGTGGGTGAAGGGAGAGGGAGGGAAGGGGAGAGTATAAGGGATATAAAGTTGAGGCGTGCTCACCAGAATGGACTGGCTCTCGCCACAGTCCAGCATGGCCCTGTGGGGGGAGGGGGAAGGGTGGGTGAAGGGAGAGGGAGGGAAGGGGAGAGTATAAGGGATATAAGTTGAGGCGTGCTCACCAGAATGGACTGGCTCTCGCCACAGTCCAGCATGGCCCTGTGGGGGGAGGGGGAAGGGTGGGTGAAGGGAGAGGGAGGGAAGGGGAGAGTATAAGGGATATAAAGTTGAGGCGTGCTCACCAGAATGGACTGGCTCTCGCCACAGTCCAGCATGGCCCTGTGGGGGGAGGGGGAAGGGTGGGTGAAGGGAGAGGGAGGGAAGGGGAGAGTATAAGGGATATAAAGTTGAGGCGTGCTCACCAGAATGGACTGGCTCTCGCCACAGTCCAGCATGGCCCTGTGGGGGGAGGGGGAAGGGTGGGTGAAGGGAGAGGGAGGGAAGGGGAGAGTATAAGGGATATAAAGTTGAGGCGTGCTCACCAGAATGGACTGGCTCTCGCCACAGTCCAGCATGGCCCTGTGGGGGGAGGGGGAAGGGTGGGTGAAGGGAGAGGGAGGGAAGGGGAGAGTATAAGGGATATAAAGTTGAGGCGTGCTCACCAGAATGGACTGGCTCTCGCCACAGTCCAGCATGGCCCTGTGGGGGGAGGGGGAAGGGTGGGTGAAGGGAGAGGGAGGGAAGGGGAGAGTATAAGGGATATAAAGTTGAGGCGTGCTCACCAGAATGGACTGGCTCTCGCCACAGTCCAGCATGGCCCTGTGGGGGGAGGGGGAAGGGTGGGTGAAGGGAGAGGGAGGGAAGGGGAGAGTATAAGGGATATAAAGTTGAGGCGTGCTCACCAGAATGGACTGGCTCTCGCCACAGTCCAGCATGGCCCTGTGGGGGGAGGGGGAAGGGTGGGTGAAGGGAGAGGGAGGGAAGGGGAGAGTATAAGGGATATAAAGTTGAGGCGTGCTCACCAGAATGGACTGGCTCTCGCCACAGTCCAGCATGGCCCTGTGGGGGGAGGGGGAAGGAGAGGGTATGGTGGGTCTGAGAGACTAGGTCACACGTTCACTTGACTTGTATTCACGTGCTACACACAAACACACACACACACACGCACGCACACACACACACACACACACACACACACACACACACACACACACACACACACACACACGGGCAGGCGCCCACCTGTAAGCAGTCTCGGCGATGGCAAACACGTGCGGGCTGAGCTCGCCCAGGCGCACGCCCTTGTACTGCTCCATCATGTGCTGGCTGTACAGATGCGGCAGCCGCTGAAACGGGTTCACCGCGATCAAGATGTTGCCCGTGTATGTCTGCAGGCACGCACATGCACACGGGGGAAATTCAGGTCTCATTTTGGCGCTATGAGTGAGCCAAGAGATTCATGTAGGAGCTGCTGTGATGGGTTCACTGAGAACAGAATGTTGCCCATGTATGTCTGCAGTTACCATCACACAGCCAGGCATGCACATGCACACGGGGATGAGTTGAAATGGCTGTAACGCGTGGCGAGGTTGCTGAGCACGCCCAGCTCGTGCAGGTACGCCAGCTTGTCCCACACACACATCTCTTACAGACAGTCCCACAGCCATTTCGACTCCGCACTGTCAGCCTTACATAGATCTCGTCAAGGCTGTATCGTGTGGCGAGGTTGCTGAGCACACCCGGCTCGTGAAGGTATGCGAGCTTCGTCATGTCGTCCACTCCGCCGCTCGGCGCGTCAGGATCCTTGGGATGCACGTGGGACAGCTTCAGGGTGGCCTGCGATGGAATGAGAGGGGGTTGAGTTTTGCAGCGAGAATGACACGCGGAAGCTAGGACCCGAGTCCTTGGGATGCACGTTGGACAGCTTTAGGGTGGCCTGCGGTGGAATGGGAGGGGATGGTTAGAGAAGAGTCAAAACGCCGCTCGGCGCGTCGGGATAGCTTCAACGTGGCCTGCGGTGGAATGGGAGGGAATGAGTTTCGCAGGCTTGAACGGAAGCGAAATTCGGGGACCTCGGGATGCACTTGGAATAAGCTTCAACGTGGCCTGCGGTGGAACCAGAGTGATTGTGTTCAGTAAAGATCGTATGCAGTGAGGTCGGTATGCGGTCAGAAAGAGGCCTACAACGAGACTGACGACTCATGAGACCTCAAAATGGAAAGAAGATCAGCGCCGTGCGTACTCAGCACCGTGGCAGTAGGAACAAGAACAATGGTCTCGACACAGGCGAAATATGGGTCGGAATACGTATAGTTGACGGTCGGAATACGTATAGTTGACTGAATACGGACCTCTTTCCGTCCAATCCTGACTGTAACCGTCTTGCTGTCTACTCGGAGGACTTCTGCCGGCATCCATGCCTTCTGTGGGTCCTCCACCCACACGTACGATCCCACCACTATGTTGCTCGCCGTGGCCTACACGATCAGGAATAAGAGAACATGTTAAGAAACTGGAAACGATAACCATTGCGAGAAATAGGTTCTGAAAGGAAAAACGTACCATTTTCGCAAAGTCTGTTCAGCGAGTTAGGCAACAGTTATTTATCCGGGCCGCATAGCTGAATTCTAGCGTACGTCAAAGTGAAGACGTTTGACCTAGCCTACAGCGAGTCTAATGCAAGTAAATCAAATCAAAACGCGTGAAAAGTGGCACCACGATTCTGGTTTCCCTGGACCGTAGTAGGTCAAATAGCTACTAAATTACATTGGCCTAGTATGGAGGGATAATATACTCTGGACGGAAGTTTGAACAGGCTGTGTCAGGTTTCAGAAACGGAGAAAACGCAACGGCCAAGGTTGGAAAAATCTCGACCATAAGAACGGCTGAGATTGCGTCGGTAGTGACGAAGGTCAGGGAACGGCTGGGATGGGTGCCACCGAACAAAACGGGGAGAAACAGCGTTACGGACGAAGCGCAGCTGTGGGCAAGATCAAGGTGTCCATCAGCCAATCATGGTCGCCCTTGTCCACGCCAAACCAAACCACTTTCGTGCCGCACCTTCCTGACTTTCCACGCTCTCCCTCCAAACTGCGCTTGGCGTGTTGGGTGGGGGTGAACGTGGCAGGTTGCATTCTGCATGTGTGACGCATAAAATTCGCTACAAAAGGCCCACTGTGTCCCAATACAAGGTTCAAAAGAAATTTGTCTGGTATTTAAAACCATAGCGACATAAAAAAGCCGGCCAAGTGTACTACTTTGCGGTCCCGATTCGCGAAACGGCGAAAGATCGATTCCCTGACTCATTGGCCAGCCGTTCTGACACACCGATGGAGGGAAACTGCTTTCGTTGTAACCATCATAGTTTTTTCGTTACAGCCAAGCTCACTTTCGCATTGTTACCAGCCCACGCACCTGCTCGTCAGAGCTTTGCACTAGAGGCACTTTTTCAAGATTCGCGACGGTTGGAGTCTTCTGAACTTACCCACCTCATATTGCTAGTCGTCATGTGGCATCAGTCCCGTTTCTTCCAGTAGCTTTGGGGAAAGGTCAAGACAGTGATCAACGGGCGATCAGCTATAGCACCCCCTTTAGAGTGGGTCAGACAACGGGCGAACGAACAAGGCGGCAAAATAGGGACCAGATCAACTTTGCTTGTGTTGTTCCGGAAAAGGTTGATCACCGTCGCGTTCGTTACGACTCTCCGCGAGACCTTTCTCGACCGCCTAGTGTCATCTTTCCGCGTGCAACTGCTTTTTTCTACCACGCGACGCGTCTTCTCCAGCGTGATTTTCCAATATGGAGGTACAGCGTACGAGTCTTGTCGTTCTCAGGCCGTCTGTGCCCGATCCACACCTATCCTTCGCAGCGTGCTACTTTCACCAGGATCGATAGCGCATGCCTCGCGAATTCCGTTATTTTTCGCAATCCTCTGCGGATCCGTGCTAATTCTGAATGCTTCACTGAGATGATAGAGCTTCCGTCACCGTCTGCAATTGCGATCACCTTGGTGCTCTCTGCATCCGTCCGTCTGATGCGCGTCGCGCTTTGACGCCTCTTTTGGGTGGTTCGACCACCGTACCCCAAAAATGTCGGTTTCCTTTTTTGGGTGGCCTCCCGGGTTTTCGTGATAGGAATCTACGTGCTCAAGGTTGTGGTGGGTAGTGAGGTTGTGGTGCTCGTGCAGTTCCTCCCTGGGAGGATGACTTGAGATTCCCCGGAATTTTGACTCGAAGGTCCTGGTTTCCTGCTTTGTTAGATCTAGCCCCAATTCTCTGTCCATGCGTGGTTCTTGTTCGCCTCGCTTTGGCATACCAACGTAAGGAGCGACGTGCTGCTGGAGTTCCGCGCTGGGGGGATGACAGTTCATCCAGCCATCATCCGGTCTCCTCATGATAGATCTTTCTCCTCTTTCCTCTCCATGGGTGTGGTTTGTGTGGCAGACTGATGCACCAAATGATGGTGACGTGCTGCTGGAGTTCCGTGCTGGGAGGATGACTGTCAGTGGCAGCACTGTGAAACCCGACCCTCGCAAGGGCCTGTTCCGACTTATCAGGGTCAGTTTCGGGGTCGTATTGAGAATACGTAAATATCAAATTGATTCTTGTTCTTGTGCCACTGTCGTTGGTCCTCCCTTGTCTCGCTACCTGCTTGACTTGTCCACTTTTTTTCTCCACTAGAGCGGCCGGTAGGTTTGCTGCTGCAATCGTAGCGGCTGAATCGCACCACTGGCATCTTTCCTCCCTTGTCTCACTGTCTCCTTTGTCCGGTCGCCTTTCCTCCCTACTAGACGGAGGACCTGCTGCTGCATCTGCAGTGGCTGGATCGCACCATCATTGCTTTTCTCCCTTGTCTCACTACCTGTTTGTCATGTTGCACTTTTGTCCCCACCAGACAGAGGACCTACTGCTGCATCTACAGTGGCTGGATCGCACCACCCAAGCTGTGGAGGAGGACATGGTGGTGTTCCCAGACGAAGCTAAATTCGAAAAGGCAAGCTGGGGAGCTGGGGTTGGAATCAGCCCTGTATCGGGGTTGTTGGGTTGTCTTGCCTTGAGATCTCACAGCAGTGGGTCGCACCACCCAGGCCGTAGAGGAGGCCATGGTGGTGTTCCCAGACGAAGCGAATTTCAAAAAGGCGAGCTTGAGTTGTTGTCGGCCTTGTGTTGTGGGATGCTGTGGGCCCTTTGTGGAATGTTTTCCCGACATGTGAGATGTCACGACGAGTATCAAGGTGCACCGCCACGTCCTCCGGTCACGACATCTGGATCACACCACAGCATCCCACCAAAATGCTGAAACCGTTGAGGTCATGATGGTGTCCCAGACGTCTTTTTGGCTCTTATTACAAGGGCAGCAGCGCGTGAAAGAGACGCTTGAGTAACAGGGAAAACAGCTGTCAGAAACGATCAAGTGAAAAAAAATGGATCTCGTGAGTGCTTTGCTTTGCTTTGAGAAGATCTGGATCGCAGCACCCGCATTTCCAAACCGTTGGGAAAATGGTGGCCCAGTCCATTGGACGAGTGCACCTGCTCTACTAAGGTCCCTTTTGGATGGACTCAAATGGGTTCTCGTTCATGCCTTGATGCACTCCCTCACGCACTCACCCCACCAGGTGTCCCAGTCCAGTGGGCGAGTGTATGTGCTCTCCTTCAATGAAGATGACCGCAAGCTCTTCTTCTGGATGCAGGTGGGCTCGCTTGCTTTTCAAGAAACTTATTGATTCTGACGGAAGATTAAAAAACACACACACACACACGCGCACACACACACACACACGCACACACGCACACACGCACACACACACACACACACACACACACACACACACACACACACACACACAAAGGGTTCTACCTTTTTTACTTCTCCAGGATCTTTCAGGCCCTTCTTCTGGTGCTTTCAATTCTATACAAGTGTGAAGTAAAACTGGTATTCACCAATATCATGAGTTAATCTGTTCTTTGTGAGTCAGTATGAGCGTCAACTTGCATGCCACCCGTCCTTCCCCCAATCCACCATCCTCGCTTCACTATTCCCTCAGGAGCCCAAGGCACACAACGACGAGCACCATTGCTCCGAAGTCAACCGGATACTGAATGAAGCATGTAAGTCGGTGTTGGCCAGTTGCCGTTCCTCTTCGCTTCCTTAGCCTTCCTCTGCTGGTCGTGGATTCGAACCCGAACTCTGTTTGTCAGGAAAGGGCGAGAAACAAAGGGCACGTGACAATGAGCAGCACTGCTCCGATGCACACTCTGAGGCTGGTGCTCACGCACAGCATGGAGCAGCATGCACATGTTCGCTCCAATCCAACATGTGTTTCGGTGATTCCTCTGATGGCTCATACGCAGGGCTATTTGAGGAGGATGACCGGGTGCTGGATGCACAATGTTGGACTCTGAGGTTGATGCTCCCTATGTGTAGGGGGCACATGTATTCACCTGTGTGTTTCAATGCAATGTGTGTTCTGACACCTTTCCATGCTCAATTACAGAGCTGCTAGAAGAGTACGACCTGGTGCTGGAATGCAGCGATGATGGATGGACTCTGAGAGGCCGGTGCTCTTTTGTGTGTGAGACGCATGTATCATGTATGCACGTGTGTGTTTCGATCCAATGTGTGTCCTGACACCTTTCCATGCCCAATCACAGGGTTGCTAGAGGAGGACGACCGGGTGCTGGATGCGGCAATGATGGACTCTGAAGCAGATGCGTTCGCAGAGAACGAGGAGGGCCACCTGGGGGAGGTGGATATGCACGACGACGGGGATAGCCACCAGATTACAGGACAGGCGCCTGCAGCAGTACAGCAGCCCAGGTAGGTGGTAGAAAGCACTTACCGTTGTTTTTTCCCTTATGCATGTGGGGAAGGAGGGTCTTTTGGGGGAGGCGGAAATGCATGACGATGGGGACAGTCACCACGCTATGACGCCTGGAACGATGCAGCAGCCGAGGTATACGTGTGTGGGGAACTGTTCCCACTGCATGTGGGGGAGGGAGTGTCAGCCACCAGCTTCTGGCAGGTTGGATGGGATATCATCCCTGTATAGAATCATCATAAGCGTCATTTCTCTTGTATTTAGTCAATGTCCTCTCTTGCCCGCCTCGCCCCACAGACCAGCTGGCAGCAGTGGTGCTGTGCCTGCCGGGTCACAAGGGGCGTCCGGTCTTGGTGAGCTGAGAGGCAATGCGGGAGGAGGTGGATCAGCAGCAGGTGGAACTCTGGGTGCCAGTGGCGCTGGCAGTGCTGCTGGTGCTCCTGGTGCTGGTGGTGGTGGGAGAGTTGGGGGACCAGTGCAGTTGGCACAGTTGCAGAGCATTCTGGCGGGTCTGGGCCAAATACAAGTTCCGCAACACTGTGAGTGGAATGACAAACTTTTTCTTGTCTCGACTCTCCTTCCGGCACAAGTGCCTTGGTAGCTTGGTGCATCTAGGGCAGTTGGTGCAATCGGGGCAGCTATAGAGCATTCTGGTGTGTTTTGGCCAAATACAAGTGTCGCCACACTGTGAGTGGAATGCGTGCACGTCGAACGTGTACACCCAATGCCCGACATCATCGGCCAAATTTCTTTTTCCTCGCCCGCGCACCCTGCTACTTAGTGCGAGCCACCACTTTCGAAAGCCATCAAATTCAACATTTTACAAATGAGTTTGAATATCTATCAAAGTAGTTATGGATGATGGATTATCAAGCTCAGTTGTGAAATGTTGAGTTTGACAGCGTTTGAAGGTGGTGATTCGCACTAAGTAGCAGGGCGCAGGAGTGAAGAGAAAGAACTTTGGCCGATGATGTCGGGCACTGGGTGTGCACGTTCGACTGACCCTTTCCTTATTGAAACTGCGTGCAGTGAGGACTGTGAAAATGGACGCCTTATTTTGATGCCTGAAGTCTTCATGGGCACTCTCAACGATTCCATTTGTGTGTGCATCCCTTCGTGTGTGCATCCCTTCGTGTGTGCATCCCTTCGTGTGTGCATCCCTTCGTGTGTGCATCCCTTCGTGTGTGCATCCCTTCGTGTGTGCATCCCTTCGTGTGTGCATCCCTTCGTGTGTGCATCCCTTCGTGTGTGCATCCCTTCGTGTGTGCATCCCTTCGTGTGTGCATCCCTTCGTGTGTGCATCCCTTCGTGTGTGCATCCCTTCGTGTGTGCATCCCTTCGTGTGTGCATCCCTTCGTGTGTGCATCCCTTCGTGTGTGCATCCCTTCGTGTGTGCATCCCTTCGTGTGTGCATCCCTTCGTGTGTGCATCCCTTCGTGTGTGCATCCCTTCGTGTGTGCATCCCTTCGTGTGTGCATCCCTTCGTGTGTGCATCCCTTTGTGTGTGCATGCAGTGAGAGCAAGGAGCATGAAGCTGACGGATATTGTCAAGCATGAGGTCATGATGAGCACTCTCAGTGTCGCCACTGGGTCATCATACTCTTCCTTCATATCCTGTGCCTTGCCGGTTTGGTTTGTGTATCTGTGTGCATGCAGTGAGAGCGAGGAGCATGAAGCTCACGGACATTCTCAAGCCTGATGTACTGATGAGTACTCTCAGCGATGGCACAGTGCAGCAGAGACTGGCTGAGTTCCTCCCACCTGTACGTACCTTTGCTGCTCTAAACCCATGTTGAATCTGTCTCAAAACCCCTTTTGCGCTCTATGTTTGCGACATCTCGAAACCCCTGCTTGCCGTGTTTGGAAAGTCTGACGGCTGTAGCGCTCTTGCTCTCTCGTGCTCACTCACTTGCTCTCTTCTCTTCTGCTGTGCTCAGAAATTCTGCTGCTTCTTACATCTATATGCATCCGTGCACCACTGCCTGAATGCTTTTTCCCAATAAACAGGAGCTTAGAAAGGCGGAAGATATGACTTTTGAAGCGCTTCAGAAAGTTTGAGGCCTCAAAATGCTTACATCTATATGTTTCCCTGCACTGCACCACTGCGTGACTGTTTTCTTCCCAAAAAACAGGAGCTGAGAAAGCCGGAAGATATGCGGCAACTGGTGCTGAGCCCGCAGTTTCAACAGCAGCTGGAAGCGTTTTCTGAGGTCAGCTTTGCGTTGCGCTACACCTAACACACACACCACGCACCCACACGCTCAACACACACCTACACACACACCGCACATGCACACAACCACTGGACATGCCCGCAGATCCAGCAGCAGCTGGAAGTGTACAGACTGCTTTTTCCCGTTCCATCGTCTTACTTCTATCTAATTTGGGGTCGACTCAAAAGCAGACCTATTGGTCATGCCCGCAGAGCCAGCAGAAGCTGGAAGTGTGTCTGGGGTACAGAGTGCTTTTCCCGTTCCCTCGTCTTTCTTCCATCCAACGAGTCATGCGCCAGACACGCACACACACAAGAGCACACATACTCCTGATCCAAGTTCCCCCCGTGTCCCTCTTCTCTCTGGCGTCTTCCTCTTCAAGTCTGTTCGCATCCTTGTTCTCAACCCCCAACGGCAGGTGTTGCTTGCTGGAAAGATTGACCTCTCGCAGTTTGGCATCGACGTGAGCAAGTGTAAGCGGTCTGGGGAGTCTTATTGGGGTCCATTCAATTGCATCATCAAACCATTTGCCATCCATTTTCCATTTGGTTGCCACATGTGCCATCTGTTTGACATATGTGTTCTTCCTTTAGCTCATCCTATTCTTGTCAAGATGCTGTCTAGTCTAATGCACGCGTGGAGCAATCCTTGAATAGAATCCATTCTTGGTTGAAGCGGTGTTTATCCTAAGCCAACTGATGAGTGGAGAAAACAAGCATGTTTCGCCTCCCTTTCTCCCTGTGTGCTCAGATGGGTATGGGGTTGTTTCTTTCCTAGAGGCGATTGATGACTCCACCCCTGCAACCTCTGCTGCTGCCCCTGCTGGCGAACCTGCCTCCGATGTGGCGGCACCTGCTGCTGCTGCGGTTGCACCTGCTGCTGCCCCTTCTGATGCTCCGGATGGGGAGACGACCCCTCAACCAGCAGCAGGGGTGGAGAAGGGAGACGAGACAGTGGAGGAGAAGGAGGGGGCAGATAACACAAGGTGACGTCATGCCGTTTGTTCCACCTGACAACTGACTATAATCAGTGATTGCATCATTCGTTATAAAATAGGGAAGTATGTGGCTGTCATTGCCTGTAATGATTGGAAGGGCAAATGTGGTGTTGGGTTTACTGATTGTTACGGAACGTTGTATGGTAAGTGATCCTAATTTCCAGGTTTTATGGGCTGGTGTTGAATGGGTTAGAGAAACCCTGCGATATTGCCAGCCATCTACATATCGAAGCTTGTCGCATGAAGTACAAACGAGGATTTCGTAAAAGCGTCACGCGGACTGACAGAAAACGTGATCCTCGTCATTCTGTTCCGCTTGTGCTGCGAAAGCGATTTCGGGGGTATCGGAGCTTTTCGCGTGACCAGTCGCACATCCTAGGATTCTGACCATATCACTCGCCCTCGGGATTGACGGGACAAGAGGATTTTGCCCTTTCTTATGGCTAACTTGAAACACTCAGGATGCTAATATGGGTTGCGCATTCTAGTCCAAGAACGCTGTTGGACTAACAGCTTACAGCTTGACAGTAGGGGAATCTCTTAGAGAACTATTACTGTCCCGTTGAAACTCCCGTGCACATCCTTGGAGCCGTTACGCGAGGCCTTCTTTTAGCTTGGTTCTTCACATTTGCGCCACGTGCTATAAAGGCTTCCTGATTACCATATCGGCTATGGAACAGGACTGATATCAGTGAAAGCCATGGCTGCTTCTGTCGTGACTCCTGCCTGCGGGTCCATTGTCAGTAACCGCCGGTCGAGCTCTGATTCGTTACAAGCAAGTTCGCTTCTAGCAACTCCGCGTTCTATCACTTCTTCATCCAGTTTCTCTTTGGCATCCGGTCGCGCTATAATATTTTCCGGAGGCTCGAAACCCGTTATCCTGCAGTCGACAAGGCCGTCGCGAATATCGAACTCGAGAAAGACTTCGAAAAAATCGGTTTGTAGTGTTACGTCAGGAACACGGCTTCATGTGGTAACCCCCCTCTCAACGTCTGTATTCAGACGGGAACCTCTTGAACCACTCTCTCTTGGAAACGGTATTACCAAGGGGATTCGACCACGATGGAGTTTCATTGGCAGGAACCAGACTCGACGAGGGGACACGTGGCGGCTGCTGGAGACGCGGCCGCATGGGTGGGCTCGCGAAGGGGAGAGCGAGGGCGGGGGTGTGACTGCAGCGAGGGACGGACGATACAAATTCAACCTGAACGAGTACATGGTGACTATAGAGAAGCCGCTGGGGATCTGGTTCTCTCAAACGGATAGTGGAGCAGTTTATGTCGAAGCACTGCAGGAGAAGGTACGTACAGGGGAAGGGAATAGCCGTACAGGGAAGAAATTTTCTGAGGGGACGGAAGTGACTGATTTGTGTTCGCTTCAGTGTGTTGCTGTAATGGGTGGGTGATGTAATATGATCTCACCGATTTGTTCTTGGTGAATGTGATTGTACCAGGAGAATGCGGAGCGCGGGCAGATGGTGATGGTGGGGGATGTGGTGCGACAGGTGTCGGTTGCTCAAGGCATGCCACTCACACGAGTCATCGACCTTCCATCCCTCGTGTATGTATCATGTCTATTGAGGCGCCCCAAGAATTGGAGCGCGGGCACATGGTGATGGTGGGGGATGTGGTGCGACAGGTGTCTGGCTCAAGGCACGCTGCTCACTCCAGTCATTGACCTGCAATCGCTTGTGTAAGAGTGTGCGATGTGTATGCGTGTCAATGTCTTCTGTGAGTGTTTATATGTGCATATATGTCTGTCCTCCAACAGTCCTTGATACTATGTGCGTCCTTCATCCCTCATTCCTCAATCCCATCCCATACAGAACCGCAATCGAGGAGGGGAAGGGCCCTTGTACGTTTGTGCTAGAACGATCCCTTCACGCCCCTACCACCCAGCGCATCATCCTCCCATCTCATTTGGTTCAAATTCGTCCCACTTGGCCCCCCCTCTCAACACTTTGCAGAACTGCAATCGAGGAGGGGAAGGGCCCCTGCACATTCGTGCTAGAGAGAGCCCTACATGCCCCCACCACCCAACGCATCATCCTCTCCCACCCTCTCCGCTCTGACAACCCCGGCCGCTCAGCAGCTGCCACGTGGCACCACCCGTCCAGCTGGCCGCGCTACAGTGCGAGCAGTGCCATGTCAGCACGGACACTGTTCATGAGGGGGGGAGTGGGGCGGGTGGGTCTTGTGTCGTTTTCTGAGTTGAGACCGCATGGGGAGAGGAGGAGAGAGAGGAGGGAGTGGGGTGGGGGACAGGGACAAGGGGAGGGGAGGGTGGAGGAAGGGACGAGGGAGGAGAGTGCGGGGAGGACGGGAGAGGAGGGAAAGGGTGGGTCAGGGCTTAGTCAAATGCAAGGGAATGGCGTTGATGGTGGTGGTGGTGGTGGTGGTGGAGGAGGAGAAATGAGAGGAGAGGTGAGAGCAAAAGAGGGGAAACAGTCAGGGGAATTCGTGGGAATGGTAGCAGCAGAAAGAGAGGGGGAGCAGGGGGGTGAGATTTCTGTAGGGGATGCAACAGCTGCAGATGTTAACGAGCCTGTAGTAAACGAGGCTGAGATGGGGATAGCGAGAGAAGTGGAGGGGCGTGGGGAGGATGGAGAGAAAGTGGAGGATAGAGGGGAAGTGGAGGGTGGGCGAAATGCGGAAGACCGGGGTAAGGTGGAGGGAGTGGGCAGTGCAGGAGGGGAAAGGATAGTTGTGGAGTTGAATGGAGAGGAGGAGAGGAGTGCAGATGGGGATGGGGGCGTGGGAGACAGAGAAGGGAAGAAAAGGTTAAATGAGGGGATGGGTGATGGAGAAGGGGTGAGGGAAGGGGAGGCACAGAAACCAGGAGGGAGGGGTGTGAGGGCGATAGTAGGAGGCACTTTGTGGGGTAAGAAAAGGAAGACAGGAAAGGAGAAAGGAGAGGGAGGAAGGGGGGGGAAGGAGCGGGTGGAGCAAGCACAGGCAGAACCAGAGTGGGTCTTATTTCCGTTCTTTGAGGGGAAGCTTGTGTCTGGCTCGGATTCAGGTCCGGATTCAGGTCCGGATTCAGGTCCGGATTCAGGTCCGGATTGTGGAGCTGATGAGAGGTCTGGTGAGCAGGACGCGCCTGGTTTGGGTCAAGGTTTGGAAAGTCGAGCAGCTGAAGCCCAAGCCTCTGAAACCCAGGGCGCCCTGTCGACCGAAGCTGATGAAATTGTTGGAAGGGAAGGAAGCCTGGCAGAAGAGAGAGTTTCTGGCAGGGAAGCGAGCTCAAGTAATGAGGCTGGGGCAGGTGAGGCTGGGGGAGGTGAAGATGGGCCAGGTGCGTCCCCAGCTATGGGAACTGTGGCTCAAGTAGCAAGCCAAGAGAAGATTGAGCAAGGAGATAAGGGCCTGGAGAGAATAGAGGAGAAGGAAGAGAGGACAGGGGAGGAGGTTGAAGAGAGGAACGGAGATGAGGAGGAGGAGGAGGAGGATGGGGCGGAATGGGCCCAAGCAGCAGAGGCAGCAGCAGCGCTTGCAGCAGCTATGAGAGGAGAGAGGGGAGAGGAGGGAAGGGAAGGGGACGAGGAGGGTATGGAAGAGCGGGGCGATAGGGACGGAAGGGGGAGAGGCGAGGAGGGGGAGGGTGAGAGGGAAGAGTGGTACGGGGAGGGGAAGCAGCAGGGTCGGAAGGACGAAGATTGGCAGTGGCCAGAGCGCGGTTTCTGGGATGCTTCCTCTGGGAAGGACGGGGGAGTGGAGGGGGAGGGGAAGTGGTGGGGGCTTGGGATAGGGCGAGTGGATGAATTTGTAGAGGCATACACAAGAGGCGTGGGGGACTCGAGATTCGAGCCACTTCACTCGCCCACTCACACACAGGTGAGAGAGAGGGGTCTGTGTGGTGCATGTATGATGTACACAGAGTTTAAAGCACAGCTTGTGGGGGCTTGGGGTGGGCGGGTGGATGAATTTGTGGAGGCTTACACGAGAGGCGTGGGGGACTCGCGGTTCGAGCCGCTGCATTCACCCACTCACACACAGGTGAGGGAGAGTGGTGCGTGTGCTGTGTGTGGTGTGTGTGGTGTGTATGGCATGGCTTGAGCACAGCTTGTGGGGGCTTGGGGTGGGGCGGGTGGATTAGTTTGTGGAGGCGTATACCAGAGGCGTGGGGGACTCGAGATTCGTGCCGCTGCATTCGCCCACTCACACACAGGCGAGGGGAGTGGTGCGCGTGGTGTGCCTATGGCGTGGCTTAATGTGCATAAGGTGGGACGGGTGGATGAATTTGTGGAGGCGTATACCAGAGGTGTGGGGGATTCGAGATTTGAACCGCTTCACTCGCCCACTCACACACAGGTGAGGGAGATTAGTTTCTGTGGTGTGTGCATGGTGTGGTTTAAGCATTACTTGCGGGGGCTTGGGGTGGGGACATAACCCCTATCTATCATGCTTCCTTTACTCGTCCCCCGTCCTTCTCCTCTTCTTATCCACTTCACCTCCCCTCTGTCACCATTCATCACCTCTCCCCAGGTATCAGATCATCTCGCCTCCGAAACGGCACTCCTGTATCCCTTCCTATTCCTCTCTCCTCCCTCCCTTATTATCCCCTCATCCGCCATCCATCAACCCTTTATATCCCCTCTTGCCACTAGCCTCAAGCCTCAAACTCCCTTTATTCATCTCCCGTCCTTCTCCCCTTCTGCCATGTATGCCATTCACCAACCTCTCACCTCCCACAGGTATCAGAGCACTTGGCGTTTGGAGCAGCGCTCCTGTGCCCAGAAGACATAACTTCCGCGCACCAAAGGCTGGTCCGTCCCCCCTCCCCACTCTATTCGCCCCTCTTCCCCATCTATTCGCCCTTCGTCCCCATCTATTCGCCCTTCGTCCCTCCCTATTCCCCCCTCTTCCCATTCCCCCCTCCCCCGTCTCTCTACACGCTCCCCCTCCCCCTCCATTCGCCCTTTCCCCCCTTTTCTATACGCCCCTCCCTCCTCTCTACGTGCCCCTCTTCTCTCTTTCTGTATGCTCCTTCTCTTGTGGCTGCCCTTTGCTATGCTGTCTTTTCCCTCTGTACAATCACTGTTTCCTCCTCTTGTGTGTATGCTGGTGTTTTTTGTACAAAACGTCCTTCTTGCTTGCTTCTGTGTGCATTGTTGCTTCTGTCTCCTCTTGTGTGTATGCGAGTGGTTTTCCTACTATATATCGTGCTTGCTTGAGTTGTGCTGAAACTTCATGTAGGCTTTGCAACCTTGTTGCCAGCCCTCCCGCTCAACCCCCTTTTCTCCTATCTCAGATCAGGGCATGACAGCAGTGCTGGACTTACAGCAAACCAACAAGGTGACTTCTGAGTCGAGGCAAAGGCCGTCATTTTCCCCTCCTCACAATCTATCCATACCCCTCCCTCCCTCCCCCTCCTCCACCAACCCACATCAGGGCACGACAGCAATGCTGGATCTGTAGCGAGCTACGGAGAAGCTTAACTGGGCCGTGGATGTGGATAGCATATACAGGGCCCTGCCCTACTCTCCCCACCACTCCCCACTCCTTCCAATCTCTATCCCTTCCTCTCTACCCCTTTGCACCGCAGGGCACGACAGCAGTGTTGGACCTGCAGCGAGCCACGGAGAAGCTCAACTGGGCGGTGGACGTGGATGGCATGAACCGAGCGCTCCTCTCATACTCCACCTCTCCCTTACCTCCTCCCACTCCTCTGCTGTATGTGGTCCCTTCTTATGGCCTCCGCTTTCTCTCATCCTCTGCACATCAGGGCACGACAGCAGTGTTGGACCTGCAGCGAGCCACAGAGAAGCTCAACTGGGTGGTGGACGTGGATGGCATGAACCGAGCGGCAAGGGATTCGGGGGTGATGGTGGTGCACCACCCCATCAGGTGAGCTCTCTTCGTTGGTTGTGGCAGCGTGGGTAGGACTTTGGATGGGGATGGCATGAACCGGGCGGCAAGGGACGCAGGGGTGATGGTGGTGCACCACCCCATCAGGTGGGCTTACTTCACTGATTGGGGGCATTGCTGCATGACGAGGGCCTGTGATGGGGATGGCATGAACCGGCCGGATGCGGGGGTGATTGGTGGTGCACCACCCCATCAGGTGAGCTTCCATCTTCTTTTGCTAGTTGCGGTTGTTGGTTGCATGGTATCGCGTGAAAGTGCCTTTGGTGTGGATCCAGAAGGATTGGCATTGGAGCTCCTGCATTGAAAAGGGGGTTCCCTGATCCGCCCCTCTCTTCTCGTCTTGCCTTCCCTTACCAACCATGCCAAGTACCACGACGGGCATGACTTGAGACAAAAGCTCCCAGTGGCGGTGGGGATTCTGCACCGCCTGCTGCGCAGGGGCCTGCATGTGTTGGTGACGGATACAGACGGGGTGGACAGGGCGCCAGCAGTGGTGTGGATGCGTGCCATAGGATTCAGGGGCATTGGCACTCCTTTATGCATAGAGAAGTTCCCTCATTTGCCCCTCTCTCCTCACCTCGCATTCCTGTACCAACTACTCCCAGGCACCACGACGGGCACGATTTGAGGCGAAAGCTTCCAGTGGCGGTGGGGATTCTGCACCGGCTACTGCGGAGGGGGCTGCATGTGTTGGTGACGGACACAGACGGGGTGGACAGGGCGCCAGCAGTGGTGTGTGCGTACCTGCACTGGGTGCTTGCTATACCGTTGCCTCAGGCTCTTCACTTCGTCTGCGACGTCCGTCCCTGCCAGCCCAACCGGTGAGCCAGCGTTCAGTGCGGTTCAATGTGATTCACTGCGGTTCTGCGCGGCCAAGTGGGGTTCAGGTGCGGATTAGTGCGGTTCTGTGAGTTGAGCACTGGAGGCTGCATGTGTTGGTGACGGATACAGATGGGGTGGGCAGGGCGCCAGCAGTGGTGTGTGCGTATCTGCACTGGTGCTTGCTATACCGTTGCCCTAAGCCCTCCACTTTGTCTGCAATGTCCGCCCCTGCCAGCCCAACCGGTGCGCCATCCAGCACGGTCTAGTACAGTTTAGTGCCGTTTCTTGTGGCTCAGTGCAGTACAGTACGGTTGAATTAGTTGAACAGTGCTGCCTGCACTCGCTCTCCGCCCTCCTCCTCTCCGTTCTGCTCTCCTCTTATCTCAGAGCGGCACTGGCAGTGGCAACATGGGACCTGGTGGCCATGTTGCGCCATGGCGTGAGGCACTCAGGCCCTGCCACTCACCCCGCAGTCTGCTCACCCCTCTTCCTTCTGCTCCCTTCTGCTCCCCTCCCATCCCTCCCATCCCTCCCATCCCTCCCATCCCTCCCATATCAGGGTGGCGCTAGCAGCAGCCACATGGGGTGAGGCACACACGCCCTGCCACTCACCCTCCAGTCTGCTCTCCCCTCTCCCTCTGCTCCCCTCCCATCCCTCCCATTCCTCCCATATCAGGGCAGCACTGGCAGCGGCAACATGGGATCTGGTGGCCACGCTACGGCACGGGGTGAGGGGCACAAGCCCTGCTATTCATTCTGCTGTCCCCTCTCCCCTCTCCCTTTTGCTCCCGTCCCTTCTGCTCCCCTCGCATCTCAGAGAGGCACTGACAGAAGCCACGTGGGATGTGGTGGCCATGCTACGGCATGGGGTGAGGCACACAGGCCCTGCCAATCAACCCCTGGTCACCTCTCCCATTTCCATTCTCCTCCTTACGCATCTCAGAGCGGCACTGGCAGCGGCAACATGGGATCTGGTAGCCATGCTGCGGCACGGTGTGAGGCACACGGGCCCTGCTACTCACTCGGTGCAGATTGCATGGAACCACGGAGGGCGCGAGGTGAGGCTGCCTTGTGTATGGTTACTGGTGCGGCTGGTGGTTACCAGATAGTGACGTTACCACAAGCTACCCTGCCACGCACTCGGTGCAGATCGCATGGAACCATGGAGGGCGAGAGGTGAGTGCGACTTGTGTAGAGAGAGTGTGCGTGGTTACCAGAGAAGCCAGTATTACTGGTTACCAACAAACGGGGTTACTGCAAACCCCCTACTACTCACTCGGTGCAGATCGCATGGAACCATGGAGGGCGAGAGGTGAGGGCGCGCTGTGTATCAGAGATTGATAGGTGGGTGTGGTTACCATATATTGTGGTTACTACAACCTGCCCTGCCACCCACTCAGTGCAGATCGCATGGAACCATGGGGGACGAGAGGTGAGAACCCCTTGTGAAGAGCGTGTGTGTGTTGTTACCAGAGAAATCGGTACTGGTTACCAAAGAATGGGGTTATCACACATAACCCTGCCACTCACTCGGTGCAGATCAGATGGAATCAGGGGGGGCGTGAGGTGAGAGAATGAATGGACCCAATCTAGAGCTCTGTTTACCGAATACTGTTATTAACAGAGAATATGGTCACAAACTGTCCTGCCACCCTCAGTGCACATCGCATCAAACCATCACGTCAAGTCATGGGGTTGGAGAGGTTAGGGCTCCTTGTGAATTGTGAGCATTCCTCCTCTCACACCCCTCCATCCCATGCCGCCCTCCCTCATGCAGGTGCTACTGGTGGGCGAGCTCTCAGGCAGGAAGAATCCAGTGGCCATGTCAAGGCGCCACTCACGGCCTGTTGCCACCCTCCCTTGCGTCCCCTCCCATTGCCTCCCGTCCCATTGCTTCCCTCCCTCCCTTGAACAGGTGCTACTGGTGGGCGAGCTCTCAGGCGGGTGGAAAAACCCAGTGGCCGCCACTCCAGTTGGGGGATCGAAGTTTGTTCTCGCACTCAGGCTGCCGCTCGGATCGTGAGTGCCCTCATCTTTTCCTGCGTGTGTCTTCTTCATCCTCTTTGCTTCTGTGCCCTCTCTGTGGAGCTGTAACTTTGCATCCAAACTTGTTCACCGCACCACCCACACCAGTGTGAGCCTCCAAATTCGTTCTCGCACTCAGGTTGCCTCTCCCCCTCCCTCCCCTCCCCCAGCTATCACTGCAAGTTCATAGTGGACGGGCACTGGCGCCATGCAGCGGACCTGCCTTCTTTCACTCCCTCTCCTCTCCCTTTCCTCAAAACACACATGCTCCACCGCACTCTACTCCTTTACCCCCCCTCCCCCAGCTACCGTTACAAGTTCATAGTGGACGGGCACTGGCGCCATGCTGCGGACCTCCCCACAGAGGTGGACGAGTGGGGCAACACCAACAACGTGCTCCACGTGGGGTCACTGGCGCGGCACAGTAATGTAGTCGGCCTGCGCACACAACACCAGTCACGAGATCCCCTCCCCTTTAGTTCTCGAGTGGGGCAACACCATCAACGTGCTTCATGTGGGGTCCCTTGCCCGGCACAATAATGTGAGTCGGCCTACCCACACAACACCAGTCATGTGTTCCCCTCCCCTTTACTTCTCAAGTGGGGCAACACCAACAACGTGCTTCATGTGGGGTCACTAGCCCGCCACACCAACGTGAGTCTGTGTGCACACAAGCCTGTGTCTGCAAACAAGTCGCTCTGTCTGCACGCAAGTCTCTCTGCAAACAAGTCTGGGTGAGGAGCACGTGAAGCGGACCTGCCCACGGAGGTGGACGAGTGGGGCAACACCAACAACGTCCTTCATGTGGGATCACTAGCCCGCCACAACAATGTTGGTCTGGGTGCTCACAAACATGTCCTCAATCATGCACTCTCGCTACTCGCACCAACACCGGCAACGTGCTTCATGTGGGGTCACTAGCCCGGCACAACAATGCGAGTCTGTGCACACGTCTCAGACTTGTGTGCACACCTGCACACAAGTCTGAGTCTGAGTCTGTGTCTGTTAGACACACCTATCTGCATGCACACACAACACCAGTCATGTCATCTTCTTTCTCCCTCTCCCTCCTCCCTTCTCTCTTTTGAGCAGGATGCGGTGAGGGAGAGGTTGATAGAGCGCCCTCTCACGGACCTCGAGAGGCGAATAGTTATTTTCGCAGTCATCTGGTGATAGTTTGTTTGTATGCCTCTTTCTCTCCCTGCCTCCCTGTGTCCCCTGTCTCTGTGTCACGGTCTCCCTATCTCCCTGTGTGCACTAAACAGGATGCGGTGAGGGAGAGGGTGATAGAGCGCCCTCTCACGGACCTTGAGAGGAGAATGGTCACCTTCGCCTCGCAGCGTGTTGCCTTTTCCGTCTCTCCCATCACCTTCACCCCCAAGCTCAGGCCAGCGCGCTCATGAGCCATGAGGTGTGTAGATACAAATAGGCTGATACATCTCGAAATTTGTGTGAATAAAAAATTTTCCGATGGGATTTGCAGGTTCTAAACATCATTCATATATTATAAGAATATGAGAGCAAAGTGTGTAAGGATGTACTTTGAGACCTATGTTGTAAGGTCTCGTCACACTGAGAATAGGTGTAGCCTTACCACTTATGTTTGAAAGCCGTGCGGTAATGTCGAGGTAAGAGTGGTTGAGGGAACACTCTTGTGGCTTTTGGGTTTGTCAAACAACTGTAAACAGGATGCGCTGGAGGTAGAGCTGTCACATGAAGCCGTTTTCATTCGCCGGATTCGACATTTGCCACTTGTAGGTGTGGCAAAGGTGCATGTAAGCGACAACGCACCTGGCCGCCTTCCCAGCGTCAAACGGCGGAATCTTCTAGATGCCCCTTCTGCATCGAACTGGGCTACTGTAAGTTGAAGGGAAGGAGGTGGAGTTGATTGAAAGGCGCGCGTATGGGATTGGCCGCGAGATTTGTGCGCTGGCATGGCTGTGCGCGCTGAGTGGCGGAAAAAATTGGCAAGTGAGCGGGGGAGCCCCGTTTGCCAGTAAAATACCGCCACTTGTCAAGTGCCCCAAAGTGGGGGATAAGGAGGACATGTCTGCCTTGCTTCAACCCTTCAGAATGTTCAGACGACATTTCACTTCGTTACCGTTTCCCCACGGAATATCATTTTTGTTTCCGGGCAAATCCAACAGTCTTGAAAGCGCCAGATGAGGATGACACAGTGGATTGCGATTAGAGCGACGCAAGGTTGTACAGTTCTTACGGCTTTACAGTTCTTGTATCGTGGTTCAGGACGGTTTAACAAGGTGAAAAGCGATTCTCTATGTTTACTACTTTGCACCGTGTAGAAACAAAGTTAACCGCAGTGGGCGTACAAAAAGTTCTACAACCTGACGTAGAGCGGCGTTTCTCACTCTCAAATCGTTTGGGCAGGATCGATATATACCCATCCTTGTCGGGCAAGCATTGGTACCCGTCCTAGTTTCTCAGGAACCAATGTTCCATAACTATTAATTAACGCCGACCAAAGAACGGGTCGGCCCGCCCTGACGTCCTCGGCTGTTGTGCTCGTTCGGCTCCCACCACCAACCTAACCAGTCTCCACTTGCTGCTCTCTGCAAGTCATGGTCATCGAATCCGTATCCCCAAAGGAGAAGAATAATATATTTTGTTTCCCCAATCGCGTCACGCCCCGTCATCGTTATCACGCTTTGACCAGGGCCCATGAACCACGCTGCGCTGCGACGTTCTGACAGGCAGAGGAGGGCCGGGCCCAGCAGTTGCTGGCGTTGCGTTGCGAGCGCGATGCGAAGACGGAACGAACGAACTTGTCCACGAGGAGACGTGTTCACATCTCCCTTGACAATAGTATCAACGGCTATCGTAACAGTAATAGTAATAATAGTACCATGCAGGTCACTCGTGGCCGTGAGCAGTGCGGTCCTAGTGACTGGGATGGCATAATGCAGGCAAACACTGTCAGACCAACATATTTTGTCTTACTGTGCCATAGTGCTCGCAAAACGCGGCGCGTCGCCATCGAAGCCTTCGATCCAGACTGAGCTGCTCTGACGAGCTGAGCTAAGATGAGTTGTGGATGGGGTGGGTACGCGCCTGCAAAGTCTAAAATCGCTCTTCGCAAAGCCGCTTTTACACGTCTCATCAATGCGCCGCGACAAGCTTTAATCACCCTTTATCATGCTTTCATCCCTTCATTTTACCTACTTGTACCGCGTTTACCCTAACCACATGCCCACGGATCACATCGCTAATTTAACGCCCTCCTCCTGACGCGACGCCGATTATTCCATCGTCCGATCATCTGCGGGGGTGACTGATCCTTTCAGTAATTCAGATTTTTCCAAGTTCGAGGTTTGAATGGAGTGTTGCGATCATGGCGTCGATGGTCACAGTCTCTGCGACAGCTGCGATGGCGAGTTGGCGATGCTGTCGCACGGGTGGAGCGTTCACGACCTCATTCTTCCTCTCGCCGCACACGGTGATGTGGTTTCGCCTGATTTCGCGAACATGTTCGCGTATGGCGACGGCTCTCTCGTCTTTCCGAATGCCGGCGGCGGTACTCCGAGTCAGGCCGGCGCCCTGCCGGCTGCTCAAGCTACAAAGACAGTCACGTCGCCACCAGTCGCCGCATATTCGGCTTCCGGCGCCGCGTATTATGCTGACGCGTCGCAGACTGTGGTAGCTGCCGATCTGGCGGCATTGACGGAGTCGTTGTGGGCTGAGCTGGCAGCAATGGACGGCGACTACCGCACTGCCACGTGGCAGGATCCCGACGCCGCTCCTCCATGCTGGCAGCTGATTGACAACGCAAAATCGCCGCGCCGCCCTGCCAAAGCTCGAGCCGCGACGCTTATTGATACACCCTGTCAGCAGGGTTCGGCGATCGTCGTATCAGGGTCTCAGCAGATCGACGCACGGCAGAATTGTCATTATCAGCCATTCGCCATGGCCGCTTCACCAGCAGCAGAAGCAGTAGCAGCAACGACTTTCGAGTTACCACGTTCCCAGAAAAACGCGGTGATCGTAACTGGTGCTGCGTCGTCACAGACCCAGCAGATCGACGCACAGCCACAGCAACAGCAACAGCAGCAGCTACAGCAACAGCCACAGCAGCAGCAACAGCAGCAGCAGCAGCAACAGCAACAGCAACAGCAACAGCAACAGCAACAGCAACAGCAACAGCAACAGCAACAGCAACAGCAACAGCAACAGCCACAGCATCCCCTTTCCATGACCGCTTCACCGGCTTCAGCTGCATTGAACATTGGGTCGACTCAAAAGAGCGCGGCGATTCTGTCAGGTGCTGAGGGATCACGGACCCAGGCCTACGCACAGCAACAGCATCCCTTTGCCATGGCCGCTTCACCGGCAGGAGCAGCAGCAACGACCGTGGGATTTATCACACCTGCTGCGATCACACCTGCTGCTGTCACACCCAGTGCTGTCACACCTGTTGCCATTGCAAATTCTGCTTTTCTTGCCACTCGGCCTTTTTGCAGCAGCCCCAGCAGCAGACCTGTTGCGGTTCAGAGCGGTGCTATGCGGTACAGATGGTCCAGCAGCGGCAGCCTCGACCTGATTTTCGGGGCACCGAACGAAACGCAGACGAAGCAGCAGCAGAAGCAGCAGCAGCAGCAGATGCTGCAAAGCCAGAACCCCAACCCGAAGCTGAGCCCGAGCCTCGGCGGAGCCCCGGGACCGGACCTGAGCACCAGGCTGACTCCTAAGCGCAAGCGAGGGTCCCTCAGAAGCAGCAGCGACACTATTGGTCCATCCAGCCTCTCTCGAAGCCTTCCCGCCAAAAGCTCTTTAGAAAGTTACTTTGGGAATGCCCCAGGCGGTGCCCCCCATACAGTCACGCTCAGGGGTGTCACAAGAAGTCCGGTCACGGAGAAAGGCGCTACTGCTTTCGATGCAATCACAAATCCGTGGAAGATCTCCGCAAGTGCGAGTGTGTCTGATTGTCCCTGTGACCCATGGGAAAGGCTCCCTGAGAGGCGAGTTGGGTTCGCTACAGTCACTGCTTCTCCTGGGTTTGCTACAGTCGCTGATTCTCCTGGGTTCGCTACAGTGTGTAACACTCCCGGTTCAGCTGAAGCAGGCTGGCCTGCTGCAGCATCTGCATCTGCTCCCTTCCCCTCTCCCAACTCCTCTCCTTCCTCCTCTCCCTTCCCCGGCCCCTTCCCCGTTGCCTCTTCCAACACGACTGCCTCATTTACCTCCTCCCCCTCGTCCCTTCTCCCTCCTCCTGCCCCACCCCAGGGCTTAAGCCTCCCCCCTCCTTACCCCTGTGCTCTTCGTTTGGCCAACCTCCCAACCAGCAGTCGCCCCTTTCCCAGCAATTCCCTCCACAGAAACTCCTACCCCAGTACCCCCTTCTCCAGTAACCCTATCCCCGTTCCCAGTACCCTTTCCTCTAGCAACTCTTCTCCCAGTATCCTGCTCTCCCCAAACCTTTACCCAATCAGGTATCCTGCTGTCCCAAATTCCCCTGTTCTCAGTAACGTTCTTTCCAGTTCTGCCTCCCCCAGTTCTGCCTCCCCCAGTGAACCCTGCTCCAGTTGTACCCTCCCTAATGGCACCTGCCTGCTCGCTCGCTCCTGCTCTGCTCCTCTCATCACCCCTGCCAGAAACAACCCCTTTGGGATAGGTACATCTGGTGCAGGTGTTACCCGGTCTTGGGCTTCTGAGAAAGGTATATCTGGTGCAGGTGTTATCCAAACCGCTGCTCCAGGGTCACCATTACTGTTTTCGGGGAAAAGACTTGGTTTGGAGCATGGTGTGCCTCGGCCTCTCAGTCTTAAAGCCCCTGAGTTGACTTCATTGACTCACAATGCAACCTTTTCCTCACCAGCTCCATACCCCGTCTTTCCTCTGAAATCCACCTCCCCACTGCAAGCCGCCACCCCACTCTCACCCACCTTCCCACCACAATTCATCCTTCCATCGCCACTCACTGCCCCACTCTCTACTACCTTGCAAGTGCCGCCGTCGCCGCCACCCCCAGGATCAAGGGCGCATGAGCTGGAGGGTCTTTTTGAGGCGCCTAAGAAGCTGCCAGCCGTCCCCGCCCCGTTTTCTGCTGCTCTGCACGTGCCGCTGTCGTCATCACCGCCATCGTCAAGGGCACGTGAGCTGGAGGGGATTTTCGAAGCGCATCGGAATCTGCCCCCCACCGCGGCCCCGCTTTCTGCTGCCCTACAAGTGCTGCAGTCACCGTCCCACCCGGGATCAAGGGCGCATCAGCAGGAGGCGTTTTTCAAGGCGCCAACCATTCTTCATGAACTGCAGGCCACCAGCCAACACTCTGAAGCGCTGCGCATGCCGCTATCATCGTCACCCCTGTCGTCATCACCGCCGGGATCCAGGGCGCATGAGCTGGAGGCGTTCTTCAAACGAAGCCTCAGCCTCGAGACGCCTTGCAGGAGAGAGTTTGACTTGCAGGTGTTCTTAAAACGAAGGCTGAGCGAGTGTAAGGCTCCAGAAAGGGCCGCTGAGCTGGAGGAGTTCTTTAAGGGGAGCATGACAATATCGAAGGGCGAGTGTATGGAGATGGACGGTGGAAATGGCTTTTCCGAAAGGACATAGAAAGAAGGGGGTGCAATGGGGGGAAAGTGGAGTGGGGGAGGTGGAAGCATGACAATATCGAAGGACGAGTGTATGGAGGTGGATGGTGCAGACGTTATTCTCAAGAGGGCTTAGGAAGAAAAGGAGGGGGGGGTGGAGTGGTGGTGGGCGGTGACAACGTGCTCCATGTGGGGTCCCTCCCTGGCACGGCACAATAACGTGAGTCTGCGTGCTCACCAATCTGCATGCACACACAACACCAGCTGCCACCGCACATATCTCGAGTGTGGCACCACCAACAACGTGCTTCATGTGGGGTCCCAGGTGCGGCACAATAACGTGAGTCTGTGTATCCACGTGTCTATCTGCACTCAAGCCTCTATGCTGACGCCACACAACACCAGTCCCCCCTCCCCTTCACATCCAGAGTGCGGCAACTCCAACAACGTGCTTCATGTTGGGTCCCTGGCTCGGCACAACAATGTGAGCCTGTATGCTTACATGTATCTGCATGCCCACACCACACCATATGTATGCTCCCCTACACAATGTGAGTCTGTGTATCCACGCGTCTATCTGCACTCAAGTCTCTGCGTGCACACACAACACCAGCTGCCACCCCACACATCCGGAGTGGCGCAACACCAACAACGTGTTGAATGTGGGGTCCCTGGCTTGGCACAATAGCTTGGCACAATAGCGTACATGTGTCTGCATGCCCACGCGACACCAGTTGAATGCACCCCAACACATCTGCATGCCCGACACGTTGGCGCAACACCAACGCATTCCTACAACTTCTCATCGCCTCGTAAGCGAATGTTTTTTACGAATCCTTAACAAACATACGCTGCAACACCAACGCATTCCCACAACTTCTCATCGCCTCATAGGCGAACCTCGAGAGGTGAATGGTCACCATCACAGTCACCCAGTGAAAGCACGCTTACTTGTGTCCCTCCCTGCTTCTCTCCCTGTCTATCCTGACCAGGATGCGGTCCACTCACGGACCTCGAGAGAAGAATGGTCACCTTCGCCTCGCAGGTCCTGGCAGCGAGGATGGCCAAGGGCATGAATGCCCAAGCATAGCCGTGAAGCACGGCCCTGTTGCCTTCTCTGTCTCGCCCATCGCCTTCACCCTCAAGCTGTGCCCAGCACGCTCTTGAGTGTCCACAGCAACTCACAGCAACTCACTGTCGCGTGTTGCCTTCTCGGTCTCCCCCATCACCTTCACGCCCAAGCTCAGGCCAGCGCGCTCGTGATTCGTGTCTCCTGAGGCATCTCTTGAGTTGATTCTCAAGGCTTCTCTTGGCTTGATTCTCACAGCAACTCATCACCTCGCAGCACGTTGCCTTCTCGGTTTCGCCCATCGCCTTCACGCCCACGCTGCGCCTGGCACGCTAATGAGTCGTGGGGTGTAGGTTGATTCTTTCAGCGTCTCTTTGCCTCCCAGCGCGTTACCTTCTCTGCCTTGATTGCAGCACATTGCCTCATGGCTAATTCTCACAGCAACTCATCGCCTCGCAGCACGCTGCTCTCTCCATCTCTCACCCAAGCTGTGCCCAGCACGCTCATGATTCCTGAGGTGTGTAGGTGCAATTAGAATTACCTACATTTAAAGATTCAATTCACTGAGCCATTCTAGATGGAGTTGTATGGTATATGTAAAAAGGTTCATTAATTGTTTTCAAGACTACCAAAGACTACCAAAACAAAGAGCATGTAAAGGTGTACATTGAGACCCATGCTGTAAGTGTAAGTTGCACTGGGAGCTGGTGTACAGTATTTTGAGGCAAACCTTCTGTTTGCAAGCTGTGCGGATTTCTCGAGATAACAGTGGCTCAGAGAAGGTTCTGCCACATCAGCATAACCGCCTTTGGTTTTGTCAAGAACTCAGCTCATGTCGCGCTGGAGGTACGCTGTCACGTGGAGCCGTTTTTCATTCGTGGGAATCGTCAATTGCCACATGGCGTGCAAAAGCGACACGTACCTGGCCCCCTCATCAGCGTCAAACGGCAGGATTTTTTAGGTGCGCCTTGTGTCGTCACTGGACTAGGTTCAATGGAAGGAGGTGGCGCTCGTATGGGAGACCGCGGATTGTATGCGCTGGCATGGCTGTGCGCGCCGATTGGCCAAAAAGGGAGGCGGGCGAGAGTCCCTTGCCAGTTGCCTCCTTGCCACTTGTTGCGAATCCCTGCTTCCAGGGATCCCGATAAGGCGGACTGGTCCGCCACTTGCTTCTCCCCAGCCGTTGAGAATGTTCATCCATTGCCGGCCCTAGTAAGATTCAACTCTTCGTGTACAATTTTCAACCATTGTACTTTCGGGTATGGAAATGACAAACATGCAACCAGCGATCAAAACGGTACGTGAGGATTGAGCAGGATTTTCTGCGTGTCAGAACGGTGTTCTTTGCTTTCAGAACGGTAGGCTCGAGATGGGCAAACGTTAGGGCGGGTCCAGCGCGTACGTTTTCAGACACTATAAAGTTCATTCGTAGTGGTTTGAAAAGATATCAAGCGTTTCACAACGGTTTTCAAATTTCACCGTTTTGAACCGTGACGCATTACAGATTACCGCACTGGATGAACTGTAATGTATGGAAAACGTACGCGCTGGACACGCCCTTATGGACAGTTGGTGAATCAGCTATTAAAGGTTAAAGGTTAAATTTGTTTTTCTGGTCGTAACCAGTTGAGCACGTGCTAACCCCTACTTGGGGCTGGCAGAACACGCCTGCACGGGGGTGGGTTCGATCCCAGGACCTCATCTATCGGAAGTGCCTCTTTCTACTGACTAGGCCACTTCGGGATGAATCAGCTATTGATATACCAGTACGTGGTGAATGAGTACGTGTTTGGCGTTCAGAAAATATCTTATGGCTTTCTCTTTCGATTATCCCCCTTACTAGTTTTTCAGAAACCACCGTTTCTCAAATCCCACTGTAGTTTATTTAATGCCGTCACAAGGAACGGTTCGGCCCTGACGTCCTCCGCTGTCCTACTCGTTCCAGCGCAACTTAACCCGCCTCCACTTGCCGCTCTCTCCGCAAGTCATGGTCATCGAAATCCTTTGACCCACGGGAGAAGAATAATATTTTCTACCTCCCAATCGCGTCACGCCGCGTCAGCGAAATCCGCCCGGTACTAACACACTCTTGCGACGATCTGGCAGAGGCCCGGGCCCAGCAGCAGTTGCTGGCGTTGCGAGCGCGCGATGCGAAGACGGAAGAACGAACTTGTCCAGGAGGAGACGCGTTCCTTTTTCCCCTTGAAAATAGTTTCGGAGGTTTAGTAATAGTAATAGTACTCGAAATAGTACAATGCAAGTCGGTCGAGGTGGCGGTGAGCAGTGCGCTCTCACCAGTAGAGCCTGGCATGGCCTGCAGGCTGGCACTGTCAGCTCAACACTTGCAACCATTGTGCTCGCAAAAGAATGCCTCCTCCTCGTAGCCTTCGACCCGCACTGAGCTGCGATGGACCGAGCTGAGATGAGGTGTGGGTGAGGTAGTGACTCGGTGAGATAAGTGTGCTACCGTCCGGATGCCTTTGCAGAGTCTGAGACACATATTGCAGATTTCGCTTCTCGCAAAGCTTCGACGAATAGCTTAAGTCAGAGGCGACGATCACGCCGCGACGAGCTTTATCACACTTCATGTCTCGCATTGATACGTGGTTATCGGATCAACCCTAGCCAGCGGCGCGTCAGCCGCAGACCCACGGATCAGAAGAGGCTATTCTCTTCGCTGACGCGACGGCCATTTATAAACGTCGGCCGATCCTTCCAGTCTCAGAAGCAGTGTAATTTCCAAATCAGAGGTTTGAATGGAGTGCTGCGATCACGGCGTTGATGCTCGCCATTTCTGCGACAGCTGCGACAGCGAGTTGGCGATGCTGTCGCACGGGTGGAGCTACCACGACCTCAGGCTCCTTCTCGCCGCACACGGAGCTGTCGTTTCGCCTGATTTCGCCAACGTTTTCGCGGACGGCGGCGGCTCTATCGTCTTCCCCAATGCCGGCAGCGGTACTCAGGCCGGCGCTCCGCTGGTTTCTCAGGCTACTAAGACCGTCGCCTCTCCTCCAGTCGCCGCAAAGGCCGCCTCCAGTGCTGACGTGTCGGAGCCTCAGATAACCGCGGATCTGGCTGCATTGACCGAGTCGCTGTGGGCTGAGCTAGCAGCAATGGACGCCGGTTATCGCACTGCCACGTGGCAGGATTCCGACGCCTCTTCTCCAAGCGGTTGGCAGTCGATTGGTGACAACCCTAAATCGCCGCGCCGCGCTGCCCAATTCCGAGCCGCGGCGCTTCATGATAAGCCCTGTCAGCAGAGCGCGGCGATCGTAACCGGTGATGCGTCGTCACGGACCCAGGTCGACGCACAGCAACAGCATCCCTTTGTCATATCACCCACTGCTGTTACATGTGCTGCTGTCACACCTGTTGCTGTCACACCTCTTGCTGTCACACCTGCTGCGGTCACAGCCATTACTGTCACACCTGCTGCTGTCACACTCACTGCTGTCACAGCTGATGCTGTCGCACCCGTTGCTGTCACACCTGCTGCTGTCACACCCACTGCTGTCACACCTGCTGCTGTCGCACCCGCTGCTGTCACACCTGCTGCTGTCACACCTGCTGCTGTCACACCTTCTGCTGCTCTTGTCACTCAGTCATTTTGCAGCAGCCCCAGCAGCAGGCGTGTTGTCATGAAGAGCGGTGCTATGCGGTACAGATGGTCTAGCAGCGGCAGCCTTGATCTGATTCTCGGGGCACCGAAGCAGCAGCAGCAGCAGCAAAGCCCGAACGTCAACCCGAAGCTGAGCCCGAGCCTCGGCAGGTCCCAGGGAACTCCAAAGCGCAAGCGAGGCTCCCTTAGAAGCAGCGACCCGATTGGTCCGTCCTGCCTCTCTCGAAGCCTTTCAGCCAGCAGCTCTCTAGGGAGTTCCCTTGGGACTTCCCCTCGGGGTGGCCCCCATACAGTCACACACAGGGATGTCACAAGAACTGCAGTCGCAGGAAAA